AACTGCCGCGAAATCCGAAGAGCCAGTAAATAACCTGTGAATTCAATACATAACAAGCTCGCTCGCTAGGTCTCTTCAGAATGAGAAAAGAAAAAAAAAAATCCCTTATTCCCAAACCCCCGGGTCTCCTCTCAATAAGAAAATGCCATCATTTGACGTGGCTAGCGGGGTGGAGGTGAAGGGGGGGGAGTTGGTTATAAGATGAATATGGAGATAGGATAGGTTGGGAACGAGCGCCAATCGCGCATGTAGACATCGTTTAAGAAGCGTCGTGGTTTGTGTCAAGATGGGGCGAATTCGCTCGTGGGACTGAAAGGGTCAATCAATCTAGGATTGCTGATTCGCGCGATGCAGGGCGCGCGTTGTGATGTATGTTTGTTGCATGCAACTAGATCAACTAATTACTGTAGATTGGTTTGTTTTCTTCTTTTCTTCTTTTCTTTTTTTTTCTTTTTCTTCTTTGTAGTTACAGATCATAGACGAAGTTGTCATCATCGTGGATTGGAGCCTCTGTCTGTGAAACGTATCCAACGACGCAAATGCAGTCGCTGCCAGTCCAGTCCAGTCCAGTCCAGTCTGCCACCAACCCAACCCAACCGCCGGGTGAGATGCATAACACCATACTTATATACTGCGTATAACATAGCTCCACTCTCCCTGAATAGAAGTTCTATGCTCATTAGCCATTAGCCCTTTATTATATACCTTATGCAGTTAGTACTTACATTATTACTCCGTACATTGTTATCAGATGCTCTCGCACCCGCTGAATGGAGAAATATTATAATAATCTATGCCGTGAACGTGAAACTTATAAATGAGTCTCTATCGATCGATTCCCACAAAAATCTTTGTAGGAGTAAATAGGGTTGATGATATAATTGTACTCCGTACTTGTATATACATACAAAGAGACTCTTGCGCGGGGGGGGGGAAAACCGTGATGAAAACAGGTTCGAGTCTGCTGCCCTCTGTCTCTTGTTTGCCAGTCAGTTGTCTTTCCTCTCTATCTACTGCCTTAACTTTCATGAAGTGGAAAAATGATGATCCTACCTTGTTAGTTACTCATTCCAGCATCATAATCCATAATCATATCCAGCTTGTGTCTTTTCACGGGTTCACCGTTTAACAAGGTCTTCTTCTCTCGCTGTTATGTTAGCTGGTCCTCCAAACGCAGCGATTGCTGCATGCCTTGCCGCACTTGGCCTGTGGCTTATCGTCAACACTGTGAAAGTGAGCTTCTTTACTACATATTTTATTTCCTGTTCAAGAAATATATATATATATATATATATATATATATATCCTCCCTTCACGGCATTAAATCCAAGCAGAGGATCGGAGTTTTACACTAATGATCAAATTCGCTTGCGTGTATAGGTTGTGCAAAGGCTCTTCTTCTCTCCATTCCGTAAGGTTCCAGGACCGCTTCTCGCAAAGATCACAGGAGCATGGATGCTGTGCGTGGACCTTGCCGGACGGCGTGTCCTAAAAATCCATGAACTCCATGCAAAGTACGGCCCCGTAGTACAGCTGGGGCCGAACGAACTCAGCTTCTCCACCGCGGAGAGCATCGATATCATCTATGGGACTGGGACTCGATTCCGCAAGGCACCTATGTATATGACAATGGGCCGCCCTGGTGTCTTGCACCTATCGGACCCGGCTGCGCACAGGGAGAGGCGCCGACTATTGAATCACGCGTTCGCGAAGCAGCATCTGGACGAGATGGAGCCCGTTTTTCACAAATCGGTGAGGAAGATCGTAGCCAGAATGGATCGGGCGCGCGGCAAGGCTTTGGACATGAGACATTGGTTCAAGATGTATACGCTGGATAATGCGGGAGAAGCTTTCCTTGGGGCGTCCTTTGGCGGTCTGGACTCCGACGAGATGCCGCAATATGTGAAAGATTTTGATTTGTTTTTAATAACGTGGGCAATTAAGAGTACCTTTCCCTTCCTGGCTTGGTTCGTGCAGAGAATACCACATCCCAAGATCAAGGTCGCCTTCGGTGCGGAAGAGCGCATCTACCAGGTGAGTGAGGAAGCTTTGTTGCACACATCCCATCCCATCCCGGAGCTTTTCCAGCTCTTTTTCTTCGGCTGGGCGAAGCGCTTGTCCCCTTGCAGAGCCCTTGCAGAGCCCCAGATGATTTGCTGCTGACCAATCAATAACTCCCGATTTTCCAGTACGGGATTGATCGGTTTAATGAGTATATCCAGAAATATGGTCGTGTCTCCAAGCGCAGAGATCTTCTTACCAAGATGATTGGCTGCAAAGAGAATGACCCAGATGCGCTCGCCGATTCCGATATCGCAGTGGAAATCAGCAATCTTGGTTTCGCAGCGACCGATACCACCGGGACAGCTCTGCTTTATCTGTTCTGGGAGCTCGCCCGCAATCCAGATCTGGTGGAGCGACTTCGTTCCGAGCTCGCCGACCTTCCGCTAGTAGATGGGGTCGTCGTCCAGCATCACAGCGTATCAAATCTCCCATTTCTAGACGCTCTTATCTCAGAAGGATTGCGAGCCTATCCACCTATCCCAGCTGGGCTCCTAAGGGAGGCACCCATTGGTGGATGCATGATAAACGGCATCTATGTGCCTCAAGGGGTGAGTAATAAAAGAAACCAAATTTCCCCTTCGATCTCAATCCACAGCCCATTGGAGCCGAGCCTTTGCTAACGGCTCCTGCATCGCCGCCGAACTGCAGACTGTAGCTTCAACACATACATGGACAACCCACCGTAACCCCGAACATTTCCCGAACCCGGATAAGTTTGACCCGTCTCGCTGGCTTGAAGGCAACGTGTCTGACGGAATGAAGAAGTTCTGGATGCCATTTTCCAAGGGTCCCCGGAATTGCATGGGGCGGACAATGGGGTTGTTCGAAATGAGGATATTGATTGCAACGTTGGTGAGGAGATTTAATATTAGCATCGACGATACCATGGCGGACGATGCCATGGATATCACAGATCATTTTCTTCTTATCCCCAAAAGAGAAAAATGCCTTCTCCGGTTCACCCCGGTATAAAATAACATGGGGAATGCGAAGAAGCGGAACAGAAGGGGGGCGGCAGGGAAGCGGACATGCGTTTCGGGCCTTGGTTAAGCTTTTGGGGGCAAAGGGAGTTCGTTTTTGCGATGCATAATGCATATTTACATAGCGTACCTATTTTTTTTTTTTTTTTTTTTTTTTTTTTTTTTTTTTTGATCCATATTCTTTTTCTTTAATTGTTGTACCAGCAAAGCCTGTGGATGCTGCATAATTCATCGGTGAGGATTCGGCGGTAACTTAGTTATAAATGATGCTTTATTTAGTAATAATGGTTGGGTAGTTTGGTAACTAGTCAACTTATATATAACTAGCAAGGTAGAACTACAATTTATTGACGAATCAGAAAGCAGTGTAAGAATTCCAACACCTAATTTCTTCTTGAGAGAAGTTTCCCTGTAACTAGTTAACTTAGTTACGCGAACGTCAACCAATTGAACCTCGTACGCAGACACACGCTAAGTGGAGATAAGATGACACAGTCAGTCGGTGCGTGCGGGAGTTGAAGATGTATGTATTGTATGTCCCTTATTAGAGGTTGCCTATACTCCGTAGAGCTAGTTCGAATTCTCAAGGAGGATAGAAGCCGCCCGTAACTAGACATTATTACTACTATACTCCGTAGAATGTTTATTAATAATTTATGAAAACTGCCTAAGTTACACAAAGCACCTCCAGTTCTAAGCCATCCAGTTTCGTAGTATGCCCCGCAAAAGTCAGAATCCGCTGGACGGCTAAATGGTGTCTCAAATCCTTGATCCCCTGGAGAAGACTTCAGATTACCCGCGCTTTCCAGGATTCGATGAGCGCACCGAAGGCTGGTGAAAATCTCCATCCAAAATTTTGGCGGAAGATCATGATCCAGCATCCACTTTTCAATCCACTCACGATTACTCATTACTCAGTTGATCAACGATCTTATCTAGCGAAATTCGGCCCGTGGCGTCAAAACTCGGCCAGCTCACCTTGAGCAACTCTCTTACGCTGTACTACCAAAAGATGGTCCTGCCAAAGGGCTATCTCCAACGCAGTTTTGCCACCCGGCGTTTGAGCGAGTGCATCGGCTCCCTTCTTCGGAAGATAGGATACTGTAGAAGCATTGCCATAACCGGCTACCCTGTGTAGTGGTGTCGTGTCAACTTGGAACTATCCACGATGTCAAAACCAGAATGGTCTTGGCTCATTTTGTTGGCTAGGAGCTGTACGGGATCGTATTTTCCGATGTAGGTCTTGCCTTGATCAATAAAGACTTCCTGGTACCAAAATATCAGCATCGATCGATGTGCTCTAGATACTAAAATACATTTTTTTTACCTGAGGCAAAACTTCTCGTAGCACCCTCCACGTTTAGATAGAGTAACTGAAGAGGTTGTTACTTCTCCTTGCAACCTCTGCCGGCAACTCTGGTGTCAGGTTCTCAGTCTTGTCATGCAAGCAAAATGCCCTTTCATCGGAAAACGAAGATGTTTACGGTCGTTCGTACGAAATCGACTGCAAACTATTGCACCACCCGGCGAGACATAATATTCAGAGGAAGCTGGAAGATTCTCAAATTCCCAGACATGGCCAAAGGAAATTGAAAGCAAAGGTTGGGCAGAGTTTCAACGACGTTGGCATGAACCCCGGCTTTCCTGGCACCCCGCTCTATCAAATAATGCACAATGTAATGTTCGCGGGAATCACATCCCACAGCCTCGCCTTCCTGCCCATTCTGGTCCAATAAGATTCCAACTTCCTTCCCGACCCTGCCTCTCGTTGCCGCTGTCATATGTTCTACGTGCGCCAATCGCTAGCCAAATAACTCCGGGGAGGGTTAAGGCCTAACGAGAACAACCACAACATCAATCCAGGACAGGGGCGACATGACCGTGACAAATAGAAGTTCCGATTATTCCAGCCAATGCTGTTGTTGAGTGTGCCTCGAGAAATTTAAAAATCCCCCGTACGCGAAGTGCCTGGGGTGGCCCTCCCACATGATAGGATTGGCATGGGTAATATATATATGTTCCGGGCGGCGCTTTGGCGTGTAAAAAATCTAGATCATCTGGTTTTACGGAAGATGAGTGTCAGATGTGTTTATTTTTGTGGGTTTGATGATTCGACTGTAAGTTAAATGAACTGATTTAACGCTGTCGCCAGGGTCAATAAACGGAAAGCGGTAGCTGGGCGGAATTTGAGGTCCTAGTTACCACCCACTCTTTTTACCTTTTCCTCTCCTCCGCAAAAATCCGTCACGTCTACAAACGTCCCAATTGGTTCATCTTCGAGCAAAGTTTGTATTTATGTATCTCCTCCCTGCAGATGCTTAGGTTTCCATCGGAGTAGGACCACCCTGAAACGTAAGTATACCAGGACAAATATTTCTTTCCCACTGATGTAAACCTCCATGATGTATAAGCTTGCTTGATTTACTGCACGTAAGGAAGATCCTTCGAGCACGTACTCTGACCCAGGCGAAGAAACCAGATAAGCTCACCGGAACGGAGCGGTGTAGAGTGAAGCGGTGGCCATGGGGTTAGCGGCCGCCTGGCGGTACTCAACGTCAGAAATGGAATGCAGGATGCAGAGAAACAGTTGACGTAGTAGTCAATCACCAAGAAGGGTTGAAAATAGTCCACGCGATCGTTGTTTGGGTTGTTTGGGTTGTTTTGGATCGTTTCTATCTCGCATGGGAGAAATTCATCATGGGAGCAAACAATGGTCAGGCAGGTTGCAAGGAGTCCATGGCAAGTGAAAGAGCATCGTCGAACGACAAAGTGAGGCTATGAATACGATCCGCATTCAACAAAGGGCTAACGAAGACAGCTCTCGATCCAGGTGTTTGATGATTTCCAGCACCCTTCTTGGTGGGACATTCTTGGTCGGATCTTTCGATAGCCCTAAAATTAGTCAATTGCAAAGCATCCCCGGTTAATACGGATAGAACACACTGCGTGGAAAATGGTTCGATATCAATATTTCCCAATGGGTATTTGTGTGGATGCTGTTTGTTATGTGCGTACGTTGACCTGGTGAAGTCAGGGACAAACAAAGTCAGGGGAAATATAACTAATTAGGGCAGCCACGATCATGTGACTAGTTAATTGCCCATCTGTGTCATTATTGAATGAAACCATCCGGCACCTGTGCATGCAGCCGAGCATCCTGTTCAGGGCCTTATGTTGATGCCTACTTCTCGTATCCATTTCCCCGCATTCTCAGGCCAGTGGAGCAAGCAAGTTCCGTGCCGAGCCATCTGGCAAAATCGAGAAACTGACTTTCGGCATGCAGTTGTTTGGTGTGGGGTATTTATTTACATCTACGATTTTGTGAATACGGTCGCAATCAAATCCTCGGCCGTAGTGTCGGTCACTGGATTCTCAAGATGGAGATGGTCTCGTCAGCCATCGTTATCACTGGGCTTTATCAACTTCAATGTGGTTTTACTACTGCATCAAAGGGTCGGCAGCAGATCCCCCTCACTATTGAGGCGGGAAGGTGGCGCTCGAAAACAAAGGATACTGCTCAAAGCCCAACCAGCCTAGGTTCTTTCTGCCGCGGCAGCATATGGGTCTCCTCGCTCTTCTCTTCGGTAACTCGGGACTCGAGCGATGGTATAAAGCTGTGATGAGAACGTATACACCATATCCACGGTCTGGAATTAAGTCAAACTTTGCTACAGAGTTTCACATACACATCCTTTGAACCCCAAAGTCAACCTCAAGATAAAACAGATAAGAATAGATAGTGCCTGAACTATCAACCATGGGTGAAATAGTTGCCATTCCCACACAGGCCAAGGCCGCTGTCTATGATAACCCAGGAACCGTTTCAACGAAAGTCGTGACGGTTGATGTGCCTGAGCCTGGTCCAGGAGAAGTCCTGATTAATCTGTATGTTCAAGCTCCCACTTGTCGAATTTCTCATTGGGTCGCACTGTACATTTGTTCTGTTGTTCTCCATTATTGGACTCATATACCCAATAGGACAATATGTTGACTTGTGATTTTTAAAAAATCAGGACTCACTCTGGAGTCTGCCACTCGGATTATGGAATCATGACCAATAGCGTATGTCCCTTAAAAAAAAAACACCTGCATGATCACCTGCCCACTTTGTATTAACATTCACTCAGTGGAAAAATCTCCCGTACCCAACACCAGCCGGCCAAGTAGGTGGTCATGAGGGCGTTGGAAAGGTTGTCAAACTTGGTTCAGGCACAGAGGGCTCAGGAGTAAAGCTTGGAGATCGCGTGGGTGTCAAGTGGTTACAATATGCTTGCGGCAGCTGTGGTAATAATATTTCTTCTACAAAACCTCACTCACACCACTGATCGTGTATAAATTACACACGCGTCATAATCACTTATCACGACCTTGAGATACTAATTCCAATTGACACCCATACAGAACCTTGCGCCGCTGGTGTTGATGCCTGCTGCGTGAAGTCGAAAGTGTCTGGATACTATGCTCCAGGCACATTCCAGCAATACATCACGTCACCCGCAAGCTATGTCACTCCGATTCCAGACTCTCTCCCCTCCGACTTGGCCGCCCCCCTCCTCTGCGCCGGAGTAACCGTCTATTCAGGCTTTAAGCGCAGTCGTGCCAAACCGGGCGATTGGGTCATTATTTCAGGCGCAGGAGGTGGCCTCGGCCATATTGCCTGTCAGCTCGGCAGCCGGGGTCTAGGACTCCGGATTATCGGCATCGACCATGGCAGCAAGCAAGACATCGTGCTCGAATCTGGCGCGGAACATTTCATCGACATCACCAAGTTCACGGATAACGAGCCCAAAGGTGGCAAGTTGGCGGAACACGTCCGATCCCTCACCGGCGGCCTTGGCGCCCACGCCATTCTGGTCTGTACCTCCTCGAACGCTGCGTATGCGCAGGGGATGTATCTGCTTCGCATGAACGGCGTGCTAGTCTGTGTTGGGATACCAGAGAACGAGCCCCTTCCAATCGGGTCATCGTTCCCTGCATTACTTATCGGGAAGCAGCTGTCCGTTGTTGGGTCTGCAGTGGGAACTAAACGGGAGTCAATTGAGACTATGGACTTTGGGGCGCGGGGGATTATCAAGGTGCATTTCCGAACGGAGAAAATGGATGCGCTAACGGATGTGTTCAAGGAGATGGAAAGGGGGGAGCTTAAGGGAAGGGTGGTGCTTGATTTGTCTTAGCTGGGATATTGAAACTCTCCAATCCTTATATTTGGGGGACCTGGTGTGCGCACGGAACTTATTTTATATGTTGCTAAATAGTTTACCAGTATACAAGATTCCAGAGTTATTGATTTGATTCCCGTTTAATCCGTGCCCAAGAAGGGAGAGAGAAAAAAAAATCATAGGGAAGGCCACGGTAGGTATATAAAGTGCTTAATATAGATTCCGTATTAAGGTAGGTAGGAGAGCTTCACCAAATGTACTGTACAAGACGGACCAAAATTAGGAGGAATTCTTTATGGATTAATTATTAGCTAGGGGATACCGAGGAAATAGCCTCTGTAAATAGAAAGTAACCAGACAATCAAAATTTGGAAAGCAGTTTATCGCGACATTAGACCATTCTTTATTCAATATTAGAAATATTATGAGGGGAGATGGGGGTGGTGGGGTAATGCGGGGGGGTAATAAATGAAGACTATGAAGAATGAAAATACATTTCAGAGCCAAGCGAAGCCCGCTCCACTGGCTCTGTACATTAACCTAAAATAATAAAGGGAAATATGAAAAAGCAAGAAAAAGGAAAAGAGAATGAAAGAAAAAATAAGCAAAAATTCTTTTTGTCCAGTCATCTCCTCACCCTCACTCTATCAAGCGCATGGCGGAGTTCTGCGTGTAGTGTTTTGCTAACGATCGTCCTATCATTTCGTCGATTCCCCGAGAAGGAATATCGATAACATGGTGAGCGCGTGATGGGCGGAACTAGAACCTGACTGATGAGGCTTTATTTGGTTCGCTTTCGGCCACTGCCAGACGCTCCTCCCGCAGGTCTTTTCTGCCCATATGTAGCCGCCGTGAATCCCGAGCCTGGAAATTCCCTATTCAGAAAAGCCTGGAACCGCTGCAAATATGTCACCATCGACTGGTTGGACATTGGGATCTTGCTCATTATGGTCTCCAGCTGGGGTTCCCGTTCCCTAAGAATCGCTCGTGGGAGGCTTTCCAGAACATCGAGGATGAAAAATTGACCCGACACTTCTGGCTGGCCGATTATTTGGGCAAATAAGTTGCAATCGTCTTCCGTTTCTCCTGCGGCCGGAACACGGCCCCAGGCATTTCCATCGAATGCATTGTAGTCGTACGTGACGACATCCCGGAGTATCCCAATCAGGGCGTCTGCCGCATTCGTGTGGCTGTCAGGCGCGCGGGGGGCGATGTTACTTTCAAGCAAGGCGACAAGCTCGTACAGCTGCTCGATAACAACAGGAATTTCCAAGGTAGTCCTGTCACGCAAAGGGGTCCCATACTGGCGATATCGGTCGAAATCAAGAAGCAGGGCCCGAGTCTTTTTCTGGACTTTATCGAAGAATATAGCAGCTCGGGCAGGAGGGGGCATTGCTTTACGGAGGCTGTGGTAGACATTATCATCGTGCACAGCCAGGCGGAACATCGTTGCTTCAAAGTCACCCTGGACAACACACTGTGCGGGGGTCCTCGACTGGTTAATTGTCTCTACCTGATCAGGCCGGAAATCATCAGGCATCGTGGATTCACTGAAAGCGGAGAGTATGTCTCTAACTTTTTCCGGGCGACTCATGGATCCGCCGTATTCTTGCTCGGAAACGCCAGGGGAACCAGGATCATCGCTAAAGTGCCAGCGGGCTTTCCTTGAGATATCTTCCATACGATCGCCGATTAACTGGTACAGCGGACGGATATTCGGGGATTCACCAGTGCGAGAGAGGGGGATTCCTGTTCCTGGCCATTCTGGGAGTGTCAACCTATGCAGTTGGTCGACGAGCCACTAAGAGAGCGAGTGTCAGTTCCCTTCAGTGTCAATTTTCTCATCATCTAGCGGACACTTACAAATATATGTCGACACGCTTTGGTACCATCCCCATACTCCGAGCAGGAGCATGTCATTGGGCCATGCCCCAGGTGAACCAACCCATGGTCAAGGACTTGGAAGGCATATCCGTCTTCTGACGCATGACATTTCTCGACGATAAATTTTCCCAAAATGCCCGACATTGCCCTAGCTCTTACATCTCCTGAAAGCCCGGCAACGTTGTACAGGATAGCTGAATTTCCTTTGACTAGGGATTTTGCTGACCCGGACGCAGTACCCTCCCCTTCGCCTTCGGAAACCTCTTCCTCAGAGGAAGTATCAGCAGAATGCTCTTCCTCGTCATCTGCTCGGCCAAGTCTCTCTGGTTGTCCACGAGCGGATGACATCCTTCCGCCGATAGATAGCTTCCCGAGTTGCTTCGTTGGGGCGGACATGAGAACACGGGTTTATGGAGCGAGAAGTCGCTATTAAAGGGTATAAATGCGCAGTGGCTGGAGATCGAAAAGTTTATGGAGGCTTTAAAGAATGACTGAAATGCTAATGAAAGAGAGCTTAGGAAACAAAAGAATAACTGCATCTCAATGCTGCTCTGGCGCTCCTTTTGTACTTTTTCTGATTCCACCCACAAGACAAAAATCCACCTCTAGAATTTGCTTTGCCGTAAAAAAGAGAGTTGATCAAAGGGGCGTACAACTTAACGAGAAGACAAATAGCTGTCGTATCCGACACTCAACTCAACAAGGAAGCGGATAAGGTGTGTAGATGAATAGTCAAGTGGTCGCGTATCAGTGGACAGCGCGGTTCTACCCTAGGCGGCGTGTAGATCAAAAAAGAATCGAAGCAACGGCCGCTAAAGGCCAGCCAGGGGAGATATATCAATCAGGAAGCCAGGCTGGTGCCTCCGGGGTCCCGCCATACTCAGTGGCAGAGCCGGAGGGGCAGAAATGCGCAACCAATGGAAAGCTAAACCACGGCAACGGCGCTGAGAACTAATACTCCGAATATGTAATACTCCCCGAATATGATCGTAGAGTTCGAATTCGTAGTTTGAAGGGGGCCCAGGAGAGATATTCCATCTGCGGCACAGCGACAGCTGCTGACAGTCAGAGGGGGGGCCGGGGGGGGGGGGTGTTATGGAGGAGCCCAAGAAATAAAAAAAAAGAAAAAAAAAGAAAAAGAAAAAGCCAAAGCCCATCGAGAATGCAAAAGCAGTCGCCATGTATGTACTGTACATGTATGTATGTACATGTACCTAGGCAGTTAAAGCTGCGACCAAATTTGCAGCGAATGCCAATAAACATTTGGTCTAGCATCCTGCCCACTGCCCAAGTGCCCACTGAGCTAACTACTCTACTGCGAGACGGTGGGCAGGTATGGTATGGTATGTGGGACCGAGTTGGAGGAGGGAAAACGGGACGAGATAGCTGTTCGTCACACATCTGGATCCGATGGAAAGGGGGACGTATGAAAAAGGCATCGGCGTTTAACCCTCCGCCTACAGAGCATCGAAATAGAGGTTGGCCAAGTAGTTAGAAGAAACCAGGGCAGCAGAACTGGCCCCTGGACCTGTTCGGAGTCACGATTCGCCCTGATACAATATAATAATAATAATGATGATGAGAGTGACACAGCACAACAGCCAGATGTTGCAGTAGAAGTAGGCAAAAACGGCGCGTCTAGCGATTAGCCCCAACGCACGTCCCCCAGTCGAATATCGAATCCAGCGAACGAACGAACGAGGCGGACGAGCGAGCAGCTAGTTAGGAGTTAACTATAAGTTAGTTAGTTATTAGTTAACTTAGTTAGCCAGGCATTATTAACTAGTCTGCAACTACTCCGTACAGAGCCCGCAAGTCAAAGTCAACTTGGTTTAAATGCCCGATCGGTGAGTCCAAGAACCAATCCAATCCCCGCCCTCGCAAGCCAGCTCCAGAGTTGCCCTGGAACGAACGGGCGCCCCCTTATTTCGCTGCTTGCGGCTGTGAGCCCCAAACCCGGGCGAGGTTGGGAGGAACAAGATATGACAACATCAATATGACAACATCAATATGACAACATCAATATGACAACATCAATATGACAACAGGGACAGAGAGCATCCCGAGTTGTTATGTTCCCTGCTCATCCCCCCCGGGCGGCTAAGTTGGTTCTTGGAATGCGGCACAGTGACACCGTCTCGTCTTGTCTTGTCTTGCCCCGTTTTTCTGTTAACAGTGTGCGCAGGTACAGGTACGCCTTGCCTTACAAATTCGACATGGCACGCTGGCATCCACAGCGCCGCTCCACAGACACTGCCGGATCATGATTCTCTACCACCTTTTTTTATTTTTATTTTTTGGGATCTTGACCATGGCCCGCCGACGTTGAACAGGAATCTCCGCCCTTTGAGTGACGATTTGTTGGCAGGTGCATGGGAGGAACACAGGGGATTCATCTTAGCACGGCTGTGCCGCAGATTTATAACCAGCAATCCCCAAACAACCATCTTCGAGAGGGTCACCTTATTGCTCCCCCAACTGCTGCGGCGTCAATTAGCCGGCGGACTGGCTGCATCTAATTCTGGTCATCTGAATTTTCCGGCGCCGGAAGATCGACTCCTTTGTCCTCGCCGGACTGCTTCTTCGTGCCATGATAGGTCCATCGGGGGTCTCGGAAGAGCCGTTCTGCAACGTACCAAAGCCTCTGCTCTACCATCCTTTATTAGTTATATCAATCATTCCGGTCCAGATTTTTGGGACCATGCTATGCTCCACCGGAGACCCGTTTTACTGACAATGCGTTTGTTCCATTCACTTATCACAGCCACACGATGCCCTGACTAGGAACTATATCAGCCTGTTTCATAGCCGCGCCTGGATAGCCAATACCGTCCAATAACGGGATTCCCATGAACCGCTTGATATTGATTCTACATGGAATTCTGTGGATTACCAAAGGTATGATAGATGTCAAATTTGCAGGGCCCTCCAATGACCGTCTGCTATCCACCTTGAGGCTAAAAAGAAAATATGTCATCCCACGCTCCATCTTCTAGCCAAAGTATGACTCCCTTCCGTCACATTTGCGGTGCAATTAGACTACTACTGCTACTACGCAAAATTTCATGGTTGTTCGTGATCAGGCACGGCCTGGGGCAAAGGTTGGAATCAGCCCACCCCACACCAGGTGGCGACTATCACAGGGTGTCTTTCTACTTCAATGAATCATCTACCCACTGTCCTTATTTGTTACCATGCATTTGTGATGAGGGCATATTTTGACAAACGGGATTTCAAAAAGGGGCCCAAAGGGGGCTTATCATTTTGCTGCGCTCCGAGCTCCTGAGCGAGCGGACCATTTCATTTCGCCGTTAAATCCCGGAAAAGGCTCGTCGTGATTACAATCAGCAGATCCGCAGATTGCACACGACCACAACTTGCCAGGGGAACAACAAGACTGTTAAGAGTTCGGTGCCGAACAAGTATCGCTTCTAGATTGAAAACCACATTTGGATGACCTATGAAATGCCTCCACATGGAACCGCAACCGTAGACATGCGCGGACCAACGAAGCCCCCCACCTATCCAGATGGGACTTCTGCAGTAATTTATTTCTTGCTCCCTCAGGCAAACTGCTGACTGTCATTTAGTCGACGTTCGAGCTTATCTCTGCAGAAAAATCCAACAGCTACGTGGAGATTTCATGCAAAAGCCACGAGCGGTAGGCCGGTAGCAAAGCACATAACATCCGGGCCAGCCACTACTGTTACATGTATGTATTTCTTAGCTGTGATTAGAAACCCGTTCGCTCTGTCTCCCATGTGTAGGGCCACGCAAATCGGCCCCTTTCTACATATATGTATGTACATGTACTTCCGCACTAGGAGCTAGGTCTAAATTTTAAATTGAGTCCTCATGTTTGAAATAGAACTTCGACACTGTTAGTACGAGCGCAACTTCCAAGACTAGGGAGGCCTCATGGGCAGGCCGAATGAGAGGCCATGTCCATCAACCAAAAAACAGCCGTTTTTTTTTATCACTTGACTACCACTTCATGCGGGTGATATGGGAGCGGGCGAGCACCAAGACTTAAAAGCTACCTCGCACCCGTGCTGGACCAATCACCATATATATACCCACCTAAGATAACCAACCATCTGCTAAAAAAAGAGAAAGAAGGAAAGAAGGAAAGGGGAAAAAAAAAAGGCATCTGTTACCCCCCCCTCAGACACAAAATGGAGTTATTTTTTAACCGGGAAGCGTGCTTACTGCCAACCAATAATTATCAGATCTATCACCAGAAAAAAGCAAATCTCCCCCACCCCACCCACCCGTCATCCATCTTATGCCCCTTTCGTATTTGATGTTTGAATCGTCCGAGGAGAATGAGTTAAGTTACGCCACAAGAACCGGTTGACGGAAGTTCCACCCAGCATCGATCAGTACAAGTAGTAACTAAGTAAGTTGACCCTTTTCCCCCGCAGTTCGCTGCATCGCCGGCATGTTCTGCATGCCGGAACTGTTCCCGCTCGCTAGCACGGACTGGATCGAAATTGATCAAGACATCTAGGCGATGTGGAGCTTACTGCGTCCGTTAACTACATCGTAACTTACATACATTAGTTACATAAGTTACTGGTGCTAAGGCAGTCCTAAGGAGAAATTCAAGGGAAACCATAACTAATTTAAATCTGGATATTTTCTCTTTAATGGTTTTTAAACCCACCAGTTTACGCCCTATCCTGCAGAGCGCACCAAGTTACCAGCTCAATTCTTTATTAATCGGGGTAGTTACAAATCAGCACCAATTGGCGTTTATTTAAGCTTAAATGCATATGATATTTTTCACAATTCAGAGCGTCGTTCTCAATATCCACGGTTTCCGTCAAGGGGTTTTCAATGTGTATAAATATATGTTTAAAGAACGCCTTAAACTATTTCGCATTTCTTTGAGCAGCGAACGCCTATCCCTTTCTATAATATAACTAACTAGCCACTCTTGTTCACTGCAATTTGATCCAAAAAAATCAGGGAGGGAGCACGTCAACCAAAATCATAAAAACGCAAAAACGAAGCGAGGTAGACATTAATAATATGGCAAAATTAGGAAATGTTAGGAAACGAAACGAAAACAAAACAAAACAAAACAAAACAAAACAAACAAAAGAGAGACCTTATATCCCAACCTATGCAAATATGGCAACTAAACCTAGCAAACAGACGAGGGGAATTGGTTAGCAGATTCGTGAGTGCCTCGATATCCATTCAGCAGGAAACAGAAAGATGCATAACGACATAAAACACACCCCGATAAAGAGTAACAGGTTTTGGGGCTGGCGAGCGATAGCCTGATTTAGGACAAATCGCTCCGCAATTGTTGCTCTAGCAGCTGTCGTTCCCACCCCCGCTCCTGACCCGTTCTCCCCTAATCCTCTTATACATCCTTGGTGAGACTTCTTGCCCAGCCATTTTCATACGCGATCTAAGCTGCATCGGAGACAAGGGAGCGGATTTGCCAGGGGCCTCCGTAGAGTCCAAGCTCGTAGACTCATCATAGTTCTCATCTGCTTTGATCTGGCGCATCGGGTTCTCCGGCCGGTCCACGGCTTCCTTGCCACTCCTGGGTTTCTCGTCGGTGGAATCGTTATCGGGATCATGACCAGGAGGAGGATCGTTTCCCCCTTCACTGTGGGCCGAAGCCGAATCTCCTAGAGTATGTGGACTACTAGGGTCATCGTCATCGTCATCGTCATCGTCATCATCGGGGTGTCCGTAGATATCATCCCTGTTCGCATTATGGCACTTCTGGCAATTGCATGCGGATTGGAACAGGCGCATGGCGTGTTGCTGCGAGAGCTCACGATTGGTGTATGGCAGGACGAGCTCGACGTCTGCTTCGATAGCTTTGCGTGCCCAGAGGATGATGCGATTCGGGATGACCGGGTCCCAATCCCACGCCACGTTGTGTGCGTCGTGGCAGAAGTGGTTGAACATTGCCACGCCAGGGAATAGATATAGAGTTCTGAACGTCGGGTTCAGCTGTTCTAGAGTGCCTTCCATACGACTGCGGGCCTGTTTGATTGCTTGCCCCTCTGCGGCGTCAGGCCAACCCCGTCGATGATGATCCCATGGAATAACATTGGGGACAAGCTTTCTGAGCACGGACTGGATCACCCAAGTGTCAAAAGTAAGGTCTCGGAAAATATCCACTCCCAGGCACATCAGGATATCGAAGGGGACACGAATATTTGCCGAGTAGGAAAAGGGGAAACAAGCATGCTCTTCTCCCGCAAACAGCGGCAACAGCTCGTCAATTTCATGCGCGAGGAGAGCTGGCCTATTGTCTGTCTTTCGACGATGAAGTGTAATGTCAAAAACTTCTCGAAGTAGCAGACTAAGGAGTGTTCCATGGCGTTCGTTTGTATACAATGAGCGCTCCGGGTTTCTCATTGAGTCATGCAGCCATGTCCAATCTTTCCCACAAGCGCGGTAATGATAGAGAGAACGGGCTATCTCTAAACATGACCGTGGCTTCTTAGCTGGCGGCGCGGCGAGCTCGGAGTCTGGAAGGTCTGTGCGTGATCTCTGTCTCTTTCTTGATGTTTTCTGCCCTAGCCCGGTTCCACTGCCTACTTCATGATCTCGGAGGCGTGTAGTCTGTGAACGGGTCGCCATCATAGCCGGAGCGGAGGATGAAGGCCCGGGTTCATCGTTTGCCCTGGCATCGTCATCTGTTCTGGCATCGTCATTTGTCCCGGCATTCTCATTTGTCCCGGCATTCTCATTTGTCCCGGCATCGTCGTTCGTTCCGACATCGTGGCTTGTTCCGGCATCGTGGCTTGTCCTAGCGTCGTCTCTTGGTGGAGGACACCAATATAACGGTTCCGAGAAAAGTCTAGAGCAGTCACAGATGTCTCTACTGATCTCTTGCTGGCCTGCTGCAGAAGGCTGCCTGACTAATTCTATCACCTCTGGCTTGATTTGTCTCGTGCAATTCTCGCAGCGATGCTCGGCCTTCCACGGCGGGCTAACAGTATGAAGATGACCTCTTATAGATGGTTCATCGACGTACACAATTTCTCTCTCGTGGATATCCCGGGTTGCAAAAACGCCAAGATTGCCCTCTTTATCTTTGTCAACAGCGATTTTTGGGACGGGGTTGTCCACCTGTGATTTGCCAATGAAATCCTGAGTTATCCTCTGCTTGAAAGCCGCAGCCGTCCTGTCGATATCTCGGGCACTATATGGGTAGTCTCGTATTGCAACATGGCCGTAATTGCTTTCGAAAAAATACTCATCAGCACTAGTCCCCTCCTCTTGCTTGCCAGCCTCCACGGAGGCCTGCAATCTATCCCATCTCCCCATAATCTCCTGCGCAACTCGATCCTCCCTTGATAGTTGTGCTAGGAATTGCTTCTCCACAGCTTCGTAATCCCACCAACAATGCAGACGAAATAAACTTAGGCTGATAATGTGGTGTGCGACTGTGCGAATGGCCGGAATGAAGAAATTGACTCCCTCCGGGCTGCGTAGAGATTTGATTGTGCGGGATCTGTTAACATCCGTTGCGGGTATCTGCAATACATGATTTTCGACTGCATCCCAAATTCGAACGTATAACCCTGGCTGTCGGCTCCGTAAGCGTGTTTCCGCCAACACTTCACAAAGCATCTGAGCACGGTGTGCATCTCCGACAGCAAGGTCAAAATATCCCATCTCATAATGAAGATATGCGCGGCTGATCCAGTAAGCAGGGTTGTAAGGGCTGAGAATTATAGCCCAGGTATATATATCCAAAGGTTTTAGCTCCGATTCGGCAGAAACTCTGATCATGAAGTCATTTCTGCGACTAATTCCCCAGTGCGATAGGTCTTCCCGAGGTAAAAGACTTTTTCTATTCCAAAACATCTCCTGTTCATAGTCATGCAATCGCCGGCGTAAATCTGCAACAAGGCCATTTGGATTTAAGTTTCGAGATCGTAGCTGCGCTTGGAGTCTCACCTTGGTCCAGAATCGATTGGTGAGAACATCGTAACCATCTATCAGTGTACGTGATGGAGGCCTATCGGGCGAATCCTCGCGATCAGCGTCGTTTTGATGAAATATCTGCGAATATTGCCACGGTTCACGCCCGTCCGTTTGAGGATTATATCTATATTGCGCATATTCATCGGTTGTGCGGTCGGGAAGTAACTTCCAATGAAAAATATTTTCGTAGACGTTTCGTACAAGAATGGTGTCCGTGGTATGTAAGTGTTCTGCATCTTCTGCCTCCGGACGGCTACGAAGTCTGTCATTTTCATTCCTGAGGCAAGAGTCCTGGGCTGACCAAAGCGTATATGCTTTCTGAGCGTCCGCTTGGGTCGGGATATTTCCCCATTCGACCTCATTAAATAGGTCAGGCCGGCCAGGGAAGTACGGAGGCGGTAATTCATGGTCAGCACCTTCGTTAACGGTTGACCCAGCTGCCTGCTGCTGCTCCGCCCTGGAGCTTTCGGCAGCCATAGGATCCTCAATGGGCAGGCTAGTTTCTAGGCTAGACTGTAAAATGTCTGGAGAAATGACAGTACTGGCGTTGGTGATAACGGTTGTTCGGACCCACTTGGGATTCTACTAGGAGTCGATAATAAATGTGATGATTAATGATGTGCTAGTTAGGGAGGGTTCCTCTGGGTTTTCATTGGCAATCTCAATGCATGAAACAGCAGAACTGAGCCCAAAAAAATCGAAACGCGGCGTAGCTTCCGCTATACAGTTGTGTGAAGGATTGGAACTGTCACAAGAGTGGAATGAGGGAAGCCAGGACATCCTGCGGTATTTGAAGCAGGAGAGATACTCGCAACATAAAGAACCGTCATTTTCAACAAGTGAGGGGATAATGGTCTCCCGAAACGGATCAGTGACAGTTACTTGACTCAAGCAAGTAACAAGACAAAAAACGTGTAGACAAGAGATTGCTTGCTACAAAGAAATATTTTTGTACCAACGGATATAGAAACGAAAAACAATGAAGAATTGCCCCTGTCAAGTGTTTTGAATATCAATCCAAACAAAAAGTAGCCAGTTTATCATTGTGTCGATCCTTAGTTGGGGTCAAAGAGGGAGAGAGTCAAATAATAGGGGCTAAAGATCATTTTCCAAGCCCATGTATGATTATTATTTTTAGGACTGATCCCCCTGGATGTCTGGTTTGTGAGGTGAAACAAAAGTCGAAATTGAACGAAGGTCATTTAAACCTGCTTAGCCTGTCAGCTATAACTCCAACCGTTTAACTAACTGAGCGGTCTGGTGGCCCGAAAAAGGCCAATGAAAAGGCCAATAATAATCTCAAGGACGGGAGGGAGGCCTACGTACGCAGAGATTCAAGGATATGGACTTCTCACAAGAGGGCAATCAGCTCATCCGTCTAGTATGATACTCCATAGAAGGATCAAATAGCTATTATACCTCAAGCGCTTGAGGGCAGATCAACATACCATACCATACCGTCTGACGGCAGCAGCGTCTGTCTTTTGCGGAGACTAAGAGGAATCAAACATGATCCTCATGTCTCACCCCCTCGTTCAAATGAATGTTCCCTGCACTAGCTCAAACATGGCGCGATGGCTGAGCACCGCCATCAACGCCGGAGGTAACGTACGTTATGGAGCTTGCATCGTTAACTAGTTAGTTACTAGTTAGGCTGCTCTATTTCTGACGACAGAGCTCCCTTCCAAGGTTTTTCCACTGCCCAAACGACCCAGCCAAGTGCAAATTTGCATGAGGGGCATCGCATGCTTGATGCTGCCGACAGCGGCGACAGCGGCGACAGGGGGTTGTTAAGTAAGAGTGTCGACTGTCCCTCTCTCGTGTTGTTGAAGAATAGAATTGGATGTTGGGCGCGGGTTGGATTGGGATTGGGATTGGGATTGTGACCTGACCGACTCGGCAGTTGAGGTCACCTGTTCTGCTTCTTGCAGCCGCCAGCCGATCTTAAAAAACTAAGTTACGGAGTAGTTAGTTAGTTATACGAACAACCGCTTGTGGCTTCGTCTCCTGAGTTCAACCACCACCGCGCCTCCGCCATAAAAGCTCTGAGAGTCGCCGTGGTCTGTTTCCGCTTCCGCGCGCACGACGGAAGCGGCTGGGAGAAACAGGATATTTAGGAACCCGCTCGGCTACCCCAGCTTCTATCCATGGGCCATCCCTCGAAAGTTCCTTGCTCCCAGGATCCAAGGAGCCCCCTAACTTAGCAGAGCAGTAAGCTTTTTTCTCTTCTCCCGGCCAGAAGTTGCCATTTACTAAAACTCTCATGCAACCAGATATGTTTGGGTCTCAACCGCCCCAAATTCCACCCTTCTATTCTCCCGCTACGCCGCAACCTGAATGGCAGCAGCAGCCGCCGCCGCCAAATCAGGCGCTTGGTCCGCCCTGGCAGCCCGCGGACCATCCCCCGCCCCCGCCCCCTCCCCAACTTCCTCCTCGCGCGTCGCAATCAGGCGCCTCCTATAATCCGGGGACTTATGGTCCGATGCCAGGGGCGGGAAACTCTCCATCGTTAGACCAGAATATCCACTCAGGATTCTCTCCTGGTGGTGACACTTCCGCATGGGGTGTCAGGTATAACCAGCAGCAGCAGCACCAGCGGCATCAGTCCAGCCTCCATGGACATCAGCCCACAGGTCCGCCGCTACCGGTATGTCTAATTCGTTTTAAAGAAGAATATTTTGGTCATTTTAAAAGCTGACCTTAGAAACCTTTAGCCCCGCCCCTCAAGCGCGCTTGATCAATTGCAGTCGCCATCGCAATCGCAATCGCCTGCACAGTCCACTCCATGGTCCGCACCCGTGCCCGCGTCTACTTCTCCGCCCCTATCAAACCAACAATTTTACCCACAGACCCTGTCGATGAATGTATCCGAACCTCAATCTTACTATCCGCACCAGCAAGGTCCTTGGCAGACGTTCCAAGATCCCAACTTCCAGAGTAATCAACCAATTCCACCTCCCCCACCACCTGTGCCGCCAGCCTATCAAGTAGAGCAGCAACAACTCTCCCAGGGCTGGGCGTCACAGCCATCATATTCTGACAAGCCCCCAATCCATCACTACGACCCCCCGCAACAACAACAGCACCCGCAAACCACAACCTCTGGGCCGTCTGTGTTAGGTCAATATGCCCCTGCAGGAAATGGAGTTCATGATCAGCCTCAGACTACTCCTCCTGCAGGCTTTACAGCCGCTTTATCACCTCCAACAAATCATGCGAACATCTATGCGCCTCCATTAACTCCAACATCAGCTGCTCCTGTTACTCCTCTCTCCCCTCCTGTGGTGTCCAGTGCATCGGTATTAGGTTCGGGCGGCCCATCTGACTGGGAGCATTTTTCTGCCCGGCATGATGAAATCGATGACACAGCTGCCTTCAATTTCAAGTGTGACGTGCCTCCCAAAAAGGCTAATACTTTTGAGCTGCCTTCGGAAACGTCTCCACATCCCTCGAGTGGAGGGAACAAGCGGGCTCAAACACATCCCGCAGAAAGCCCACAGAGCCATACAACGGCCGAATCCATCAGAAGGCCTTCTCCTAGTCCACCAGTTAGCCCAGCCACCTACCCAAGAGATGGTCCTGATAAGCCCCTACCACTCAACCGAGTTGATAGTGTAACTTCGTCCGTAATTTCGACAGACGATTCTACGATAATAGATGGAGTAATCCAAGCGTGGTCCAATCCAGTGCCACCGAAAATACTTCCACTTGACACAACGGCGGCTAAAGAAAGGACTCTATCGTCTTCATCTCATACCTCTGAACAACTTCACATTCCATCTCCTCTTACCCCCCGCCCTCATACTCCCAGGCATGAGAGTCCCCAATCAACAACTCCCAAGGCGGACCAGGCAGCTCCAAAAACTATAATAAAGGTTGTCGATCTGTATGAAGACCTTGATCCTTGGTATAAGTCTTCTTTGAGCCGATATGTTACAATGCTGCGGAAGGAAATGGCTGCCGAATCAGACCAAGAGAGGTTCAAAATTTTTACCCATTTTCTCAATAAGGAAGCTAAGTTACGTGAAATCCTATATGGCATTGAAGACGCAGCGAGCACTCTAAATACCAGACCATCGAGGAATCTTTCTGTCAGAAGGCAATCCTTAACCATACCGGAATTAAACACCTCCAAACTTAGCGTCCCATTGGAAGAGGGAGATGACGTAATAACCTACAGTCCAGGTGGCCGACCGATACTTGCTTCCGCGCTGTCTGCGCATGGACAGGTAGGAGGGAAACCAGTGGGAGGGACAACCGTAGGAGACGGCCTTCATCGATCAGCATCTCACCCAACTCCACCCTTACAAACTCGAATCCGGCAGAGTAGCTTTGCTTCGAGGGATGGTATCGGCGCAACTTCTCGTCGAAACCCCATAGCGAATTTCCCCCGATCAATATCTGTTCCCCCTGAAGCTAGCACGGCCGTTGCACGTAATCAGAGTCTGGCCCCACTCTTGAGCCAACCGACGAGACCAGTCTACACGCCATTCCGTTACGCTGAAGGGCCGCAAGGGGGCTCGGGACCACTGACTTTCGATCGACCCGCATTTCAGGCATATTCTGCTTTAAGACAAGCATCCGTCTCCAGTGGCCGAACACTCTCCCACCCAGCTGCCAATTCCTTTAGTCCAGGCTCCACAGAGCGCCCATCCATTGGGAAAGGGGAACACGGTGAAACGTTTATCGGGCTTATTAGGGAGAAGAGCGTCGCTTATAGAGGGCGACATAAGAGCTCTGACCCTCATTCAAAATTGTCAGGGGAGGCATCGTTGGTAGGAAACAAGAGAACAATCTTTGACGCTCTGCGAGAAATGGTTCCTATAACGCTCCCGAACCCAGCTGCGAACCCCGATGTCATTGAACTCCGCAAAGAACTAGAAGCTGTTCAGGATGATTTCGACTTCATACAAGAATCCATCAATGCATGGGATGAACAGGCACGTGCCAGACGGCCTGAACTGGACCGCCAGCGTCGAGTGAGACAGGAGGAATCCGAGCACCATATCGATGGCCTTTTTAATGATAAGGAGATCGGTTATTCGGATATCAATGTCTTAGAGGATGAGTTTAGGGAGACTGAAGCGCAACGACAACTGACTGAAGAAAGGAAGGAATTTGAAAACTACCTCGAAAATATTTTTAATCCGATAGAGAGCCGGCTGAAGGACGATATTTCCAGGCTCCAAGCCCAGTATGATCGAGCTATCGACATGCTCAATGCGGATACCGCAACAAGTGACCTTCTACCAGGTTCGCCAAAGACGACAAAGTATGAGCTTTCACACATAATGCAGATCGCCGTAGAACTATTCCAGAAGCTTGAGGTTCGATACGCCAAGCAAGCGGAAGCGGTCCTAGAACGAGAAAGGCGGCGTAAACAAGCCGAGCGCAGATACTACGTTTTCCTCGGGGAGACGTCGGCCCTCAAGCAGCTGGATGAAGATTTTGATGCCATGGAAACAAACAACATCCTGAACGCTGCGAAGGAAAAGGACAGCCGCGCAAATACCCTCATGGACGCCTTTGACGATGCCAGCATGCGTGGATTGGGTGAGAACCAGGGCCTACTCGACGACATCGCCGGCAAGGCGAAAAGGATCAATGCACAATACATCAATATCCTGGGCAAATTGCCCTCTGACATCGAAGAGATAATGGCCTCCGCCCTAGCCGTCGTCAAATACCTCGGCACAGATTCCGAATCCATCCTGCAGAGCTTCGGCGCAGCGGACCGCGCGCTGAACGAGGCAGACTACGAGCTCTCCGTCTCAGAAGCGCGCGGCTCCAACGCCGACCCAGACATCTTCCACCGTCTCGAAGAGGAGAAAAAGAAAGAAGACGTCAAGATCCACGAAGACCTCCAGACGCGCCTCGATAGCGTGCGCATGGGCCACGAGGCGCTAATGGCCAACCTTCGCGAAGCACTAAATATCATCCGGAGAGTAGGGTCTAGCCTGTCCGCGCCGAATTCTAGTGGGGATGTTCGGAAGGGCCTGCCGCGAGCATCATCATCGTCCCCACCTCCCCCGGTCCCTTCTATGCCTCCAATCGCCGAAGGACCCCCTCCCGTCCCTCCAAAGACCCCACCTGTACATAGCCCTGGGGCAGTGGAGGATGAGCAGCAACAACGACATCGGAAGGCGTTGGAAGATGCCAAAAAGAGAAATGCAGCGAAGGGGATTATTCGATGAGGACGTCCTCATTTTTTGGATCTCGTTTCATCCCATTTATGTCAATTTTGTTTTGAAAGCTTTCTAATCTCGTTCGCCAGGTTGGAGCGTTGATTGTTAGTTACTTGCTTATTTTTGTCACGTTTCTCAAATTTGACATTTGAGGGTTTTTCTGCTATTCTACTATACCTTCTATTCGTTCTCAGTTATATTTATTTTTTTTGTGTCTATTTTATTTTGTTTTATTTTTTACTTGGCGCAGTAAATACCCCCCCGACATGCCTTTTGACCCTTTCAGCGATGTTTTCCTTTCTTTCTTGCCTTGCATTTTGTGAGCGACATCTAGAGCTCATGATTTATACGACATGACCTGGTGTATTTATGCCTTATTCTTTATTATTAATGTTCTTTATCTCTTATAGTACGTACACCTCCTTTTATACCATTTGCCTTTTGTAATTTGGCCACCACTGCCTGCAGCTGCGTTTTCTACCTTGTGTTGATATCCTCTAGTCGAGGTGAGATGGCATGTTGATGCAATTTATTGTTGTTGTTCTGTGCATAACTTACCCGCTTCTTGGATTCCCTTCGTATTCTAAAATTAGCTGAACAGTTTTGCGACTGGATAGCTACTATTCATTGTTCACAAGTAATTCTGTTATTCCCAGCGACCCCGATCTGTCTATGGGTACTACACTCTATGCTTCTATAGAATAAGGATAGTTAGAAATGCCGAGTCATAAGCTGCTATTCCCTTTCTTCACTTCACTTCAGTTATTAAAAAAATAACCATAATAATAAGCTTTCCGACGTTCCTGCGCCGTCGATCAGTCGGCAGCTCGCACCGCACGCAAAAAACGTGAAACAAGGAGCTTTTACGAGGGGCGGGGGCGCAGGGGGGCCGTGTCGTGTGGGGTTCTTGTTCTTGTTCTTGGATTGCATTCCTCGAAACGAAATACTCCTCAGCACAGCCCAGGGGAAGTCAACCTTGCGGGGGAGTTCCAAGCAAAATTGAGAGGGAAGCCTTTGTGTGTATGTGTTTCATTTTTATTGTGTTTCATTTTTTCATTTTTTCATTTGTTATTTTTGGGTTCTTCAGGTGGCTGCATGCCCTCGTATCTACAGACTGTTTCTATATTCAGCATTCCAAGCATTCCAAGTTCCGAGACGCTTGGAAAAGCTTCAAATAAAACTTTGCTTCCATGACGTAGTATTTCATTTTTTTTTATTATTCCTTGAGAGAGAAAACATCCAGCCTTGGCAGGCGGCTAACTCGCGATTTCTGCACGGGAGGTGGTAAGATAAATGCTATCCACTTGAGGAGTTGGAGGTTCTGTTTTGTGTTGGGGATAAGAAGAAAACAAGACAACTGGGGATAAGAAGAAAATGGAAAGAGTTAAGCTGAATCTAGATAAACCAAAGGGCTTCAAAGCCAGTCGGAAAAATTGCCGCTGACAGACAGCCTTGATTGATAGGATAAATAGCATGAGATCTTGAGGCTCGGTGCCAGATAATGGAATGTGGGCCTGAGAAAAAGAATTTTATAAGCCATACATACGCAGCTACCCGCCATCTTCCCCCAAACGACGAAAGCAACTCTCGCCGATTCCGGACCCCCTTCTTGGAAATAGCGCGAAACCACACCGCATCCGCCCGCCCTGGCCTTGTAATAATGTCTTCTTGGTTGCCTTGAGCGAGATGAAGTCGAAATGCTGGTGATTCTGAAGCTACAAGCATTCTGCTTGCCGCCATGCGAATGTCATTGGCTTTTTATGCAATGGCGGTGCGGCGACAATGGAAGATATGCCTCGCAGGCGTCAGCGATGCAGATCATCCCTGAGCCCAAACGAGGCCGACCTTTTCCATCAAGTAGACTCTTTTTTTTTTTTTTTCAAGTTTATATTCAGCAGCACGGACACAAGCCAGCGAGGAATCCACGACAAAGTCGCGTAGCCTTTTTCAACTTCGCCTAGTTCTTTGCAGATGTTTCCTTCAGGCGTAGCAATAACTATTCGTAACTAGTTAACGATCACATGAGCTAGAATAATTTCAGTGTGGCTTTACACTCTCCCCAAAATCGATCGGGGAACATATTTACTAAAGTTTAAGACGGTTCTCTCTCTGATTCATGCATGCCGGGCCGTTGAGGAAGTTGGCGAAGCCGAAGCCCCCAAGCACAAGCCTCGTTGGGGTTGTGCTCCCTTCGTATTTGGTGGGTTGGAGTCCAATCGGGAGGCTTGGGGCGGCTGGCTGAGGGCTAGTGAGTTAGGCCATGAGCGGGCAATAACGAACGCGGGATTGGGAGGAATGGGAATACATAGCATCGCAATCGACGACGTTTCGTCAGCTTTTTTTTATATGTCAAGATATCAGATACCAAGTATGTATGTAGATACGATACGGAGTACTTACTATACACATATCATATCAGATGGATTGATAATCGGCATAAATGAAAGTTAATCGTCGCAGAGCCTCAGAAGCGATGTGTAAGTTACCCGTCATAGCCGTTACCAGTACGCGTTAGAACATCCAACTTTTCTCCGCCCGCCATCTGCCACTGGCTGCCAGCCATGTGCCGTGCCCCGCAGCGCCTAGGCCGGTTGCGGCTTGCAGCTAGCTCCCAGCTGTGCCCAGTTGCCCTCGGTGGTCCCCAAGTGCGGCGATGGCGGTGATGCAGCTGAGCCTCAATTTTTGTGGGTGGTGTAATATATTTCAATACATGTATATACCGTACAGAACCAGTACGCGGCCTCCGTTGTCCGTCTCCGTCCTGCCAGTATCACCAACCACACCAACCACACCCACAAACAACATCCACAACATCCACCACAACCTCCAAACATCCCATGCCCAGCATCGCTATCCCAATTCCCCCGCGCCTGTGCCGTGCCTGTATTGTGTCTTTCTTCCATACAATCTCCCAACCAATTCGTGGTTTGCTTCGTCCCCCTACTACTGGCGCTGAGTGCACCACAGCCAGCCCCTTTGTGCGCTAACTACTCTGCTCTGCCCTCGCTCTCGCCCTCGTTCTCATCTCCCCCCTCTGTGCCACCCTCTGCTGGCTGGTCTTCCTTGCTCTCCCTCCCATATCTCTCCCTCTGGAGATGGTGCTGCGTCCCATTGCTCTCCAACTATATACCTCTCATCAGCGGAACTACTGAACTCTGGGCTCTGCCATCCCACCCGACTGGACCGACCCCCCTGGATGCCTTTCTTCCCACGTCTCTCTGTCTGCCAGTCCCCGTGACCGCCCAACTCAGCCTCAAGGTTCCTCCTTCTCCTCCTCCTCCTCCTCCTCCTCCGCCGCCGCCGCCCGCCGTTCTCCTGTCAAGTTCTCCTCGCCGACCCGACCAGACAACAAGCGGCGCTATCCCCAGATCGCCCTAACTTCTTCACACTTGCATACACCTTTTTGCCTTTCTTCTTTCTCCTCGGGTCTCTTGTTCTTCCTGCTCTTCTTTCCTTTTCGTCTTCTTTTTCCTCCTTCGTCTAATTAATATTATCTATGGACACATCCCTCTTACTTCTTCCAGCCTTCAGCCGCTTCCACCTATCCTGGCTGGTTAATCCTCCCACCACCGCCTAGCCCAACCCATAGACGAGGGCGAAAACCAGAAAAAAAAGTCCCGGAATTCCCTCAGCTTGCGCCACACTGCCACCGCTGGTTTCATGCGCTTCCACCCACCCACCCTATCAACCCACCCACCGTCCCAAAATCCAGTCTAGTTGAAGAGTTCCTGTGCTCTTGATTTCGTATGTTGTTTGTTCTTTTTTTAATCCTTGCGCGCCGATTGATCAGCCTCGTCTCTTCGTCTTTGGTTTTATCTACCTGTTGTTTTCCCTGTTCCGTGCCAGTTTGCTTGTTTTCCTTTTGTACTTTCTTAACTCCACATTTTTGGCCCTGCCTCCCTCTTCGCATTTGAATACATCCATGCTAGCCCTTTGCCTTCCCTTCATTTACTATTTTTATATCCTGCTTGCCAATTCGGCCTACGCCTCTTGGTAGCTTTACCCCATTTGGAGGACAGGTGGTCATCCTCTGCCTTCTTCTCCTGTTTACCTCCCGGCCTCCTTTTTTTTATATTACTGTTTGGGATTCCCAATCCGCTCCAAGCCCGCCTCGTTCGCTTCACCACTTCCTTACGCCAGAACACTCGCGTGCACACCTATTCTAATCATCATCACTCACTTGAAGCTGACATGACCTCTGCATTAGCCGCTCGTGTTGTCGCCCTCGAGAGCGTGAATTCTCATCGACATCCCGTCTTGCACGGTTCTCGCGCTCAAAGCCACATATTCATGGATGGTCCTGTTCATCCAAGTTCGGACCCAATCACCTTCCACAACCCTCTCTCTCGAACATCCACATCAAAAAATCCTGTCGTATCGTCTTCATCTTCCACCGTGGCCAAACAAGGCCCCATATCGTTCCTAAAATCTGCGGAACCAAAGGTTTCATCTAGTCTAAGCTCGATTGCCAGCGCGGGACTGCGCACTTCACCCTCCCCAATCATGGCCACGACCTCACGGCTCTCGCCGCAACCAGCGACAGCCAGTGACATGAATCGTCGTGACGGATCGCGAGAGCGCGCTTCTGTCCAACAGACTAGCCAACAGAATCCCAGAGATGCCGGAAGCTCCAACGCAAATGCGCCAACCGAAATCAGAGACAACGCCCATGATTCGGCGACCTCGGCATCAACGGAGCCCGTGGTCGTTGCTCAGAAATCGGTTCATATATCTGCGAACGACCCAAGGACGGATAGTCATATACGACGGGCAAGCCCAGCCGGTGTGTCGGACACTTATGATGGAGGAGAAAGTATGGGCACGACCACCACTTTGATGAACAGCAGAACTGTTGCCAGTCCTGGCCCTATTGAGGAACCCAATCTCATGGAAAACGAGCGGTCGCGCCGCAGAGAGGAAGATATCATGATGGAAGAGGGGAACAAAGCTTTCTCCTACCCAGTCCCGATGCCCGCATCAAGCATTAACGATTCCCGACGGGGAATGAGCTTGCCACATGCTGGCTTTAACAAAGGAAGTCCACGTTCTCCATCCGCGAAGAAACATAGATGTCACCACTGCGCAACGGAATTTACTCGCCACCATAATTTGAAGAGCCACCTACTCACCCATAGTCAGGAGAAGCCATATGTTTGCCAGACGTGTCAATCTCGGTTCCGGCGATTACACGACCTGAAGCGCCATACAAAACTTCACACTGGAGAGCGTCCACATATCTGCCCGAAGTGTGGACGCCGATTTGCTCGAGGTGATGCATTAGCGCGGCATAACAAGGGCCAAGGCGGTTGCGCAGGGAGACGTTCTAGTCTAGGTAGTTTCCTTGGGGATGAGGAATACGGCGATGGAGGCGGCCCTGTTGGAGAAGATGGAATGGAAGGCCTTATGTACACCGAGCCAGACCGCATGGATGAAGAGGAGGAGAAGCGCATGAACATGCCCAGTATTAAAAAACACAATCCTCCAGATTCTATGCAACGGACATCAAGCACAGGTGGTGGGCACGTAACTTTCCAATCCCACCAATCTAGCACTTACCCGCCATTAGCAGCCGGGAGACCCTCTCAAGGTAGCCTCTTCCCACCCGTTACTAGCCACCCCGGCTCCAGCTCATCCCCTTCCCCTATCTCACAATCCGGGAACGTCTCCTTCCCTCCCGGAGGCTCCAATAGCTCTTCATTAGCTTTTAATACCCAACAACCACAACCGCAAGGCCACTCAAGCTCTGTTTTCGCACATAACAATATCTCGGAAAGCCCCAAGCCGCTATCACCAAACGTCATGCCCACACGTCAACTAAGCCATGGGTCGGATCATAGTGGGCAACAGCATTCGCGTGGTGGAGGCCTTTCGCCGAGTTTGAAACCCCAATACCAGCCGCAACAACAACAGCAACAACAGCAGCAATTTGGCCGAAACGGTGCCCCCGGGACAAGCAGCGGGCCAGCACAGATTCTCCCCGCACCGCAACCCGGTGCACCGCAACTCCCACTGCCGCACAGCCTTAATAACCCAGACACGCGGTTCCCGCTGCACAGTCCCAACCCCAGTCAATCGCAATCACAGTCACAACAGAGCCTTCACTTGCCATCCCATCACCACCACCATAGCCACAGCCACAGTCACAACAACAGCATCAATGCAAGCCCGAATCTAAGCACCCTCGATAATAACGCTAATAATAATAACAACCTCTTCTCCCGACAACGACAGTTATCATCATCATCGCACCACTCCAACGCCGGCGGCGGTTCTGCACCTCCTCCAGATAGGGTATGGTCATACGTACGTTCGCTGGAAGACCGCTTGAGTGGCCTAGAAGAAGAACTCGTACGGTTGCGGGAGCAGCTTGCTGCACCTAGCAGCGGTAATACTGGTGTTGGTGCTGGGAATGTTGCCAATGGTGCGTAGGATATGGACTGCATGATTAGATTTTTTGGATGAGGTGGAAATTGGGGTAGGGGTAGAGGGAAAGGTTTAATGAGCTACCTGTCACATATTATTCGTATTATTATCATGTCTGCCCTGTTCGTCTGCGGGATGTTCTTTTTCTTTTTCTTTTTTTTCCCTCATACATTCTGTTTATTCATCAATCTACTTACCTATCTTGTTTATTGAAAACTACGACTTCACTTTTTCTCTGTGTTTTATTTTCTTCATTCCCTTTTTTTGGACATGTGTGAAAGAGTACAAAACTTCTTTTGATCCTCCTCCCCTTTCCCTCCCTCTCTTCTCTTTGCCTTTTCTTTGATACAAGCGCTGTGGTAGCTGGTTGGTTAAGAGGCGGCAAGCCGATATGCGTTCTTCATTTTCATTTTCAATTTTTCTTTTAGTTTGATTTTGTATTAGCGTATCTTTTTTTTATAACTTTCATATACTTTTCCCCCTCGTTTCTTTCTCATTATCATCGTCCTGTCCTCCTCGTCACCCACCCACTGAGCACCCTCAATTCTATGCTTCCACTCCCTTTGCTTCTTTCATCTGTTCTTCGCTGCCATTTATTTATTTCTCTCACCCTTTTCTTGATTCTTGTTGGCTTGTTTTGATAGCATGGAGGCTCGACTGGGGGAGCTGTTCCTCTCTTTTCTCTTTCGATTTTGTCCTCTTCTTCATTCCCTCCACCTCATTATCACCTCTTCTCCAAACTTATTTACATGTAATTGGGTATCAATATGCACGACCCTTATACCCTGTAACACCCTTTTTCTCTCCTTTGCGATACTTCTACAAAAATTCAACTACAACTATTTTTACCCCTTGTCTCTCTTTCCTCCCCCTTTTGTATCTTTTTCCCTATTTACATTTACTTTTTATATACCACTCACACTATACCCTTTCGTATCTCTTCTCTCATTTTGCCATTCTCTTCTTCATTTTCTTCGAAGCTATTATTTTCTTTTCTTTATCCTCTCTACAAATCTTCTCTCATCTCAATTGGGTGGCCGTCTTCTTTTCTCGTTCTAGCATGAGTTGTTTAGTGTTATGTATAAATGCAATCCTTGTCTTATTTCACCGTCAACGATTTTCAGGGGGAGATTGACAGCTACCCATTCTCTCAGTGTATGTATGGCCTTTCTTTTATTTATTTATTTAATTTATTTATCTATTATTTTATCTATCTATCTATCTATTTATTTATCTATTATTTTATTTTATTTTATTTTTATTTTTTGATATATTTTTCTTCTTGCTTAACCCCGTTTCTAAAGTGTGAATTAGACTAGTTATCTATCAATAAGCCCCGTAGTATATAAACTTGAGAGGGCAGATAACGGACTGCTGACCCCGGACTATGCATAATCGAGGCATACTTTATGTTTATGGGAACGGGTATATTGATTGGTACAAAACCCACAATGTAGGCGTGGTTTGACATCCTTCGCATGGTATGCGCAAGGACAGGTAAGCCAGACCGGTGATGGGAGCATATGTTGAAGGGATATTTGAATGACTAGTTTTGTCAATATTTTATGGCACTAAACATTGTGCAACGTTATTGACGAGAAGGAGGAACAGGTGAAGAAAATATCAAGGCTTCAACGAAGATTGGAGGAAATATTCAAATTTATCTACGGCATAATTAAGCAACATTGTAAACTTCAACCCCTAGCACTAAGAAAATTTAAGATAACCATACCATACCCCCGTCATACCCTCACGGAGCCAACTCCGCCGCTCAACCCCATCCTACGTACCCACCTTCTTAGCTCTTTGCTCATCAGCCCACTTCAAAAACAGCCCCACGTCCCTCACGATGGCATCTGGAATTGCACTGTGCTGCAAAAACTCAGGAATCCACCCTCTAGCCTTGGAGGACGTAGCCATTACCCACTCGATCTTACCCGGCGCGGCACTGTCTTTCGTATCTGGGAGAATCCGGACCAGCTCGACTGAGACGTATTTTCCTCGAACGGCATCTTTGGGCAGAGAGAGGGAGGGCGGAATAGCAGAGAAGTGTATGGGGAGTTGAATGTTTATGAAACCGGATGGTTGGGTTGTTGAGGCGGAGATTGAGGATTCCGGCGGGGTGAAGGCGGTTATTACCATGGCGAGGAAAACGCGCGGGGAGATGAGATTTGCCGGCTGGAAAGTGTGGGTTACGAGGCTGACTGTGCGTTTGTTAGGTAGCCTGAACTGACAGAATATGGGGGCTTGGTGGGTAGGGGCGGGAGGGGTTCTAGGATTGTCAAGTAGGATGGATGGATGAAATTATTGCGTGGAGTATGCTCACGGCTAGCTTCCACTCCACTCCAGCCACCCTCAACCTCCACTCCACTACAGTCCCATTTCGCAATGTCTTCTAAAGCAGTGATGTTCGGCTCGTACTCCATCTCATTCAGCAAGTGATCATCTTTCAAGCCCTGGACAAATTCTTGGAACGATGCAGTTCCCTTCGCAGCGCAGTTGTCAAGAACAGTTCGACGAGCGAACCATTTATCTTCCTTATCGGCCGCTACTAGGCTCTTGCTAGTCAACGGTGTATACTTGATGGAACCGGAAGATACTTGCACTTGCGCGCTCGAAGGGGGTGAGGCGCGAAGCTTGGGGTTCGTGGTGAATGATTTTCCTGGGACTGTGGTAGTTAGGAACTCAAGAGCCTGCGTGAGCGCAGCTTGTAGGAATAGTGGGAGTGGAGGGCGGGAGTCAGGATTTCCGCCATCTTCTGAAGGCGGGAAGGGATAGGGGATAGATTCATGAGCGGGGATTTCCGACGGCGGAAGAGATGTAAGATGAAGTAAAAAGGGGATTGGGGAGGGAGACATGACTGCGTAGTAACCGAGCAATTGTGGTTTATTTCAAGTTGTTATCAAAGATATGGAATACATACAGTATTGCTATCTCTCGACATGTTTGTTGCTAGATCTGTACACAATAATTTCAGGAGGTTTGTTGCGGCCGTTAGCCATATCTCCGACTGGGTTCGGAGTTTAGGAACCTAAGTTAACTATTACGTAGTGCTAGGCGGGGCGTCTAGCCCAGTTCAGCGCGTGGCAAGTTGCGCTTAAGGCGGAAAAGTGGAAACCAGTGCCTGTGGGAGCCTCCTTTTTTCCCATCCGACCCTTAAACAGAAGTCATGGCTGTTCATCCTCCCCTGAGTATAGCTGCCGGACATATTCAAGCCGTTCCATAACTTTCAGAGCAAGGCCGCTATGGAAAATGAATCTTATGCTGATTTTTCTAGATACTAGGCCTAACAAAGCTTATTGAGGCCCAAGCAACCAATCCATATGGCTATAAAAATCTCCAATGCGAAAAGGAGACGGCTCGTTCCAGCAACGTTAGCGCTTTAATTGTTATCATGCCAACCGAAATAAGTGCGAGCACGTGTGAAATATTCTCTTATACACCCCTACACGAGTCGTTAGACACTGCACCCGGTCCCCCTAACCGCAACAGCTGATAATCAACCCGCTGAATCCGTCAATAGAGGAGGAGGAGGTTTCCGCGCAAACACCACATGGAACGGAAGATACGAATGGATCGAGGAATCCTCCACCGACTTCCTTACTTCGACATTGAAGACTTCCACCTCCTCCAATGTCCAGCCAAGTGCTTTTGTAAAGGGCTTCATGCTATCGCCTTGCAACCCATCACTGATCAGACAGCGATGATAGAAGCCGATTCTCTTTAGCGGTTTGCTTTTCGGCCAAGTGCCGATGGGCACTTTGAACGTTTGCTCGTTGATATTCGTAAAGCCGGCGTCACGGATGTAATTTGAGTGTTTTCTCGGGGAGAGGAGATCAACGTTGAATTTGGCAAGTCCTTCTCTCATGAGACGGAGCCAGTGCGCAAATGCGTAGTCGTCTGGAATGGTGTCATCGTCGCATTGGGCTTGATAATAAAGTTCTTGAATTTCAATCCATCCTCCTGGTCGCAGTTTACTGTAGGTTGACCAAATGTCATTAGGATTGGGGAACTGGTTTGACTATTCACTCTTGTATAATGGCGATAGGGAAATGACATACCTATATGCAGTTCTAATGAGTTTCGGAAAATTCTTGATTGCTGCGGCAAGATGCCGAATATGGATGAAATCGAAGTGATTATCTGGCTGGAGCCACGGGCATTCCGCATCATCGACCATAAATCTCACATTTGGAGGAACCCAGACTGGTTGTATGGGGCTTAAATCGATGCCCAGGACACTGGCGCCGGGGTATTGATCACCCACTGCCGTCAAATATGGGAAATTAGCATTCGGAAATTTGACATATAGAGCATATAAATTAAAAAATAAAATGAAGAATAAGATCATACTATCAATCGCCCACACGCCTGTCCCGGTTCCTATGTCAATAATCCTATGTGGACTCTCAAGAGGCGCGTAATGCAACTTTCCCCCGCACAGGTTGACAATCATAGAATGCTTCATGTCTTCCCGCTCCTGCTCCAACTCGTCGTTTGGAAAGAGATACGCGCCCTCGTGAAACTTATGGAACCTGCGCCCATGTTCAAAAACGTAGTCGCAAACACTTGAAACGAGTGACGACGAGATGGTTGGCTCAATATCCGAGGCATATCCATCGTCACTTGCCTCGTTTTCGTCATCGCTAAGCTCGATGGCTGTCACCGCGTGCAGAACAGCTTCATCAGGGTCCTGTGAGTGTCCGTTAGTAGTTTTCTAGTAGTAGCTCCGCAGGGGAACTAGAAAGTGTAATTATCACGCTTGCCATATTTTTGGAGCTTTGAGCGACATCAGAAATGGCTGGGATTTGGAATGATGGGGGGAATCATGGTCGATTCAGCTGTAATAAATAGTTATAGGATTGCGCACAGATTGCAGACGACGGATTCATGAATTCTCCAGTGTAGCCTTTACTGCGTGCAGAGTAGCGGGGAGGGCATAACTCTAATGAGAGGAGCGGTGGCGATGATTAGTAGACCGCGCTGAGTTTGCGGGGCGAAACAAATGCATTGTTCTTTTTAACTCAATTCATGGTCGACCCCTTATTGGTTAAGGCCCATTATCCATTGCAAGCCAGGTTGCGCCTTATTTTGGAAACTTCATAATGACCTCTGTATGTTATCTGTCGCATGCATGCGTAGAGTCATTGCTGGGAGTTCTAGAGCATAATTTGCAAGCTTGTGTTGAATCTAGATTTACGAATAACACGGTAGCCGATTTTGCACACAACAGACAGATTAAATAATAATTAAATAAGCAGTCACCGCACTTATTCGATTTATTATGTGGAGCTATTCTACTGTAGTTACATCCAAGAATTCGAGAATGCACCAGCAAAAAGTCAGCATATGAAAGGAGCCAATCGAAATTCTAGCACGGCGTTCTTTATCATTGTTGCTGTAGCCGCCCTGCTGCCCGCAATTCATGCTTTAGAGCCGCGAAATGCCACCAACAATGAATAACAACGGCCTTTCCCGTGAAGATAGACTAAGCGACACTGAGGAAGCAACGGGGTATATTTTCACCAACCCTGAGCTGTGTCTAGACGCCCTCCGGACAGCGGGGTATACCCCAGGAGGAGGACACAAAGGCTTGGCCCAAGTTGGAGACGCTGCTCTGAGGCTAGTTCTGGTCATGGTTGGCTACGAGAAGGGAGCATCAAGGGGTATGTATGAACTGTCTATATACATCTGTTCCCCTAGGAAATGAAATTACACTAGGAGGTCCGCGGGCTGAGCGTTGAGTTAAAAAAAAACTCCCAGAACAGATCAATGACGCGTTAAGAGTCAGGGCATCAAATATCCATCTCGCTAGGCAGGGATTCGAAAAATGCTTGGAAAAATGCGTGTATCGAACCGAGGGGGTCGTTGTCTCTCAGAAAATCATGGCTACGACTGTCCAAGCCGTCCTAGGAGCTGTTTATATCGACTGCGAGCAAAACACCTCCGTTTTCCAGGGAGTGATCAAGGCCTTGGGTCTCTCTTGGCCTGAGAAATAAAATGATTCTGTAATAAAAAGCCCCTTCTGGATGATTTATTAAGGTTAGTTGCCCATATTGACACTTATTAAGGGTTCACTTCTATCCCATCTGTCAGCCGAACGAAGGGTCTAACCGTCGTGCGCTAGTGCCGATGGCGAACTCCGCACTTGGACTGCAAGTGCCCAAGTTGCTACTAGCAAATAGGATAACATACGATCGGAAACAAGGTAAAATTTTGTAAGATGGCCTGGAGAAGGGGGCTTGTTGTTTTCGTGAGTGGGTTGGTAGAGAATGTGGATTAACGACCATTAGTGTATTTGTTCGACTGAATGATTTTCTGGATGTAAGTTTATTTGCGAGATGTGAATTTCTGATTTCAATATAGCCAAGCGGTTACAATATACCGTTTGATGCCAAAAAAAAAAATCCTGTTCTTGTTATGCAATGTTCTCGTTACAACTAAGCATCAGGAAAGTGGTGTCTATAATGCATGCATAAAGTCTTCAAACGCGCCGAACACCAGGCCCGACGCTGCCAGTATCAAAAAGCTCAATAAGGCCACAACCTAAGGTCTCTTCCAAAGCCCATCGGAAGTTCATCCCATAGAGCTCTTTCCATTTCTTTGTTTTCCCAGGTAAAACACCAGCAGATTCGCCTCGTGCTCGTTTGGCGGCGTTGTGATATACATCAGACTCAACAGCACCATCCCAGCGGTCCTTAAGAAGAGTTAAAGGCGCTTCGCCGGAGCTAGACCTCTTGAGGAGAGCCATTATTTGTGTTCGAGCCGCTCCTAGCAGACGGAGGTAAGGACCCAGGTTGGGTATGGAAAGAAACATAGTGGTATTTCCAAATTTCCCTTGTCTGGATGCTGCTGTTTCTTGCCCCGGCGACCCTGCGCTAGAAGCATGGCTTCTTGCCGGGGATGAGATGGAGGCAAGAGAGGTGTCAAAAGATGGATGTTTACCTAAAGACGAGGGGGACACGAGAAAACCGGCTCGGACTAAAGCTGAGGTCTCCTCTGGCGTGAAGGTACCAGCTGCAACGGCAGATGTCTTGGTATTTTTGCACAAAATTTCAAGGAATTTTTCTACCCTCAGAAGTTAGTGACTCGTTACTAGAAACTAATATCAGTATTTTCCCCCTTCTTCTTGCTTCCTTACCTTTTAGTTCATCCTCTATGGATGAACTGCCTCTAACTGTTTCCTCCCAATCTTGAACTAAGATCAAACAGTCACCCAGCCCAGCAGAATTTAATCCGCGCCCGGGAATGAAAAGCCTTCGAACCTGAGCAGAATCAACGAGATCAACGATCTCTCTCTCGACTTTAGTTGGCGCATCCAGTAACATATGGACATGCGCAACGGAAACAATAGGTGGGAGAGCACGGCGAAAATTTAAAACCTCCGCGATCCGGGTGCTGTTCATCCCTGCTCTTTCCGGGAGGTCACTGAACATAGTATTGCGGATATACTGGACGGCCTGGATTACACTGTTTACTACCGTTGTTTCGGATATATATTGGGATGGGCCAATATCAGGGAGGATACTATCATTGCTGCTGTCTAACGCCGTCTTGCCAACGGCATTTGAAACGATAGTAGCATTTGGACTGCGGAAAGGTTTCGCGCGTGGGTGGCGTGCGAATGGCGACTGACGCTTGGACGGATGGGCACTTGATGATTTCTTGATTCGCGAAGACTGGGCAGCTGTAAAATGAAGGGACATCACGCACAGTGTCCCACACACGGAGCCAGGTATATGGATAAAGACGATGCAAATTCCATTGAAGAATGAAACGGGGCAATTTAACTACTGGATTCTGGAAGCCTTGGTCCAACATCGTGATATCACGTGGTCTGGTTATCTAATCGTGCCGAAAAGATATCAAAAACCTGAAACCCGGCCCGGTAGAATGAGTAAATTGAACTTCCCTTTTGTCTCACAGCAAGGCTCCTTGAGGTATCTTCTTGCTGAGATGGCCTGCGAATAAAGGCCAAGCAAGCATCCGGCATTTTCGTTATCCATCCATTCATGAGGGTCAAGGGATGACGTATTTGTGACCAAACTATCCCGACTTTCGCTAATGTGGAAAAGCATAATCTAGCTTGTTATGATTTCCTTGGAATTCTAGAATCATTCATATATATATATATATATAAATGTTGCTCTTGATAAGTAGCGCATTTTTATTAAGAAAGAAGCCGGAATTTGATGTAGCGGGTGCCACTTTCCTTTCTTTTCTTCTATTCTCAACTTCAAATTCTCAACTTTGAGACTCAAAACTGAAGTTTTCTCTCTTTCTCTCTCTCCCCCTTCAGAAAGTTCATATTGTTGTTTTTGGCGTAGCTAATCTTCAGTCACAATGACTGTTTTTGTCGTCTCTTTGTACGTTCGTCTTTATCCTCGGGAAAAATCCGATTGATCTCGTGGCTTTTCTGACCTTTTCGCTATAGGTTTCTCCCATATACCGTCAACTTCCACCTTCCCGAAGGTTCGTTAGGTAGGCGACCGTCGAGTCCTAGACGTCGGCATATGTGGGAAGGGCCTTCAGAGCTTCACAGGAAACAATTCAACAGCCTATTCGGTCCTCACAGGAAATCTACTTCCTCCTCGTCGAGGCCAACGTTTTTGAAAGAGCAGGCCCAATTATCTGCCTTCTCATCCGACAAATCTAAGCCAAAGGCAAATCAATCCGGATATCCGTTTCCATCTCACGCAGACCTTCAGCCGCTTGCTCCGAGCGATCCCCACTCACCTACTTGGGGAACCAAGGGAGTCTTCAACCAACCAAAAGCGCAACCTCTTCGTTCTCCCGCACCATCCGTTCTAGCTCACGGTGTTGGCGTTGTTGATACTACTCAGAAGGCGGGGGATATTGATAAACCGTTGGGCTCAACTCAGCCTATCAATGAAACCCAACTGTTTTCGGAAGCAGACTGGACCATAGAAGCGTCGGAGCAAGGGAATGGCGGGCTTCGCAACGCAATCCGCTCTGCTGTGGACACTGGCCTTCTAAAGGAAAAGCTATGGGTTGGAACTCTCGGCATGCCCACCGATGTATTAGATGACCATAGCAAAGATACGATCGCTGAAAAGCTGGAGGTGGACTTCGACTCGTTGACTGTCTTCGTGGGTGACAGTGATCTTGATGGTCATTATCTACATTTTTGCAAAACAATACTTTGGCCAGTTTTCCATTACCAGATCCCTGATAACCCGAAGAGTAAGGCTTATGAAGATCACTCCTGGGTGTACTACGTCAGGACCAATCAAGCGTTTGCAGACCGCATCGTTCGCAATTGGAAGCGTGACGATGTGATATGGATTCACGATTACCACTTGTTATTGGTACCCGCGATGGTACGAAAGCAAATTCCTGATGCTAAGATCGGATTCTTCCTCCATATCGCGTTTCCGTCATCTGAGGTGTTTCGCTGTCTGGCTGTTCGGGAAGAGCTATTAAAAGGCATGCTGGGAGCCAACCTTATAGGCTTCCAAGCGCAAGAATATTGCCACCATTTCCTGCAAACCTGCAGCCGCATACTCACTGTCGAAGCCACGAATGAAGGTGTTCAACTAGAGGATCGCTTCGTTAATGTTGGGACATTCCCAATTGGGATTGATGTGACAGCTTTGGACCGGAGACGTGAAGGAGAAGACGTTGCACAATGGATGCGAATCATTAAGGAAAAATATAATGGAAAGTATCTGGTTGTAGCCCGCGATAAGCTGGACAATATTCGGGGTGTAAGGCAGAAACTGCTCACGTACGAACTTTTCTTGCGAAAATACCCGCAGTGGCAAGACAAGGTATGGAATTAGCTTAGTCTTCCGTGAATTACGAACTATCGCTAATTCCGCCGATCTAGGTCGTTTTAATCCAAGTTGCTTTACCCAGTACGGACCAATCCGAGCTTGATGCAACTGTGTCCGATGTAGTGACGCGAGTGAACTCTGCAAACTTCAGTTTAGCACATCAACCTCTAGTCTTTTTGAAGCAAGATATTAGCTTCTCTCAATATCTTGCTTTGATCACAATGGCCGACGTGCTGATGGTCACTAGCCTTCGCGAAGGTATGAATCTTACAAGTCATGAATTTATTCACTGCCAAGATGGCAAATATTCGGACAAAAAGCACGGCTCTCTAATCCTTAGCGAATTCACGGGGAGTGCGTCCCTCTTTGAGGGACACCCATTGCTTGTCAATCCCTGGAACTACAAACAATGCGCAGAGGCTTTGGATACTGCTCTAAAGTTGGCTCCCGAACAAAAGGAGCGCAATTGGACAAAGCTAAATAACATAATCATGAAGCATACGACTGCAAATTGGTTCAAAGAATTTACTGACGCCCTCTCGAAGGCTTGGAATGAACAGTCTCTACATGATAATGTGTCCATACCTCGACTGTCAGTCAGTGATCTTTCAACTAAATACAAGGAGTCTTCCAGTCGACTGTTCATCCTCGACTATGAGGGCACGCTTGCATCTTGGGGATCACCAACCAGTATCGTGTTAACGACACCGAAACGTGCCATTGATACATTAAATGACCTAATAGAGGATCCCAAAAATATAGTCTACGTGATGAGTTCCAGAATGCCTGAGGAAATGGAACGACTGTTCCGGCGTGTTGCGGGTTTAGGACTAATCGCGGAAAACGGAAGGTACGTCCGCGAAGCGAATGCGGAAGATTGGATTAAACTTGTGAGCGACGAGCAAACTATTGCGTGGAAGGATGGGGTGGCGGATATGATTCGTTATTTCCAGGAACGTACTGAAGGCAGCTGGGTCGAGCACATGCACTCTTCTCTAGTGTTCCATTTCGCACACGCTGAGAACCCTCAAACAGCCGAAAGACATGCCTCTGAATGCGCCAACCACATTAACGACACCTGCGCGAATCATCAAGTCCACGCCGTCGTGGATCAGGATGCTCTGATTGTCGAGCCCACTACCCCGAACAAGGCAACAGCTGCACGTGTGGTACTAGACGCTATCCAGAAGTCTGCGCGGGCCTCTAATGGTCAGGGGCCGGACTTCCTTTTCGTAGTTGGTGATGGTCGGGAAGATGAGGTGATCTTCCGCTGGGCGAATGAAGTTGGTCGGCAAAAGACGGTCAGGAACGTTCTCACGGTGACATTAGGTTCGAAGAATACGGAGGCAGCGGCAACGTTAACGCAAGGGGTGACTGGTAAGCTTTACTTGAAAACCATTCGATAAGAAATGGAGTGGTTGTTGCTAACATTTTGTGATATAGGTGTACTTTCTTGTCTTCAGAAACTGGCGGCCATTTCACAGTCAAGGCAGTGATGAGTGCCGTTTTGCTCGACGAGAATACTCAATTCCAGCTTTAACCCCGCAAGGCAGGCAGTATTTCATACCCACCAGCATCAGGTCTTCTTAACGGGTGGTATCGTAGCTCTTTTACGTATTATTATAATGCGTTGTGTAGTAAAATCACCTCCATGCTTTCTTACCCCTGAATTATATTTTTTAATGCCTGTCCCTTCTACATAGCGCGCCGAAAAGGTATTTCGCAACTGTATTAATATTAGGATATATCACTATCATTAGTCCTAAAAAGAGGATATGCGTATATCTATTTACTCACTTTCTCCCGAAATAGAAAGTCGTGAGATCCCGAATTAATATACATATATTGGCTGATCCACGATTCATTCCTCGAAAAGGGGCTTTCTACCCCACCCCACCAGTTATGGAGAAATGGACTCTTGGAAATCTGGAAATCTAAAATTGGTTATATACACTTATGCGTCTATATATATCTATAACTATATACACTCTAGCGCAATGCCTTTCTAACTAGGAGTGAACAAGGAGAAAAGCTATAGCTTACTCCCTCCATTCCCATTCCCATTCCCGTTCCCGTTCCCGTTCCCGTTCCCGTTCCCCTTGCCTTTACCCTTCCTAGGCTCAATATTCCTCTGCGCACTCACAATCAAAGACACATGGTTACTCACCACCACAACCTCACCCTTCTCATCCAAAACAACGAGATCCAAATCCATCCTCCCATCCTTTAACACCTTAGTCTGCACACGGGAATACAGCCACTCCACCCCTTCCGCCGGCAACTTCTTCTTAAACTCCATATTCAACAAGACAGTCGGATACCAGTACCGCGCCATCTCAAGTTTGTCAGCCGCACTATCGCCCTGCCACGGCTTCGAATCAAACCTCTCCAACATCATCGGGAACATATCAACCAGATACCCCAGCGTGCTATCGGTCCAGCGCCCTACTTTTCCATACGGCTTAAACCGCACCCACTGCTCCACAAAGCCCGACGGGCCCTTTGTCCGCCCGCCCGCCTCCTTCGTGTACCGGGGCGTGTAGAATTCCACATGATTCGACGCCTTGCGCATGGACGAGAAGGCAATATGGAACCGCTCCCAGTTGCCGTCGCGGCCGTCACGGGCTAATTTCACAAGATCGACTGCCTGGTCTGGTCGGGAACCCGGTGCCGGCTTGGGATACAGCTCGTACCCGGTCTGCATGGTGGGGCCCTCCTCCGTGTCGAAGTTAGACACGGTAATGTAGCCGGCGACCTCGTGGCGGACGGCACCGTCCGGGTCATGTTGGCTGAGGGTTACGTGGAGGGTGGACGTGCGCGAGCCGAGTTTTGTATCTTGGACGACGAAGGCGGCTGGGCCAGCATCGGTGCGGCGCAGGAAGGTGAGGTGGAGGGCTATTGGGTGCGGCGTGCCGGAGTGGAGGGTTGGGTGGGTGTGTTTGAGATGGATGACGGCCACATTATGGAAGAGAGAGGCTATGTAACCGCCATGGGGCACTGTGAGGGGTCGTTATGATGTCAACGGAAGCCTTTTTTTTTTTCTTTTTTTTTTTTTCCGGGCCGCTAAAAGTAGAGAAGGAAAAGGGAATATTTATTACATGCCTGTTCCGATACACCATTCCGGTCGTAGATATGCGGCGTAGGTATGTGATGATACTGGGGAGATGGCAATGGCCTCTCCAAAGCTCTGCGCTGCCGCCATTGTTGCGTTTATTTAATTTAATATCTCTGAATTCAATTTGGTTTCTTGAGACGATTAAAACCTATCCCAGACTCTCTCTCTCTCTCTCTCTCTCACGAAAATGCAGTACAAAATCAAACTGTGCAGCGTGTATGTATGTATACCTCCCACCTATTCTTTCCTCAACATGTGGGTTAGTGATTGGCTGTATGTGCCAAACTCAATGCAAAATAAAATACTGAACCGGAAATCTATTGCTCAAAAAAAAGACAATCTGAACTCTTGAATAATGAATGGATATGCAAGGAGGGATATAAAAAGGACGGGGAAAAGCCAATTACCTCATTATTCTCCCCGCAGCTTTTTGATTGGCGAACGACTGGCCGAGTACCTCGGCATCCCGACAGCCAAGCACCCTCCCCCCTTGGCTTGGTTTCCTGAAAAAGCCAACCGAATAACTGTCAACCGGGCGAGATAACGAACTTAAAACTGTCAGGAACAACGGCGGGTAATTATGCGCCTTTGCTATTATTGTCTTGCCTGACCATAAGACTATCCTGAAGTAATGATAACAGTATAACTAAACAGGAGAGTAAAAATTGTAAAAGAAAGTTCGGACTAATTGATTCATTGCGTCTTTTTGCGAAGCCGAATTCGAGGAGGTTATGTGCTGTAATAAGAGTGCAGGGCGCATGCATTCGCTCCGTGATCTGATCAGAAAGAAAATATCCAATAAAATGCGCCAAGTAACCTCTATGGATAGGGCGAGGGTAACGTATTATCTATGCCCCTGTACAAACTTGTCCATCGTCCCTCAAATCCCTCGAGACCAGTTCTACAAGAGTACCTACAAGAATAATTCTATAAATATATATGCAGTGAAATCCAAAAAGAAAAACCGTAAGAATCATAACTTCCCCGCCCTTGCCTGCACCCAAACCCCATACGCCTCCGCACAAACAATCTTCCTCTTAACCCATTCAAGCTGGCCCTTCCCCCTCCCCTTAGCCTCCCCTTCCTCCTGCACAAGCTGTCCGCGCATGAAAACCTTCCGCCCCTCCCTCGCCACACACCACGCCTTCACAACAGCCATGCCGGGAACCCGCACGGGTTTCCGGTACCTAATATCCAGCTGCGCCGTGTATAGCCGCGCGCGCTCCACGCCCTCGTTCTCGTGGTAGCCCGGGATATGTAGCGAGACGGCTAGGGACATGATTTCGTCAAGTAAGGTGGCGACAACGCCGCCGTGTGCTGTGCTTGGGTGGCCGCTTATGCCCGGCGAGCCGAGCGCGAAGAGCGCGAAGAGGTCGACTTTGCTTGAATGGATTGGGGTTGTCTTGGGTGCGTTGGGGCCTGTGGCCGGGGGGGGGAAAGTCGTATATGGCGGTTTTGTCGGGGGTGTGTCTGGGTGCTTCTTGCGCAGGGTCAGGCAGTAGGGGATTGTGGTTAGCGAGCCGATTGTGTGGGCAAAGAAGGCGTCTTCGCCGGTTGAAAGGTCGGAGGATCTGGAGTATGTTTCTACGGCGGTGTGGGTGGAGAGGTTAAGGAAGCTGGAGGTCCAGGGGTCCGATTGGAAGTGGTTGAGGGTTTCCGCGGGGACCTCGTAGGCCGGATGGTCCATGGGTGTAGGTGAGGAAGACATGGCTGCGGTTTTTATTTTCAATTTTTCAATTTATCTATTTCTTTATCCCTTTTCCTGGTAAAAGGATGATTCCTCTGAATGAGGCGCGGATTCCCTAGCGGAGCTGCCGAGAGCTGTTGATCAATTGGCAGATTGGGAACGCTTCTGGAGATAGATGTATGAAGGAAACGAATATCAACCGCATCATAGCCAGGAATGCTTTTCATCTACTTCCTGTTATTGTTTTCTTGTATCTTCTCCTTTTTCTATTCCGCCAAGCCAGATGCCAGATACATACCGTTATCAGAGTTGTCAGAGCCCAGTTGGACCTCGGCTCGGGAGTTAGGGCTGTTAGTAATATATTAGTCATTCCAGCTGGCAGCATTCCTGATGGATTGACATTTTTCTCTCAGTTGCCTTTGCTTCTCTGCGGGGGAAACTGATCGCCAGCTTCCATGTCGGACACACAATATGGAGTACTATGGCAAGAAGACATTGCTGACCGCTTCCGCAAGTATCCCGCGTGTTTCGTTGTTGGAATAGAGTTTATGCAGAGGTGCAGAATGCACAGAGCGCAAAATTGAGAGAAGATCGCTGGATCGAAGCTGATAGCAGTGATAGGCGGGACGGACCGGACGCTAAAGAATAACTCTATCGGACCCGCCATAAAAGTTAGCTGGCCATTATTGAAGAGGCAAAGAAAGGAGTGAAAAAAAAAAAAAAAAAAAAAAAAAAAAAAAGCCTGCTGTAACTTATGTGCGAACATCGAGGGGGAGGAAACGCCTCTTTTCCCCTATTTCATTAACAGCGGATATGAAGGCATGGCGGATGCTGGCATGATACAAACCGTGGAGGTTTCATGATTGCTGATAACACCTCCGTTCTCATATGCCAACGATGAGGTGAGCAAGCCACGAGCAGCCCAATTGGCTGAAAAGGTGAGTCCTTCCCAGCATGGGGAAACCATGGCTTAACTAACCGGGATACGCTAGCTAGCCATGCTAATGACATATGACAAGTTGGCGCGCTCAATTTCCTCAAGGGACAACGAGACAGGGAGGGAGAGGGAGGAATACTACGGAGTACTGATGAGCGCAATTGGTTGGTTTTCGTTGAATTGAAGAAAGAAAGAAACCCTGTGGGTAATGTGTTAGATGACCGGTGGGGACAGTACAGAGTATTCAGCCAAAAAAAAAATGAGCATTTCCAACAGGATTACTTCGTCGTCCCTGTTTTTTGTTGTTAGTTGTTAGCGTCCCTGTGAGGCAAGATGAAAAGAGGAGAAAAAAGGCTTGGAATGCCCCGGCGGTGTAACTGTGCCAACCAGAATAATATCCTTCGTGATCCATATCATTGGCAGATACACCCCGCCCCATACAAAATTGTATGGTAGCACAAGTCACTGTCCAACCGGGAACAGCATCGCTAGTTTGCAAATATCCCCATTGGGTAGGAAGGAGCCCGCCTGCAGTGGAAATTGTTGGCTGTTATTTATGCGCCGTTCCTTCCGCACCTTCATTTTTGCCTGTTTGGGCTTTTGCGCACTTTCCAAGGCTCTTCTTCCTCAGGCAATTGCGCTGATTCTTCCTCCGATTCTTTTATCTCCAACGGTCACTGTGTATCCATTCCGCGCAGCATTCAATTACATAGTGGTACAGTACAGTACATTCACTGCACATATTATTCTCTGAGATATTGGATGTAAGTTAAGCTGATCACCGCTGCTCTCCCCAACCCCATGGAGATCCTCACGCAGATCCCTCAACTGACAGCTTCACGCTCAACGGCAGGGCAACGAGCACCACAGCAACTACCACCACCACCACCACAACAACAAGGGCAACAATAACAACGAACGCAGAGCTCTGAAGATAGTTCGCGCTCTCAACCTCAACCAAGCAAAACCCAGCCAGTTAGTCGCATTGGCAAAAAAAATATTCCTTAGCTGTATACTGCTCTAGTCGACCGACTTCAATCGCGACTCTGCCGAAACCCATCTTCAAATTCTGTTGCGCTTCGTTCCTATCTGTAGTTAGCTGAGGCCGCTCACACACTGTGACAATGTTGCTCTCCGCTGTTGTCTTCTCGCTCTCCCTGCTGGTGACGGGCATCCGCGCCCAAAGCTTCAACCCTGATTCTGTTTCCAAAGAACAGAAACGTAAGTACAGCACATCATTTGCTTTCAGAAAACCAGTGACACTCAGAAACAATTTTGCGCGCTGTTGGCGTGTGCGGCTAACAAAGTAATGTCTAGTTGCTTGGTGTGATGCCCAAACAGCTGCTTGCCCTTCTGTTTGCAAGAGCTTTGCCTCAGTCAACAGGTGCAGCGTGGTACGTGTATCCCTCTCTCTCTCTCTCTCTCTCTTTTTTTTTTTTTTTTTTATATATAATTTTGACGCAACAATTTCATTCGTGCTGCTTTCCATATGTTTATCGATCTTTGCAATCAAGCTGATTCGCGAGTAGAGTGATTTGACCTATACCTGCACCTGCGGCGATGGATCAACTCCAGACCTTACCAAGTACAAAAACACGATCCCGTTCTTCCTCTGCACGGAGACCTATGCGCAATGCATCGAAAACCACCCCGATGACTTGAGTGGCCAAAGAGCCTGCAAGGAGGAGCAAACGAAATGCATGGGAACCCTGGACCCTTTTAAGTCTCCGAATAAAGACCCTGTGCCAACCGCGAGTCGGAAAAAGGTGGACGCTTCTAAATCCACCGCAACTCCCACCACCACCACACCCACTAAGACGAACGAGCCGGCAGTCACCAGCAACCCAGCATCAACGCTTCGCGTGGCAGGTGATTCCTCTGTGGGCATGCTGATTGCTGTGTTCATCGCAGCATCCAGCTTGTTCGCATAGACACCCCGTCTGACCGTAACTGCCGGCGATGTCATGTTTTGAGTGACTGTCAGATTGACAGTGTCATTCGAGTTTTAAATGTCGATCGTGCCCTTTCATTATTTGCCGGTGATGATATGAGCGACAAGAACGAAATGAAAGAAAGAACGAGAGAAAGAAGAAGATGGGTCTCGGCACGAACGCGTGTAGTCCGTAGGAAGTTTTTGTTTTGTTCTCTTTGCTTCTCAAGTCTGTAGTCCTTAATCCCCCACCAAAACACTGTGAGCACTCCTTTTTCCCTGTGTGATATTTTTTTGTAGTCATGTTTATGACCAGATGTAACATACCAACCGCTGTAGCAATGGTAGCGATAAAGTTAAGCACTTCCACGGTATAATTCTTTTTACTCGCTCTCTCTTCATATTTTTGAAACTAAATAAGATGTCAAAAGATTTCGCTGGTAGTTTAGTTGCTGATCATCCCGGCTATGACGCCAGCAACAAGGAAGTGAAGCTCCAGCAGGAAAAAAAAATACTTCGCCAAAAATTGAGAATATCACTGAGCATTCACATAAAAAATAACAGTTTATATTCACTTGCACCTTCTCCAAGACTGCTGGAGCCTACTCTGGAGATTTCTATATTTTATCGAATTTTTCCTGATTTTCTTCCTGCCGTATTGTGTGTCCATCAACCCGCTTTTGCCGCCAAAAGGATACACTATCCTCGCCAAGACCGCCGCCCACAACAGTGAAATTCTCGCTCTCCACCGAAAAACTTATCACCCAACGAAATCTTTTTATCAACTCTTCAACCTTCAACCGCCAACCGCCAACCGCCAACCGCTAACCTCATCTCCCTCCACCCTACCCCTCGTCCTAGATCAGATCAAGCCATTTACATCTCCGTATACCAACAAGATGGCTACCGCACCCAACACCCTCCTTATCGAGGGCACGTTTACCGAGCTAGCAGACGAGCTGGCACAGTACATCGACGCGATCCGCAAAGTTGAAAAGGGCGTCAATGCAGAGATCACACCGGCGCTTGATGCCCTGCGGGAGATGGAGCAGACAGAGGAACCCAGTGCTGCGCAGAGCCAGCAGATTCTGGCAAAGAGAGATGAGGTCCTGAAGAAAATTGTTGTGGCTGCGCCTGCTTTGAATGCGGCTCCTGAGAAAGGTAAGATGAACGACTTTTATATTAATTTATTTATACCAAGGGATATAAGGCCTAACCAGGTGGAATTCAAATGCAGAAATCACCGCTGCTTATAATCTTCTCATCCATCTCATCCGCCAATCTTCGTCCGTCAACATGTTCCTCCCACGCATCTGTGGATATCTCGCCAAACCGCTTACATCCTCCCCACAGCATGGCTCAAGCCTGGCTATCTCAATCCTTTCTACAATTTTCAACACCCTCGCGCCACAGGATACAGGCCGCTATCATGTCTTCCTGGCTATCCTTGCAGTCATCCGCCAGTCACCCTCATTATTTGCATTTTCTGCCCTGAAATCACAGCTAAAAACCCAGCTCCCCACATGGCTGGAATCCTGGGATCTTGATGAGGAGGATCTCCAACGCCTCCATATTGCTATTTCTGATGCAGCCAAGGATGCTGGTGACCAAGAACTTGCACACTCTCACCTGGTCTCTGCTCTACGGGCGATCCCGCCTTCAGAAGCTTCCTCCACAGAAGCACATGACCTTGCTCTCCGGGCGTTGCTCTCAGCCCTCACCTCCCCCTCAGTCTTTGATTTCACCCCCCTTACTGCCTCCGACGCCATACAATCCCTACGAACAAGTGAACCTCACCTCTTTGAGCTCCTTGAAATCTTCGCTGCAGACACCCTAGATGCGTATGAGGATAGCATAAAAACCACACCTCTATCTACCATTCATAACCTCTCTACATCCGCTGAGATCCTTCAAACGAAAATGCGCCTCCTTACTCTTGCTAGCCTCGCAGCCTCCACCCCATCCCGCTCATTACCATACGACTCAATTGTCAACGCTCTGCGCATCCCCCGTGAAGATGTGGAAAAATGGGTCATTGATACCATCCGCGCAGGGCTTGTGGAGGGCAAACTCAGCCAGCTGAAGGGTGAGTTCCTCGTGCACCGCGCGACCTACCGGGTATTTGGCGAGAAGCAGTGGGCGGAGGTTCAGGGGCGGTTGATGGTCTGGAGACGCAGTCTGGAGAACGTCCTGGACGTGGTTAGGACCGAGAAGGAAAAGTTTGTGCGGGAGGAGATGGCTGCGGCGAGTGCGGCGGCTGCGGCTGCGGAGAGTGGCGCGCAGAGAGGTGGGGAGAGGAGAAGGGGAGGCGGTGGACATCATCAGAGACAGCACCAGCAGGAGCAGCCGAGGGAGGTTGAGCTAGTTGGTGGGGGGGATTAGGCTTTGATTTCCTCTATTTTTTTTCCATTTTCCATTTTCCTCCTTTTATCTGACTCGACGGTTTTCCTTTGTTGTACGGTACTTGCATTCCCGTCTAATTGCCTTTCCTTTCTAATTCCATTTCCGTTTTCTTTTTTTTTTTTTATCTTTTTCTTCCCTTTCTTTGGGCTTGTTATTACGGATGAAATGCTCCCCTGTTTTCCTTCAATGCTGTTATTCAAGAAATGGTCCTTTTTCCCCTCCGCTTTCCGTATGTTTCTACGCCACATGAGATCAAGATTCTTTAAAACCTCCCCCCCCCGGGTTTCCCTTGTATCTATGTTTAAAAAAGATTCCTACTACCCTGGCTGTCTTGTTTTTTGCTCGTTTTTATTGTTCATCTACTTCCCGGAGTGCGTGGGGTGGGTGGGGTGGGTATTCCGTTTATGAAGGCAATTGACGAAACGAGGCCAAAAAGTAAAAACGAAAATAGATCTGATTATTGATAAAATATTATACATGAAGGGTTCAAACCGGGAAAAGTGCAAAATTAGGACGTTCGTCTAAATTACCTCCTTATGCCCCTTCTTTCCCTGCTTCGGCCTGTTTGAAAAGTTATATCCATGTCTAATCTTTACTGCACCCACCGTAATTTACACATGCAGCTACATACAATAATATCAATACCGCAAGAGGGAGATGGACTAGGACAGGAAGGACTGCGGTTTTCGAAGTAGGAAGACAAGACAATGGCAGGACCTAACCAGAGCGGATACAAGATATTAAATGTCGTTTATGTTGCGGGAAGGGGTTCGAACGTTCGTTCCTACACGATATTAAGAAACCGACGCCAGAGCTTCTCTTGGGCGACTCGGAAGACGGCGGAGGCTCAGTTGCATGCGTGGACAATGCCCTACGCAAATGTCACCATACGTTCATTCAGAGCTCGCTGTTTCCAAGAGAGCCCCTATGATCGAAATGTCTTTAATAAATTCGAAAGGTAGGAGTATTATTGAGGGGGGAAATCCGTCTATCTATGTGCGAGAAAAATCAATATCCATCTCAACCCGCCATGCTTCGCAAAAAGGAATTTAAGATCCGCAGTATAAATAATAACATCAAGCCGTGCGCACTCCCTTGCACACGTTCTTCAACCGGTCCACCCATCGCCCCGTAAAAGGGAGGGTCACCATATTCATATCTCTCCCTTCCCATCACAATCAATTCTCCCCAGACCCCTTTACCCGCGTAATCCCCCTCTTCTCCACACCCTCCCTAATCCGCGCATAAACCTCCTCCATAGTCCCCACCGCTTCCACACTAACCACCTTCCTCTCCTTCTCATAGTGGTGTATAACCGGCATACTCGTCTCCTCAAAGACGCGGAACCGCTTGCGGATAGACTCAATGTTATCATCGTCACGCCCGCTCGTCTCGCCGCGCTTCAACAGCCGGTCCAGCATGACGTCCTCGGGGCAGCGGAGGAATAGTGTGGCCGCGGAGGGACATACCGTCTCCTCGAAGAAGGTTGCCTGGTCCATCTTGCGCGGGAAGCCGTCGATGAGGAAACGTGCGGGTAGACTGGATGGGGAGTTCTTTTGTTGGTCTTGTTCTAGTTGGGCCCTCTCCGCTCTTGCCCGTTCGAGGGTCTCAGACATAGCGTTTGACAGCAGCGCCACGGTAATCTCCATAGGCACGATTATGCCCTCGCGAATATGATGGCGGATCAGGTCGCCATATTGCGAGCCGGCGCGTTGTTGTTCGGCACGCAGCAGGTCGCCTGCAGACAGGTGCGTGAAGCCGTAATCGCGGACGAGGTTGGCGGATTGGGTGCCCTTGCCTGAACCCGGGCCGCCGAGGACGAAGATTACGGTGACGGCGTCCGGGGAGAATTTCGGGGTGGTATTGGTGGAGGAGAGAGGCGGGGTGAGTTCAGCGGGGATTGAGATTGAGTCTGCTGTGGCTTCAGCTGTCGCTGTCTTCTGCTGGGACGACATTTTTCGGAGCGCGCGATTGGACGAGGAGGGCGTAGGAGCCGCTGCCGATCAGGATGATTATGATGCAGGGGAGGATTTTGAACTCTGAAGAGGAGGGTTTTCGGGGCGGGGGTCTGTTTGGAGTGGTGCTGGAGGAGGTGGGGGAAGAGAGTTGAGAGCGGGAGGAAAAGGAGGCGGTCTGTTGTTGGTAGTGGCGGGGTGGTCGCTGTTGGTGCGGGAATATGTGCGCGCGGGCAGCCCGAGCGGTGGATGGGGAGGGATTGAGTCGTACAGAGGCAAGACGGGGCGCACTGGTGAGCAGACGAGGGAGAGAGAGCGGCATTCCTTACGCCTGGGTGTCAAGTGAATGGAAGTTATAGAAAGGAAGGTTGAATTGGCTGGTTATATCTAAGCTATCTACGGAGTAGTGGGAGTTATTTGGCGGAATTTCCTGAATAACGTTTGGAGAAATTTTTTTTTTTTTGGTCGGCGGTTTGCTTGGACTGGAAAAACACTGCGCCGAACAGGGCTTTTGTAATCCGTACCCCAAGAGGTTACACCCAAACAAGCAAGATGAAGCTTACAACAAATGACGAACCAATCTCTAAAGAGCGTTCTTGTTTACCAATAGACGAGGTTGATTACATTTTTCGTCGCTAGAGACTATTTCCTCCGTAGGTTGTTAGGGTCAATAATGCAAAGGGACTTCTTGCATCTGGCCCAACAGCCCACAAAGGACCAGACGTTGAGAAATAGATGTATTTGACTGAAATGACCCCTCCATATCATGTAAACAAACGAGGGGGCATTATTATTATGGAGGATCAGCTCGACCTTTAACTACAAAGCACTAACCACAGCCAAGCTATAGTTAGCTAGCTCCTCGTATGGCGCCAGTACTCCGTACACATAAGTACATATATGGTCCTTCGGCTCTCCATGCCGACCTCTACCTTCCCCCATACGTGTAGGATACGTACTCAAAAGGGATGGCTTCCTAGACTCGTTAGCGACGACTTTTTCACCCTTTGTTGCTCTTGCGGATACGACCTTCCGCTGCGTGTAGCCGTTTTCTCGATGAATATACGACTTCGATGACGTTTCTGTGGGATGCGAGGACTCCCCTATCCAATTTTGTTTTGGCTTCCGAACGGGGTTGATCGTTATTGAGCCGGATATTATACTGAACGTGGCCTTTCCATGAGTTAGGTATCCCTAAATGGACTGCAGCCGTTATTCATGTAATGGTCGGTATAAGATTCACGAACGGCAAAGCCTGAAACATGATAAAATTGGCTTGAGTCATGCATACTAGTAGACATATGCTCGGTATATATCGCGCACATTCCCAGTTGACTGCAAGTGGAAGCTCAACAATCAGAATATTCTGAAGTTAGGATGATAGAAAATATCACCTATTGCCGACTCGACATGCTGCTGCCTGAGGTAAAGTGGAGATATTGATAACACGAGGCACTCGACAGTACTTCTCAAAATCCCATTATCAATCGCACATAAATTGAGCGGGAAATATTGATGAAAGGTTGAAATTTCCGCATCATTGAGGCTCAGGCTCCAATTCTTGTGCCCATGAAAAAGAAGAGGCATCAATGACATATGTCATGTGCTTGAAAGCTGAGGCAGATTTACTCTATATTTTTGATCTGAAGTCCCCTTGAGTGTCTCCAGAGATCAGGAAATATAAATTCCCATTACTACTCAAAAGTTTTGATCTAGAAGGGGCTGGCAAATCAAGAAATTTGCTAAACATTGCAAGGGTAGCCTTCAGCCTCTAAATGCCGGTGCTGGTAAGGTCGTTCGAATCTCCTTCGCTGATGTGAAGTGTCCGATCCAGAAATCCCATCTGGTGGACCAGGAATTTGTACTTGTTGACTTCCATTCTCTACCTCTATAATGGATAGAGAGTTGTGGGTGGGCTGCGTTATTCCCTCCAGCGATTGATATAAAATAGTATCATGCCAACAACGTGTCGTTTACTCCTATATGTCTATCCTAGTTGTCAAAATGTAGGAATACTTCAAGCCATGGAGCGTGAAACTGACAATGCCAGAAAAATAGGCTTGTTATGATTGTTGCTTGGATGGTAGTCTTGATAGACTCGGGCTGTGTTTTCTGGAACCAAGATTTAAGTTTATTTGAGGACCCGCAACCTTAAATCGTCAGTTAAACATCAACACCAACACCAAGATACCTACATTGTCATCGTGACCAATTTATGCCAATATCTCAGCCCCCGTGTCCATTATCACGGAGTACTATTTATGAGTTCGAATAATAATTGTCACCCGATACATATCACCAGAAATGGTTCAACATTTTCGCCAACTATAGGTGCAAGGTGGAACAGTTATAGCCCAGAACAGAGTGTGCTTTTCGTACAACAGCCGTGCTGGCACGATCTTTCGAGGCTTCCAGGGTTGGATCAAAAAGAGCGATTTTCAGTCTCAAGTTCATAGCCTCCTTAGGACCTAGCAAACGGACTGCCAAAATCCTGGTTATTTCTCTTTGTTTGTGAGGGGAATTGTTGACAATCTCTGGCAAATTGTGCTCGTTCACAATTGACGGGCCTAAACCAACTTCAAGGTCTCTTCTTGGCAATGGGATAGGCAAGGGACGTGCATTCGTCACCAACCCAACCGGCTAGCCTAGCGACGAGCTAGCCGGGGTAATAATAGCAAGCAGCATTCAGCCCAGGGCGAAAACACCCATCAGCAGAGCCAGTATGTTAGTATTAAAGAAGAATAGTATCCAGAGCAAGGATGGAATTTTGGCAAAGCAGGACAAAATCGGCTCGATGTGCGGCTTCCTTTGTTTCTTCAATAATCGAATGCACATACGGAGTACGGAGTACAGCGTACATATGTAGCCGCTCTCATGCAAGATGCAACATGATTTCACCCAAGCTCCCATCCCATCACATTTTACTCGCTCAACTAGTCAATTTGATTCGCGTTCCCCCATCTCGAGAGCCAAGACGAAGTGCCCACCCTCGCACCACTATTGGTGGCTGGGAGTAGCGGCATTGGTGTGGTTGCTCGGCACCCAGCCAAGCATCATGTGTGATGAAGGTGTTTTCTACATCAGTCGATCCTTTGGGCGACTTTATGAGGTGTGATTGGAGCATCCGTGTATCCGCTGCCGCCGCACTAAAGGTGGTCAGGCTAAGATTGGCCCACCATGTCAACAAGGATGCGCCGAGGAATGCAAATGAGCATCTGGCCGGCCCAATCCCCGCTGCGAACTGAGGGGCTGAAGGGACCAAGGACATTGTTTCTTCCCAGCCAACGAGGTGAGAGGAGGACGGGGTGGAATGGGTGTGGCACTTATTGGTGAAATGTAACCGCCGACAAGGGCAGACACAACCATGGGTGCCATGGTCACTGCGAGCAAAAGGTAGTGCATGGCCTTCTCTTGCATTGACGGCCCGTCGTGGAGGGAGAGGAGATATAGCCAGCCCGGCTTAATCCTCAGATGTTCCCCTCCACGTCTCTTTTCTCTCCTCGTTCAACTCAATCCTTCTCTGACCTTTCTATTCTGGTCTATCTGGATATTGTGCGAGTTAATAACTCACTATCTGGGCGACTACTAGTCGGCCGTCTGCTGAACCCATCTGGGCGCTTAACCACTACTTGAGCCTGATTGATCAGCTATTGGATTGCGTGCAACTTGGTGAATGTCTCTCGTCGCATTTCTCTTTTTCCTCTTCTCTGGCTCCTCCGCCTCCTCTTCATCTTGCCTCCTCTTCTCACGTCTTGACTTATCCATTTGACAACTCTCAATTTCTTTTCTTTCCCCTACTCACTAGCCATCTTTATTCTACTTACATTCCTTTCGCTGCGGCTGGCTTCGCGATTATACTCAACTGGCTTCTGTCTAGAACTCATCTCAGTTGAGATATATACCTAATATACCGTTGGAAGAAACAGCCTTGACGTTGGCAGATATTCACACTGCGGACAAGTGCAAAGCGCAATACTCGCTGGCTCGCTGAAAACATTCAGATGCTGTCATAATTCCTGTATTGTCCTGAGTCAAAAGGTTCGTTGGAACCACCTTGGTTCCCCCTCTTCCGGCTACGACGTGGCACCCAATTGACCCCAATTCTTCTTTTCTGGCACAGAGAGAGATTTCTAACATTCCTTCTACCTAGGAACCTCGTGGTTACACAACCCAGAACAAGTGCACTCAATTCGCATTCTTCTAGTTTTTTTTACCTCTCACCTTCTAATTCTTCCTCTGGAGCTGGTCTCTTCGACGTCTACTTTCCTTGTCGTGAATCTACAATAGTCGACCCACATTCGACTTGACAGTTTGTTCAAGAGGGTCGGCGCCAAATAACCTCCTCCGAGTGACCTGAGATTCTGCTATGACCAATTCGAATTCTAGTGGCGACCGTGCCGACCAGTATGAGCCAGTTTCCCCTCTAGATATTGTTCACTCGACCCACTCAAAGTCTGCGGGCCTTTCGATATCTGTTCAAAAAGAACCAAGCGAACAACCATACCATCCAGCTGCTCTCGGCCTGAAATCTCCTCGAACCACTCGATTCGCAGAAGCCACAACTTTCCACTCTCCTATCGACCCACCTGGGCAATCCCCCTTCGCGGATCCGCCCTCCATGTCACAAACAAACAAACAAACCGAGGTCTCTGACCTAGGGTTCGGGTATATGGCAGACAACCAACCCAGCCAGGCCTCAGAACAATCGCAGACGGCGGCAGGCCGAAACCCACCAAATTCTCCACTGAAGAGCGCACTCAAGTCTCCTGGTGCCCCTGGACGTTCGGTTATGCTCAGTCCTACTTTTCGTGAAGAGCAAATACTTGAGCACCATGAGAAGGCCACAGAGAAAGCCAATGCCAAAGATATTGTAAGTTTCCCCTAGTTTTTGTTTCTCGCAAGTGGATAAATCATCGTCTTATCTCTCTTTTTACATTTTGACATCTTAAACCACAAGTTACTGACAACGGTACAGAAAATCAAAGCCCGTGTACGATTAGCAAAGGTTATGCTGCGTGGTGTGAGCTTTAGCTGCAGTCTGATCATCCTCGCCTTAGTTGCAGCAAGTTTTGCCATCTTCAATGCCACCCGCGGGTTGGCACAAAAAAACTCCTTCAGTCCTTGGGCGCCCAATACTCCGCTGTGGCCTCAAATCCTAGTCCTTAGTATCGCCTGTGTGTCCCTCCTGTTTTGTATTGGAGTTTTCTACGGATACTGCCGTGGCGGACATAAGCGAGCAGAAAAGGTGGCCGTTTACTACACCGTTTTCTCCGTGTTGTTTTTCATCGTCGTACTGGTTATGTGGGTTGTCGGTGCAGCTGTATTGCAAAATAGCATAAACTCTACCTCGAACAAAGATATGTGGGGCTGGGCCTGCAACCCAGGTACCCGAAGGGAGCTCTACAAGGAGCAAGTTGACTATGAGCTTGTTTGCCGTATGCAGGTAATAATTCGCCCAATCATGGTACAACGAATAAAAACACGAAACGAAGGACTAATTTTTTTTTTTCAGGATTGGGCACTTGTATGCTGCGTCATTGAGATTGTTATTGAGGTGCTTGTCATCAGCATTTACGCTGTGGTCTTCTACCGCTTCTACTCCAAGCGCAAGCTACGCAAATCCATGGACGTCCGCGACAAAGCTCGCTCCGATCTTTACCTCGCCCATTTGCGAAGCCAATCCGCACCCAATACCCCAGGGTTCCCAAGACATGGGCCAGCATCGCCGCCGATGAGCCCTTCCCCCATGAAAGGAGACTACTATGCTGCCGCTGAGGAGGGTTACTCAACGCAATATGCAACTCCCAAAACCCCCGAAGCCACCCACATGGGCACGTCACGACCTTTCCAGCTCCGCCCGCCACCAATCCGTGTCCAAGATGCCACCCCTAAAATCTCACAAGAGGGCTTCAACATGCCAATGTCGCCAGCTAATCGCGAGCGCAGGAACGAACATGTCGATGCCGCACCCGGCGAACAGAAGTACGAAAGCGTACCGATTCCTGGTGCTTACACGACATCTCTTACAAGTCCCACATTCGCTCCTGAAACACGAGGCAGCGACGTCATCCCCGGAATGGCAGTGACAACAACAGAACGTATCGTACCGTCTCGCAACTCGTAAACGAGCCACAAAAAACGCCGACCGGGCTCTTTTGTTGCGAGCGTTTCTCTGTATAGTCAGCTCTGTACGACATTTGGCGTCTAGCTGAAAGAGAACTATAAAACTGTACGATATTTTCTTATTACAAATTACATATACTAGGCAAAGAGGCCATTGGTTTCTGGTTCGACGGAGAGTAAAACATTCTCGGATGCCCTTGTTTTACGAAACAAGCAGGGGACATTTGATTCCTGGAAACAATCAAGTTTTCTTGTGACACAAACCGCCCACCCTTGCCGGTATGATTTATGGGACGACGTCGAGCAAGAATTCCGGTGTAGCGAGGGGCATATTGGCGTTATTCGGTTTTTGATCTGTTTCGCTTTGCTAATACACATACATATATCCCTATAGTTAATACGTCAGATATTTTTCCTTTTGTTTATCGTGTTGGAGCGTGTGACTGCAAAACACGAATTTTTGTCAGTGGTTTGTCGTGTTGTCTATTGGTGGTGTGAACTGGTCACAGATTTCTCCCGCTTGCTTTTCGGCTGCTTTTGTTCTGGTGGATTGAGTGAGACGGTTAAAATGATGGATGGATGGATTGATGGGAACTTGAACCACTACTAAGTTACCCTGACTATGCTATCTACCTCTTTCCTTCCGAGATCTTTTTATTTTCAGTTTAGCTGAGCTACTTTTATTTATCATATTTTTCTAACTATCTCTCCTATCACACTCAACCAGCAGTAAATACGTCTCTGCCTCATTTCTATGAGTCCTTGTCGTGGCGCTCTACAAACATCCAACTACTGTACACTTCGTTCATGTTTATCTAACTATCAGTTAGTTATGCTCAATCAACCAAAGATAAGAGGATCTAAATCAAGACTCACTCTTGCAGCTCACCTCCAAGCTAAAATTGGAACACCCAAAAAATGATCGAATTTCCCCGTATGATATCCGGGGGGGTACGCGAGGAACTACATCAAGTGAAGTGGTTGCTCACACGATTCGTGTATGCAGCCCTTTTAACTACTTATTTCTCGAAATACGTTCAGAAACTCACGGTCAGTTTGAGTAAATGTGGTAGAAAACATGGGTAAAAAATAGCAGCTATACTTGGGAAAATCACAGAAGTGCAGCAACACAAAGCTATTCAGCGCCAGCAACACCAAAAACAAGCCAAAATAAAAGAGTTCAAAAGTCAAGCCAAGGAAAACCGTAACAAACCAAACATCTCAAAGGAATAATAGAAAATAATAGTATTATAAGACCTCAATCCACCTAAGAAGGCACCAATCCCCATGCGCTATTAATACCAAACCAACCACAGCACCAAAAAGTCAACCAGTCTACCATAAGAATTGTGCCATGAAGCGCGAAAGAATGAAAAACAAGGCACACCCACGCCTCCCCATTTGGGTGACGCGCGAGGATTGGGTATTGGATGTCGACACTCTAGGCCTCTCCTTCAATAACAGCGCCTGGGTCCTTCGTCACGTAAATTTCCTCTAGTCCGTTACCCTGCCATCCATCAATGCCACCTTTATTTTCCAGCACAAGGCCCTTTTCATTAGCTAGGTGAAGTAAGCAGATGAAACAATATGATGTACTAATGTCGCGTAACGCTTGTTCGGGATATGCTGTTTTGAGGCCCTGCATCACGGATGTGAATCGAAGGCTATTGCCATCCGCGCCTACATCATCTTCCGTCGGATCCGGCGTTTCTGTAGATGAGGGTGGTGGAGCTTCCGCATCTTTCGGCAAGTCTAACGACGTTACCGCTGCCGAAGGCGATGAAGAGCTGAACGCTGATGAATCGATTAATCGATCACCCATGCCTTTCCACATTTCTTCCTTTAACCGGCGTACGTCAACTTTCTTCGCCACTCTAGCGTAAGCAACGTAATCGGGCCGCACTCTTCGACCGCCTTGAGTAACAAGTTGAGAACCGAAACCACCAGCAAGCGCTCCTCCTGGGGTTGCAGCAGCATGTAATAAAGCAGTGAGTCCGGAGAGACCGCCTGGTTCACCTGCAGACGTGCTTGGGCGAGCATTAGGGTCCATAGTAGGCGAGAATGCTTCTCTTGCATCGGCGAACGGCATGTTATCGTCATCATCATCAGGCCCCACGGGAAGCCCATGTGGGAAGGCTAGACCCTCATCATCTGCAAAGAAGTTGGCGTCATAAGCACCCGTAGGAGCAGCACTATCATCTATGCTGGTTTGCTCAGCGCCAGGTTTGTGTGCAGCCCAGAATGCCTCATTCATCTCGCTGTTGTTTGAGAGATTTTGCTGGTTTCTAATTTGTCGACCTCTCGCAAGAGATTTGAAGCCCATTCTGGCCTTTGGTTTCAGGAATAATCGAAGTAGTTCTCGTGAATTAAAATGTTTGTCGTCAGGAAGAAGGTTTCTACCCTTGGTCTTCCATTGTGTTTTGGGCAGGGAGATAGCGGAGTTAGAAGATGATTGGGTATAGATCATTTCTGCCAGAGTAGGGTCAAGGGGCGAAGCAAAATCGATTTCAAAGGGTTCCTTTTCTTTGCGTATCCGAGGAGCGGCATTAGTTGTGCTAGTTGCTTCCTTGATGCGTCTGATTTTCCAGTGCTCGGGTCCGGCCCAATTTTTCTGTAAAGCATTGTCAAAATAGCTGAGAATGTTGTCATGCTCTTTAGCAGCCGGTTGATGTGAAAGAGAAATAGTATACGGATCATTAGAATCAGAATCCATGCCCTCATCACCATCATCGATGCGGTGGACTTTCAGCATAGGCTCGAGAGCAGCGTCCCTAGCCCACGCCTCACCACCTTCACCGAAGCCAGTGTCACCTCCAAGATCAAAACCTGTAATGGTTGCATCGTCATCATCAAATCCGACAGCGATATCATCATCTAGCATAATCCCAGATGCTTCACCAACCCCTGGTTCGAGCTGCGATTTGTCCTGTCGCCAATCATCAGGCGCACGTAGGAAAGGAATATCGAGTGAGCCACTTGGGTCCCCAAGATCAAAATCTTTCAGAGAGGGGCAGATATCTTGCTCATCAAGGATATCAAGGCTTGAAAAGAATTTGTTCGCTAGCGGTCCAAGGTCAATTTCAACATTTTCGTCGTCCCAATCATTATTTTGTGGTGCGGGTGACGGCGACGGAAGTGCATCCGTCTCTGCCGTTCCTTCTCGGTCATCCTTTCCAGAGTTCCAATCACCATCTGCTGTGGCATCTCCGGCATCGTCGCTGCTGTCGAATACAATCCTACCAGTGCCATCGATTGAAAGGTGGTTCAGAAGAAGTCCCTTTGCTCCACCTTCGTCGAAATCGGCCGAAGCTTTCTTGAATAAAGGATCCACAGAAAACTCCAATTCAAACTTCTTCAATTGGAGGGAAGAAAACGAAGGTGCCAAGGTATTTTCGTGTGATCGTGTCTAGAATAGAACATGTAAGTTTCTGGAAGTAGAAAGAAATCTCCACAAGGATATTGTGACTCTTACCTTCTTCTGCTTCTTTCGTGTCACTCCATCCTCCCCAGTCTCCTCCTCATCATCTTCATCACCCTCACCGCTTTCGCCCTCATCTTGCTGTCTTTTCTTATTATTGCTATCCGCCAACCCGCTGAGCAACTTGCCGGTTTCAGTCGCAACACTGTCAACTCGACTAGTGTAGATTTTCACACATCCATCAAGCGTGCAACTGGCCTTCTGGAAATTAACCCCGTCGCCTTCCTTTAGTAGTGACATGTCATGGAAGTAGTCAATGAGCGCAAAGTTCCACGAATTCGCCGCGTTAATTTTATTATCCGTGGCCATCTTCATCCACTCTTCGAAATTCGCTAAGATAGGTACTCGTTTCATAGGCGTTACTGCTCTGCCATTGACGATTTGCCGTCCACCTGAATCAGTTTCCCTCCCTCCCCCTCTTACGCTGGAGCCGCGAGGCGTTCGCGGGCTGCTACTCGATGCTCGGTCGTAGTTGTTGATCTTGCGCATGGGTGGCATGGGCGTCTTGACCGCCGCTTTGATCTGATTCATTTGGAGATCATGGAGGGCCTGTCGGGATTGAAAGCGCGCAACTTTCTCGCCCGCATCGTCATTTAGTGGAATCCTGTGGTTGTTGTAGTAGAAGTAAGCATCAGGCGTTGTAAAGAGGATTGATTTATCGGCTCAACACTCCGCTCCTTCCTTGCCTTGGGCACCTTTCCCTCTTTCATTGCATTATTCTACACTGCTCTTTCCCTCATTATAAAAAGAATCTATTGCTTACTTCATCGGAGAATTCTTGTGCGGCGTTGTGGCCTGTTTGGAAGACCCGCGCCGATTATTCTTTTGCGGGGGGTTGACGACTCGAGGCATGGTTGCTGAGACGGGGGTGGCACGTAGGGAAGTGAAGATAAACCGGGAAAAAATACAATCAGTATTGGCAGAAGCTAAACTGTAATGTCATGCCGAATCAAGATATGGTATATTCGCTAAGCTATCTGAACGTACAGGCGGGATATCGATAGGAGTTCCAAGGTTATGTCGTCTGTTTTGGTTCGCAACAAACGCGGAGCTGGTTGTCAACATAAACATTCGGGCTGCGGGACGGACCAGATGTGCGATTCTGCTGATGTCATCATTCACGTGAGTAATCATGTGATAATAAAGCCCTAAATTTGAATGGGAACCTACTATCTTCAATGTAGCGAAGCAGTGTTTCGAATTTACTATACGAAATATGAGGTCAATATGAGTGTATACGGATAAAATATCATCTAGTTAAAATGTCGAAATCATCCATGAGAAAATCCATTGTTTCTAATTAACTCAGAGAATCCAATCGATGGAGGAGAGAACAATCTTTCTGAGCCCTGTCTTTTGCTTCTTGTTGGCACTCTGATAACCGTCAACAATCCCTCCAGAGGCACATCATTCATGTGTTCATCTCATCTCTTATATGCCAGCTGGAAACGTTAGTCGAATTAAATATCCAGTACATAATCAAGCTTGTTACCCTCCATTTGTGTAACTGGCGCAGTATCCGCTCCATCTCGGGTTCCTTTCAGAAAATGTGGACTTAGGCTGGTCAACGTGGAAGGAAGGCAAACGGAATCTCATACTGGGCAAATTTTTTGGGAGTGGATAGATGACTAGGGAAACTGATCTATGCACTCATGTGTGAATGTATGCCAAAACCTCTTATATACCAGGCGCGGAGTATTCACCAAGATCCGAACCTCTTACATAGCACACGGTATCGTATACAAAAATCTAAGCTTGACGAATTGCAGCACAGCATTTCGCAGTTATGGGCGAGTTAATTGCTACGTACGCAGCAACCTTTTGTGGTTGGAGTTTGTCCAACATGAGAGCGCCCCGGCAGTGACCAGGCTTCTCCTCAGGACAATCGCCCACTGGCCGAAAGAGATTTGGCTGCTTCCATGCTCGACTTAGCAAAGATATCCCCCTTTCTAAAAACCCTTCACATAGAACTCGCCATCCGATGGCGGCCAAATATTAGCCATAAGCACCTTGGCCGTTGGCGGAAACTTATATATAGAGTAAGGAGAAAGAGTCGTTCCCACCTTGTCGTGTGAGCCTGGTTGAAATTTAATATTTTTAACCATTCTCTGCAAGCATATTCGTTAATACACCGTCATTTAATAGAAATTAATGTACATGTACATACATGTACGTTCTCCTAGCTTAGTATTGAAGGCTATGTATCTTTGGTCGCTTTTCCCTACAGTTACTTTCGACTGCTCTTTGGCACCGCGCTATTCAAAGCAGGATCCCTGAATGATCTCGCGTAAATTCCACTGCTCACCACAAGTCACGTCATGTAAGAAGACGGTTTAAAAGGTATGTGATTTAACGAGGGCGTAAAGCCTTTGCCTTCATGTATACATCGGGTTGCTCGTCAGATATCTGATGCCAACTTAGACAGAACCAGGGCACACAGTACTGATAAAGAACTGGTAAGAGGCGATATGAAGGACCAATCCATGGATGACAGAGCGCATTTTTAATGACAGCAGCCCAATTGAGAGCTTGGAAGCTGACTTGCTCAGAATCAAGGATGCAGCTGTAGCTTGGAACCAAAGGCAGAAGGCGAGTTTTGATATTGGAAGAAGCCAAGCAGTCGTGCCACCGGATTCAGAGAGTTTGTGCACCGCCACACGACTACGAAAGCTCAAATATCACGTGATACCAAGGGCATAGGTATCGTATCCATGAGATACTCCGCTTACGATCTCCAAGATAGACGTCACTGATTGTCTAGCTAAATATTCTGTGTTGCAGGCATGAACTTCGAATGATTGACTGTTTGCTTTACTAGACTCCCAATAATTCTTATCTACTGATTCCATCTTAGCGAAGAATCGCAACCAAACCACCCAAGATCTGCACGCCCATGATGTATCCGAGATGGCACCGGAGCCATCGTCATTGCTCCCCAGGGCACCTACCATCCGCAGATTAAAGCCTCGTTATTCAAGCAGGCCGTTTTACTTGACTCTCCTGGTTCTCTCGGTTCTTGCTGGCGCAAGCATTCTGCTCAGTGCAACTCCCGAACAGCCCGTATCGCTTGGCTTATCGCAGCTTGCAAAGCGCAATGATTTCGGGCTTGGATCTGACGGGCTTCTCGGGCCCAGTGGGAAAGACTCTGACGAGGTATGTTCGAAGGAGGGATAGATACTGAGCTGTCAGACCAACCAGAATACTGATGAGTTGTCTCCTTGTTCTCTTCTAGTGCCATTTGGTCCACAAAGCAGAGGACCAATGCTCCTTCGTCCGAACATACTGCGACGACCATGAAATCGGCATTTTCTCCTACTTACAACTCTACTACTGCAAACTCCCACATGTAAAGCCAATCGCGTTTGCCATCCTAGCTATATGGCTAGCAGTTCTCTTCAATACAATCGGGATCGCCGCCAGCGACTTTCTATGCGTCAACCTAAGCACCATCGCGAGTATTTTGGGCATGAGTGAGAGCTTGACCGGTGTAACATTTCTGGCTTTTGGAAACGGCAGCCCCGATGTATTCTCGACGTTTGCTGCGATGGGCTCCAACAGTGGCAGCTTGGCGGTTGGTGAACTTATCGGCGCGGCCGGATTCATAACCGCCGTTGTTGCTGGATCCATGGCACTTGTCAGACCGTTTAGGGTTGCCCGACGAAGCTTCGTCCGCGACGTCGGGTTTTTTATTGTTGCTGCGAGTTTCAGCTTGGTCTTTTTAGCTGATGGAAGACTGCATGTCTGGGAATGCCTTGCTATGGTTTTATTCTACGTCTTCTACGTGTTCGTTGTCGTGACCTGGCATTGGTACTTGGCCAAGCAAAGGCGGCGGCGGGAAAGGGATTTGGCTGCAAGAGCCTACTTTCATATACCCGAGAATCAAGAGCTAGAGATTGAGGAAGAAGAAGAGGACGACGATCCCGTAGCCGGTCAATCCCGGTCTCTCCTTCGTGAACCTTCGTCCGAGGATTTCGGAGCTTTGGAGCGCGCGGACATTCCCGCGTGGAAAGTGGATGATGTTGATGAAGACGCCGACAACCGAGATCTTGCGGAAATACAGGGAAATATGCGAGTCGCTCGTCCCCCGCGAGGCCATCGACGACCTACCATCACACCCATCCGGCCCAGCTTGGTTGGCGCTCTCGAATTTCGCGCTGTCTTGGCATCACTGCAAAAATCCAGACAACAGTCAGGGCCAATCCATCTGCGCAGATATTCAGATGAATCTGGCCTTGCAGGACCACCAACTGACGTCCAATCCGAACGATTACACCCACAACTGGATTCCATCCCTAGCCGTTTACGGTCTGCTTCAGCTAATGAACCGTCAAATCGCATAGCGAATAGAAACCGCCATATTTCACCGAATGCTGACTTGAGACTACCAAGTCCAGGAGCAGTGCTTTCAGACGAAGAGCCTCAAGGACTAGGAGGCCATGCGGCAACAGCAGCACATTTTGTGCCGCAGCCAGGGCTCACTGCTTCACCTTCATCATCCGACTTTCCCTCGAGGTCTCAAAGTCCAGCCGTAGGCGAACGCTCTGTTTCTCCAAATCTATTAGCACCACCGGAAAACGGATTCCGGTCACCTAAGTATCTCTCAGAACCATCCAAAACACACAGTGGGGTCTCCCCACGTACCAAGATACAAGATGATAGCCCAAGCTCTCGACCAAACACACCATCAATGAGCCCAACCTCTGCCTTTCCCCCGTATACAGACACTTTTTCTATGCGTTCACGATCCCGTAGTCCGCATCTGCAGCGTGCAAGTTTATCTGCAGCGTCAACAGTTACACGTGAGGGTTTCGTGGATGCTGAAACAGAGCCCAAGCCAATTAGTTGGTGGCCTTACGAATACCTACCATCCCCTTACGCTATAACTACGGCTTTATTTCCAACATTATACGACTGGAAAAGAAAAGCCATTTGGGAAAAACTCCTTGGAGTCGTTGCAGCGCCCAGCGTGTTGCTCCTAACGATAACGCTTCCTGTTGTTGAACCAAAGGAGTCAGAGCCGGAGACACCTCCAGAACCAGAATTCAATGGCATCGGTGCCCAGGATAGTGGCGCAGGTCTTCCTCACCTCAGCCGTCAGACGTCCGATATGTGGAGAATGTCAGTAGCTCCGGACGTAGAAGAATTCAACGACGACGATGGCCGCCGCACAAGAGCCTCGCTTCTCACAGCTACAGGCCGGCGTCGACAGGACTCCGAGGCTCCTGTTCCAGCAACGCTACCGAACCAGAACATACCCTCATCCCCCAAGGAATGGAACCGATGGCTCCTAGGCCTCCAACTCCTGGTGGCCCCTTTCTTCATAGCCCTAACAGGCTGGTCAACACTGGACGCTGACCTACACCTTCGAAACCTCCTGATCCCCTCCCTTGTCGCCCTCCTCATCTCTGGCATCTTCCTCACCATCCTCTTCCTCAGCACAGGCCCTGACGCCGACAGCACCACCACGCAACAACTCCCCCAACGCTCCCGCCCTTTCCTCGCCTTCCTCGGCTTCGTCGTCTCCATCGCCTGGATCTCCACCCTAGCCTCCGAAGTCGTCAACCTTCTCAAAACCATCGGCGTCATCCTCAGCATCAGCGACTCGCTCCTAGGCCTAACCATCTTCGCCGTCGGTAACTCTCTCGGCGACCTCGTGGCCGACATCACGGTAGCGCGCCTAGGATACCCCGTCATGGCACTGAGCGCCTGCTTCGGCGGGCCGATGCTGAATATCCTTCTCGGCGTTGGCGTGGGCGGGCTGTACATGACGCTCCACCCGGCGAAATCGTCATCGGTAGCTGTGGGGAGTGGGGTTGTTGCGCAGGCGCTATCTACCAGTTCCAACACGTATGAAATCGAAGTATCCAAGACGTTGTTGATAAGCGGGGCGACGTTGCTGGCGACGCTTGTGCTGTTCCTGATTGTCGTGCCGTTGAATGGGTGGTGGATGGATCGGAAGATTGGCTGGGGGCTGGTGGCGTTGTGGACTGTGACTACGGTCGCGAATGTGGTTATGGAGGTTGTTTCTACGAATTAACTGGGGATCGTTTTCCTTTTGTCTGGCCCTTTTTAGTTGAAGTCTGGGTAATTTTTCTAGTTTGGTTTTCCTTCTTTTCCTTCTTTTCCTTCTTTTTCCAACTTCCATGATTGATTACTTGTTGTTTCCCAGTCTCATTCAACGATAGTTGGTTGTAAGAAAATATTTAGATTGTTTTGGGACATAAACCGCCATCCCCTATTCTACTTGTGTAAACGTATTTAAAAAACAAAACCGCTCTCTGTCTGAATATCTAGCTGCCACGGATAACCAGCTGGTCTTTAATCCCTACTACTTTTCCTACGTGGTACCCAGGCGCAAGAGGTCTGAAAGTGGGTAGAAATTGCTCCCAGGAGCCATATAAATCGACATCTAGCGGCTGGATTTCCTGGCTAGTAGATTACTCCATAACTACTAGGGAATTGTCGGGTAGTGGCTTTGATATTTGGCAAGGGGGTTTAGTGGGTTGTGCTACACCAATAAGCGGACGGATGGTTGGTGCTGTGTATAAAAGGACAAAAGTGAAAACACCATCAATCAAGCGATAAACAAGATATATCAAAAAATTACTATATCCTACCCTAAAATCTCAAATACATCCATCCATCCCGAACATACCTAGCACAATCTTACCAGCTTCAAAACAAAGAAAAAATCCACAAAACGCACTACCATCAACGACAATAAATATCTTACCAAACAACCATTTCACCCTTCCCCATCTCACGATCTCCTAAAACAAAAACCCTAGATAATCCTCCCCGAAACAGCTGCCGCACTCCGATCCTTAGTCTCCACCTTTCTCAACCCCTTCCCAGCCTGGATACTCGCCAACAACGCCCCTCGCCCAGCAGGTGCCCCGGGTGCAGCTGCCATTGGCATAGTCGGTGCACCCACAGCAGGAGGCGGGGGTGGCGGGGGCCCTCCTGGTGCAGCACCGATGGGTGGTGGAGGGGGAGGAGGCGGTGCGGCGGCGCTGGGTACTGGTGGCGGTGGAGGGGGTGCGGTGGGCGGTGCATCTGTGAAGGGAGCGGGAGGGGGTGGGGGTGGAGGCATTGACGGTGCGTCTTGGAAGTCATTCTCATCGAATTCGTCGTCCTCTTCCGCATCTTCGTCAGGGTGGGCTGGTGGTGGGGGCTCCGATACTACGGGCGGGGCCGGTGGTGGAGGTGGCGGCGGGGCCGCGATGGGACTTGTCTGGACAGCCATAGCAGGTTTAGATTCCGGTTTTTCCTCCATCGCGCTGAGGGGGCGTGGCGGACCCATGGTGCCGAAGAGGATGCTGGCTAGGTGTTTAGCGCTGCCGCCCGCTGGTCTGTCGTCATCATCATCGGAAGAGTTTTCCGATTCGGCGACCGACCATTCGTCATCTTCAGGTCGGACGCGGGATTTGCGCTCTAGAGGCCCGGGGATCGGTGCAGCCGCGAAGGCAGATTTTTGGCTCTCCTGCTGCTGAGCCAGGCGGTGGAATGGATTTGTGGATTGGATTTCTGCCTTGGGAGGAGCGGGTGCGGATGCGGCTGCAGCAAGAGGATCTGGTATTTGTTCCGGTGGTGTATGGAAGCTAGGGAGTGGTTGTACGTCTGCGGACTGGCTCAATTTGCGGAAATACGGATTTCTCGACTCGTTGTCAGTCGCGGCACGCTGTTTGACAGATTCTGGACTTGAAAGGGCAGTGCTTGCAGGTGCAGCCACCTTAGGAGCTTGCTCTGGTTCAAACGGAGCTGTTGGTGGGGTGGCTGGTCGCGGAGCTGGCGGAGGTGGTGCTGCGGTCGTAGTAGTAACTGAAGGGAGAACAGCGCTCTGCGTAGGTGTGCTATTTTGTGGAGTAATCTCGATAGGTCCTTCATCATCCGACGATTCCTCCTCATCAAGACCCTCCAGTTGACGCTGCAGCTCTCTCTCCCGAGCTTGTGCGGCCTCAAGCTCAGCGCGCTGGGCAGCAAGTCGTGCCTCTTTCTCCTTAGCTTCCTTTTCAGCAAGCTGTTTTCGCCGTTTCTCCTCTTGCTTTTTAATCTTGCCCTGTCTAACCTGCTCCTCCAATGCCTTGAGACGGGCCTGAGCAGCTTCCCGCTCCCTTGCCAGTTCCTCTTCTTGTTGTCTGGCCTCCGCTCTATAAATCTAATTAGTATTCTATCCCACACACTTTACAAGATGTATATGAATTGCACTTACTCTAAACGGCGACTCTCAGCTTCCTGAGCCTGCTGCTCCTCCCTCAGGGCCCGCTCCCTTGCCTCATTTTCAGCCTTCTCTCGAGCAAGATTGTCCACATCGACCGATTTCTTCGTTTCTGCAGGAGCAATGCCATCTGCCTTACCCTTTCGCGACGGAGGTGGGGGAGGTTTCTTGCCAGTAGGAACCGCTTTAACAGGTGGGCCATTTTGTTCTTCAGCAATACGACGTTGCCTCTCCTGCTCCCGCTTCGCATCTTCCTCCTCCGCCCGCTTCCGCCTCTCTTCTCGCTCGCGCTTTTCACGTTCCTGGCGTTCAAGAAGGGTTTCTGCACCTCCATCAGAGCTTGGCTTGAGACCAGCAGCTGCCATGCGCTCGGCAATACGTTTCTGAGCTCGCTCTTTAGCGGAAGCAACACGTTCCTGATGAGTAAGACCAGCCAATGAGGAAGAAGACCCAGTGGATCGTGGGGGAGATGGCCTGACTGGCAGTGCGTCACCGTTAGGCGATGCAGTATCATATCGGTTACTAGACAGGGATCTTGGGGCAGGTGTATTTCTGCTGTAACATTATGTTAGCGCTGCACAATCAACAATAGCCCCTAAAGGGGCTAATAAAAGGAACTACTCACTCCTCCTTCCGAACCTTCGCAGTCCTACTCCCCCGCTGAAGATCATATATGAAATCTCTGATCGTATCCTCAACACCCAGGGCTTCTTCCCACCGCCTCCTCTCATGCTCACGCGTAGAATCCTCATCAACATCCTTAAGACTATCCTCAAGGCTCCGCGTAAACTCTTTAACACTCTCTTCCACATCCCTGGTCATAGCGTCATTCCGTTCCCGCTCAGCCTTAATGTTCGCAGCCTCCACTTCGAGTCGCCGTGCGGCAGCTCCATCATCGTCGGTAGGCGGTGGCGGCCTCCCAGCTAGCTCAGCAGCCCTGGCCTGCATTCTGGCACGAGCTCGCGCTTTGATGCGGTCGGATTCTGTGACAGTGCCACCAGGGCCAGTTCCAACAATAGCGGCGGCAGCGCTAGGATGAGCCTTTGCATCCTTGAGACGGAACAGCTCAAGCTTAGCATCAGAAATGCTCCGCTCAACTTTCCGAACATTTGAAGCTAATTCGGGAAGCTGATCCTGGTACGACTGCAGCTGTCTTCGCAGGGCACGGCGTTCAGCTCCGGAGTCTGTATTACGGAACGCAGCCTTGGGGTCGGTATCGATCTCATCTTGAACGCGCCGGATCCTCTCCATGAGCGACTCAGCCTCCCGGCGATCCCGGCGGTTAAGCGTCTCCTCTTCTTCCGCGCGATTCTGGTCCTGGAAGTCAGTAGCATCCAGCATGATCTTAGCTTCCCGGATTTTCTTCTTCAATTGCTCGACTGAGGCGTCGTTGTAAGAACGTTCTGGTGTAGGGGATGGGGTGGGAGATGGAGTTCCCCCACCACCAGCACGACGGCGGGCGCTTGACCTGTATCCTATAGCGTCATCATTGTTTTTGAATACAGTTGCGTCTTTCCTCCCAATGCCTGGCGTGGTTGATCCGCCACGGAAAGAATGGTTTTTCAAATAACTAACTCCAGTCTGTTGAGGTTGTAGGAATGCGCCGGAAGATTTGCGAGATTCCGCATCCTGAGACAGCAGCGACTTCACAGTTCCAATCGAGTCGTTGAAGTTCCTCGTTGACGGGGGGATGAGTTCTGGCGGGAGTCTATTTGGTACCGGATATCCGTTGAGTTTTCGGTATATTAAATGCATTGCCACGGCAAATTCATCCATGTTCAGTCTTCCCCGATTGTTCGGGTCAGACAATGTCCATATGCGCTCAAGATCCTGACGTTCCAGCCCACTCTGACCCATGATTTCTATCGCGACATCGCCTCCAATGAACCCTTTATTGAAACCATCCCATGCTTTAAAGAGCTGATCGTAGATCTTCTTCTCATCCTTGGTTACAGCCCACGGGATTGTCGCGTTCCCAGCCAAACCTTGAGTCGTGAACCCACCTTCCCGTCCCGGTTGAGGCATCAACCGTTGCTGCAATGCTTCGATGTTGGGCAATCCAGTTGCGGGTGCATTGACAAAACCCCATTGGCCAGGAGCTCCAGTTGGCTGCGCATTTAGGGGAGCAAGCCCGGTCTGTGAGGGTGAAAGGTTCGAACCAAATCCCGTAGGCATAGGGGGCATGGGCGGTCGTGGTCCAGTATAACCGGTTGGTTGAGGGTTACTCATAAACCCAATTTGCTGGGGACGGAGACCAGTATTCTGCCCTGGAAATCCAGTCTGCTGCGGTTGCACAATCGTAGGTTGAAGGCCGGTGGCCTGGTTATAGAATCCGGTTGGTTGGGAGGTCAGCTGGGAGAGAAGTTGGGTATTGGAGGCTTGTTGTGGCTGGGGCTGTTGTGGTGGGGGCGGCGCAGATGCGTTTTGCATCAGCGGGGCCGCAAACTTGGGTACATTCGTCGTTTGAGGAGGAGCCGGTCGATCATCTGGAACAGCAAAGGATATGATATCGACCATACTGGAGACTTCGTTCGAAATGCGCTCGGGAAGAGTGGATGGAAGTTCCTTGCCTGTTAGCTTTAGGTTGCAGAGGTACATCGCTAGAGCAAACTCGGGGAAGAGAAGGCGGCCTGATTTCGTGGTATCGGAAAGCACCCTTCATTGACAATTAGCAAAAATATGATCTCCACCTCTCATTTATCATAACACGAGTTAGGGACATACCAAATCTTCGACAGATCGCTTCCAGACAGCTTGGAGCGCATAAGTAGATCCTTCGCCGTCTCTCCTGTAAACACTCGGTCAGCATGCACATCCGATCCAGAGAAAGAAATTGCAACTCTATCCTATAAGATACCCACCATCCAACGCCTGATTATTCCCCACGGCAGATTTGAAAAGCTGCTCAAACTTCGCCTGGTCCTGCGCAGTGATAAAAGACAGGCGCATAGTCGGGATCTTGGAGCCTGTGGACACATGTGGTTGCGCCGGTGCGGTCGGAGATGTTGACTGCGCAAAGGACTGCGCAATCTGCGTCGAGGTCATGCCCGTTTGGTGCGGGGCCACGGATGAAGGTGCGGGCACTGACAACTGGGGCTGTTGAGTCGTCGTCGTCGTCGTCGTCGTCGCCGTACTAGGAGGTTGTTGATTTTGAGGAGGGAAGCCAGTGAACTGAGGCTGAGATGGGAAGCCGGTAGGTTGCGGTTGCTGCACTGGCATCTGCGTTTGCTGCATCTGGTTGCTGCCGGCAAAGCTGGTAGGTTGGGGCATAAACGCGCCCGGTTGAAGATTTTGTTGCTGAGGTTGAGAGAAGACGGGGAAAGGCTGCTGTTGCGGTTGTTGCTGTTGCTGCTGTTGTTGCTGCGGAGGTAGGGATGTCTGCTGGCCAAACGGAGGCTGGCCCGGGCGGGTGCTATTACCGCCGTAAAAGGTATTGGAATACATGGCTGGAAATAATGATTGATGCTAGCAAAAAGAAGGAAAATACAAAAGGAAATAGAAGACAAGCAGAGGCTTAGTTGGGGTGGTCAAAGAAAGTCTCAACTCAGGGGCGTCGTCGGGAGAAGAGTGGAAGGAGTCCAGGTTTGACGTTGAGCTGAGGCTATGGGGATGCGGCGGAGCGACTAGGCTGGATACGGTTAGACTACACCCTGGCGGTTCTTCCGTATGTCAAGACAAAAAGAATTCATCTCATTTTGCTCTTTGATCTTCTACATACATCTAGACTGGCCGTGTGATCATGCATGAAATCAAAGTAAAATATTTGATAGTTTCATTAGGAAGGCTTTCTGAAGCTGTCATTCCAGCATACCCCCGCCCAAGGTTGGGTACTCCGTAGGTGGTCAGGGAAATAGTGAGAAATACGAGGCACCAAGGAGGAAAAAAAGCCATATATCAAGCTCCCGAAAGCCAGTATTTACCAAGGCACCGGGATCTGAGCTTCTGCTGGTGAAGAAGAGAGTCCAGGCGGCGGAAACGGGAAAAGAGGGTTTCCAAGGTTTGGGGCAGATCGTTTATCATGTAGCAGCAACCTAGCCATCATGCATTATTTAACGATTAATGCTATTTATTTACTCCATAATATTCAGTATTCAGTACAACATCAAGTACAGTACAACAATCACCTGCTGAGATCTCCCCCAGATGTTAAAACCTTCAACTGGCAAAATGGCATCTGTATCGCGATGGGAAAAGCTATTGCTTCGCCCCGCACTGTCAAGTGCGACAGCGACTCTGCCGGCGCCAACAGCAATCCCGATATTTGTTTATGGCACCGCGTGGAAAAAGGATCAGACAGCAGATTTGGTCTACCAGGCGCTCTCCGCTGGGTTTAAAGGCGTAGACACAGCCGCCCAACCGAAGCATTATCGAGAGGATCTAGTTGGCGAGGGCCTACGAAGGGCGTTGGCGGAGGGCAAAGTAAAGAGGGAGGATCTCTATGTATGTAACTATGTGGTTGGGGTTGACCTCAAATCTCTCTCCATTTTTTTTATTTTTTTTCTCTTTTAGTTTGTCAACTACATCGACCAATTTATAAACTATTAATATGTCAATATGGCGATTGCCTACCTAACCTCTCTAACCTCGTGGCCGCACGCTGCAGGTACAAACCAAATACACGCCAATTGGAGGTCAAGATCCCCACTCGGTCCCCTATGACCCCTCGTCTCCAATTGCAGCTCAGATTCATTCCTCCGTCAAATCGTCGCTAGCAAACCTCCGCTCGCGCGAAGATACAAGCTCAGAAACGGACACCTACCTCGATGCACTTGTCCTGCACAGTCCCCTCCCAACCATCAACGAGACACTCGAAGCCTGGGCAGCGTTAGAAGAATACGTCCCGCACAAGATACGAAACCTCGGCATCTCAAACTGCGACCTCCGCGTCCTCAAGGCCATCCACAGCTCGACCAAAGTGAAGCCCGCCGTCGTCCAGAACCGATTTTACCCAGGCTCAAAGTTCGACGTGGACCTGCGCCAATTCTGCCGCCAGAACTCCATCGTATACCAGTCGTTCTGGACGCTGACTGCAAACCCGGAGCTGGTATGGTCGACTGAGGTCGGTCTGTTGAGCCAGCAGGCCCGCATCAGCCCGCAGGCCGCGCTGTACTGCTTGGTGCTGGGCCTGGGAGACACGGTCATGCTCAATGGAACGAAGAATGAGGGTCGGATGCTGGCCGATCTTGCTGCGCCCAAGGCCGTGGAGGAGTTTTCGTCGAAGTATCCAGAGCAGTGGGATAGAATACTGGGGAGGTTTAAGAAGAAGATTGGTGAGACGGAATGAAAAAAGAAAAAGGGGAAGGGGAAGGGGAATGGGAAAGAGTACAAGAGAAACGAATACAAGAGAAATTCTACCTAGAAGTATGATGAAGGCGCTAGCTGCGAGAAGAATGGGCGACTGTCTATTCTCTTTGTGTGAATTGCACCATTGTTGTGCTAGCTGTGAGGTAGGACTATTTAGACATTCTTTTTGGTAAAGCAATTGTATGCAATTCTGATACAGTCACTTGAGACAAAAGGTCTTGTCTAGCTTGTTGCTGGTGGTGGATGTTGACTGTGCCTTGTGGTTATACCCCATATCACTACCTAAAATGAATGATGATATATCTATGCAAAGACAGAATAAAAATTGAGACTTATTTCATATTTATTTCTATTGATGCCTTACAGTCTTATTCAAATGATTTGCTTTTCTTTCTTTAAATTTAAATTCTGCTGAGATGTTTTAAATAAATGAATGTATAAACTATATATTTATGAGCTGCAAGATGTAACTAACTAGTTAACTATTCAGTTTAGAGTTGTAAATCATTTCACAGCTTCTCTATTTCTTTAGGAAGAGAGATACTCAGCAAATACATACTGTGTATTTCGATTTCTTTCTCTAGCAATAGTCCAACCAGATTGTTCACTTCCTCTATACCTAACTTACATCTTTCATCCTCTACTTCTCTATACCTTGTGGTAATGTTAGTTAACTAGACACCCACTTGGTGGTGGTGACATCAGCGACGATTCCTAGCGTTGTCTTGGCGTGTTTGCCCTGTTTGCCCGCCCTGGGTCGAGATATTCTCATATCTGGCCCAGAAAGGAAAGCGACTCAATCTCCAACGCCGCGACCACGAACTTATATCTAAAGCCATCTTCACCACCTTCAGCAACACCCTGCGTCTTCTTCTTCCCGACATCGCTTCAACCTCATCTTCAACCTCACCTTTCCATCCCTCTATCTCAATAGCCCTGGCCCCTTCTTGTGTAGCCTTATGCGCTTGCAGATATTCTCGCAAACTTATCATCTAACTAATCATCCTATCCAGAGCTAGGCTGGCTAGTTAACTTAGTGGTGGCTTCATCAAAAGATAACCCCCCCATCCCAACGGTTCACCTGTTCGATAAAATTGAAACTGCCTTGCCACTACATTACCTACTATCATCGTTTTGTTGGTTTTTGAACAGTATTGGAAATATTCGTCCAATTACCCGACAACAACTTAAGGATTCGAGTAACGAACGACGCGATAATCGCTCGGCTGCTGGGATATTCTGCGGCCCGCACCCGCTCCCGGATCGCACACGCTGATATCAGAAACCGATATTTTGAGCCTGCATTCGACATACCATTTTTCACCCCTCCTAGCCTCAATTCGTTTTAACTCCATCCTGTCCTCCGTCCCGCGCGGTCTGGCTGTCTCATAGCCTCGCACGTGTTTTCCGTTTTATCTTATAATATATGCTGGCCATGACGTCGCCAGGCGTCTCTCGAAAGAGACCCGCACCAGGTGCTTCTCCGATGCCCCGTCAACAGATAATCCCAACAGATCCCCAACTATCCAACGACCAGTTCTTACAGTGGGGGCAGGCTGGTACCGCCCACCCAGACTCCTCCGCTTCTCTCGCCAGCTCCCCGCAATACCCCTCCTCAGTTCCGCACCCAACTGACGTTGACCCTGTGCATGCATCAAACCAACTCACGCGGAGACCAGACCACCAGCTAGTCAGCAGAGCGCGTTTACACGACCCGAACGTAATTTCATTGATGGATCCAGCCAGAACGAGGACAGATGACAGAGGAGATCCTGGTACGGAAACGGAGGCTGAGCTGGCGCAACGTGCTCTCCTGGCAAAAAAGGATGCTCAGGCAAAGAGGAAGCAGATCCCGCCTTTTGTGCAGAAGCTGAGCAGGTATGCTATTCGATTCCCCTTTTTCCTGTTCGTATATACGTCAGCGATCAAGCGGTTAATGATATTTCCCCCCTCCCCCTACCCCAAAACAGTTTTCTTGACGAATCGAAAAATACCGATCTAATACGATGGTCCGAGGATGGCAATTCATTTATTGTTCTGGACGAAGATGAATTCGCCAAAACATTAATCCCCGAGCTCTTCAAACACAATAACTACGCCTCATTCGTCCGCCAACTGAACATGTACGGCTTTCATAAAAAGGTCGGCCTCTCTGACAACTCTATGCGCGCTAGCGAACGTAAAAATAAGAGTCCCAGCGAATATTCGAACCCTTATTTCAAGCGTGGCCATCCGGATCTCCTTTGGCTTATACAGAAGCCCAAGAATACGTCAGGTCAAGGCAGAGGGTCTAAAGGTGGACAGCGTGCCAAGAATGAAGGTGAAGGAGACGATGGAGAAAATGAGGACTTTGGAGAAGAAGGAGGTGGTGCCCCGCACGAGCGGGCAAAGTTTCGTGGCCAACTGTCTATCGGAGCCGGGGAGGGTACACTTGCAAATGAACAATTAGCCAATGTCTATCGTGAGCTCCAGAACATTCGTCAACAGCAGCAAATAATATCCTCGACTATCAGCAAATTGCGACGGGAACACGAGCAACTCTATGGACAGGCAGCCACCTTTCAGGAACAACATACTCGTCACGAAAATTCTATCAATGCAATACTCACATTCCTCGCCACTGTGTACAACCGAAGTTTACAGGGCCATGAAGGAGTTCAGGGGATTGTTAACTCTTTTGCTGGAGCCATACCCCAGGATAATACGCAGAGAAATATTGTCGACATGGACGATTTTATCGGAGGTATCAATGCGGACCTTTCTGGCCAGCGACCTTTTAAGAAACAGCCGTTGCTGCTGAAGGCGCCTCCGGTTGTTAGCCGAGATGTCCAATCGCTACATGGCAACACAATAAGCCCGGCCTCGACTGGTAGCCATTACGATACCTCTCAAAGTCACAGACACCCATCTGAGCACAAGAACAGCACATCATCTAGTAATATCGAAGAGTTGTTCGATAGTCCGCACAATTCCATCTCCCAGGCACAACTTCCACACCGACAGGAACAACAACATCCCATACAGCACCAACGGACCGCATCGTCCCAATCTGCTCATCATGACCAATCAACGCCGAATTTCCCCCAGAGAGACATTATGTCTGTTATCCAAAACTCTAACGCGAGGAATAACTTACCGTCCAACCTATCTGACTTCCCTAGAATGCTTTCCTCGTTTGAGACGTCTGGGGGGAATTCCCCTCTTACCGCCTCACAACGAGCTGATATGCTGCGCCTGATTGCCAACCAGAACCATGCATCCGATCCAACCACCACATCATCGCAAAACAACGCACTTATCACGCCAACTCCACCGCCTATGCCGGCAGGTTACCCCACCCGCCTTGCCAACACGCGAGCGGAAATCGACAATCTCGTGAAAATGCAAGCAGAGCAAGACCGCTCCGTTCAGAATCTCACAAACCTATTACAGCCCCTGAGCCCCAACGGGTCAATCCCGGGGCTTGATGAAAACAGCCTGAATTCCGGGGTCCCGCCACCTCCGTTGGATCTAGACCAGATTTTTAACAGCGATTACTTCTCTGACTTCCCAGACATGGATAAGAGCGGAGACCTGTCTGGGTTCAACCACGATCTCCAAAGCGGCCAAGAAAAGGAGTCTGACAACAAGATCACCAGCCATAACCATAGCACCACTGGTAATGATACCCATACGAGCGATCTATTCGATTTCGACGCACTCCCTTCGGTTACGACTGGAGATGTACTCCGTCCTTCTAATGCGCCTGATGATACTCACCCAGTGCCCGGGTACTTTGACGAGTATCCTTGTCTAAACGGCGGCAGCGGTAGCGGCAGCGGAAACGCGAGTGGCAGTGGCAACCTTGACACTTCGCGACTGGATGATGGCTCCGGCAGTCCTGATTTCGGCGGCGGAAGAAGGGGATCCGATGAGGCTCGCATAACTGAGACATTTTCGAGCAGCGAGGCAGCCAGTCCTGCGACGACGAGTGTCGACGAGAGCTTACAAGGATTCGAGGGGGTGAATGGCAATAATGCTGGAACAAGCATTTCCTCCTCAAACAAGAGGCGGAAGAGGAATAAGTAGCGAACTGCACTGTTTCTGTGGGACACCAAAGGACCATGTTAATTTAGTTTTATTCACAGGAGGGAAGGGGGAAAAAAAATAAAAGTCGAACAAAGCCAAGTTGTTTTTTTTTTCTTTCTTTTGTCTTGGTTTTACGATGACCTCTAGCAGAGTCTTGCCTTAAGAGGTCCCTTTTTTTTCTTTTTTTTTTTTCTTCTTTTCCGATTTTTACTTATCTCTTTGTACTTTTTTTACCCTTTTGGCTTTTATTTTATTTTTATCTTTATTTATTTATTTTGGTTTCTAATTATTACCCTGGGCGGCAGGAGAGACAAAGAGGGCAGAACCGGCGTTTGGACGGGAAAAAAAAAAAAAAAAAAAAAAAAAAAAAAAAAAAAAAAAAAAAAAAAAAAAAGAGAAAAGAGAGAGAGAGAGAGAGTCACTGTCTCTTTTTGTGTGTGTTTTTCATCTCCTACTTCTTCCTCCCTTTGAAGGCTCTGAGCCGGTTTCTACGGGTGTTGTGTGTGCGTGTGTGGTGGGTAAGGGAAAGGCTGGAGGAATTTAAGTGATATTTTCTCTTTTCTCGAAGGGGACTTTGGGGGGCAAGAGTCATACATATTATTTATTTTTTATTGGGCATTTAGACTCAGGGGTTCGGGGTATTTCCAATGTACTGGTATCATGTTTTTCCCCACGCGTTGTCTCTGTGTGCATCTATGTCTGTACATACCTAGGTATCTATATGATCTTAATCTTTCTGAAATGCTATGTGTCTCTTGATACAGGTGCGACGTGATGATACTGGACATATCCTTCCAGCACTGCTCTTCTACCATCTGTAAACAAAGTCAATGAAGTATGCTTCACCAGTGAGATACATACCCCCCCCCCCCCCCCTTTTGGCCTCCCATAGTCGCAATAACAACAACAAAACCTGCGCGTCAACAGCAAAACACCTACAACAGCAACAGCCAACAAGTCAAGATACTCTTCGAGAAGACTCATTCTATTCTTTTCACCAGCTTGACTCCTCTCTTTCTTCTTTCCCTTGTCCATCATCCCCTTGATCTTCATCTCAACTACAACCCGCCTGCCTGCCTGCCTTCTCCCCTTCCCCAACAACCAACCATTCACTTCAGACTTAACACATCCCTTCTCTGCCCAGGGCAAGCTTACCTACTCAATGATGATCCATATATAACTCCAGGTAGCCGCTGTTAGGTTGCCTGTGGGGACCACGGCTTTTTTAATCCGACGTAGGAAGCTTTCTCTGTGTTGAGGTAGCCACATGAACAGTCAGACACTTGTTTCCTTCTTGCTTCTCCGCTGCCCTTTTTTTTTTTTTTTTTTTTTTTTTTTTTTTTTTTGGTTTGCCCATTCAACCCTAAGGCCTCACGCTGTGAGCCGTGTCGTGGTTAGTTGGTGTAGTTCCGCCATCCGCCATATCATACATTGTTAAGAGAGCGAAGACATAACCGCATAAATCTGAACTGGAACAAACGTGATGTAATCTGAAATGTCAATGTACAATGTATCATCGATCATTCATTTCATAGATGCTCACTTGCCTTCTCCTATTTTCAAGAGTATCCGCCCTCGTCCCACCTCTTAAATGCCACCGCCACATGGCACATAATAACAATCGCATCAACAGAGCCAAAGCATCACAGCCGAGAGAAACTAAACAAATCACCGAGAACTGAAGATGCCCCAAACAGCAAAGAATAAATCCCCCAATCAATCAACCAAGCCACTCACGCTCCTTTACCCCCTTCCCCTAATCCTTCCCCTAATCCTTCCCCTTGCTCCTTCACCCCCTCCCCCCCCTCCTCCGCCTCCTCTTCCACCCTCTCCTCCATAAACTTAAACACATCCTCCTTGTGTGCATTAAGCATCTCATTGAGGCCCCGATTCGGCGATCGTATCAGCCGGCCATACCGCTTCGAGAGCTTCCGGCTGTTCTCCGGCCCGGCCCAGACGCCGTGCAGGTGCGAGACGAAGACGAGGGAGTTCTGGTCGGGTGATGCTTGCTTGTCAGTGGCCGAAAAAAAAAAAAAAAAAAAAAAAAAAAAAAAAAAAAGTTGGGGGGGGGGGGGGGGGGGAACCAAGAAAACATACCTCTTTATACCATTTCGATAGCCAAGTTGTGGTATTGCTCGAGACAGCGCGGACGGGGCTCTCGGCCACGAAGGAGATGACGCCACTTACGCGTTCGTGGACACGTTCTGCTTGGCAGGATATCACTTGACGTTAGATACAGCTGGTGCTCGTTGGGATATATATATATATATATATATTTTAGATATATAGATATGGTATGTATGAATGTACGCACCGGTGTTCACAAGGAGATTAGCCAGGCCGAAATATGCGTTCCCGACTCCAAGGAAGAAGATGCTTGTGGCGTCGTTGGGTCTGTTGCATATGAGCAGAAGGAAATTAGTTTATACTACTACGAACGTAGAAAATTGGGGGGGGGGGGGGGAAGATACGCACTCAATATAATTCTCCCAGAGGTACGTAGCTAGCTGATCGCCCATCTGCATACGTGCGCGGTGGTCATCCTGATAGTCCGCTGATTTCTATTTCACAATTCACAACCACTAGTCAGACACACATCCAAAGACGGAGTGCGTTTGTTGACTAATCTAACTTCCTGCATGGCTGTTTCTCTCACTCACCGCAGACAAAGTAATATGTTTAGGAATATTAACGTCGATGACGCCAAAATTGTTCTGCATGGCCCATTCGACGTAGTCCTTGACGCTATCAGCCTTATTTTTGCTCCACCGTTAGCCATTCCCATGCCGTGGGCGTGGGGCCAAGGGGGGAGGAGGTCCTTGATTCTTTTGGTTGTTTTTTGAGAAACTTACAAGCCAGCAGTTGTGCGGTTCTAGTGTATTGGTGACCGGGTGTGGGATGCCCATGAGTTCGGGTCTGGAGGGACAATTTAGCTGGGATGCGAATACAATGATGGAAAGTGGGGAAGGAAAATAGGAAAATAGGAAAATAGTTAACATACGGATCGTGGAAGATGACAAGGAGCGGGTTTTCCGCGTCGTAATTTGGACTATAGTAGGACAGTGATGTTAGTTGAGCGGTCGAAATTCAATCTCGTAGGATGTATGTATGTTGTAGTCCGACCTTGCGAGTACTTGATTCTCAAATGATTTGGAGATTGTGTCTCTGTATATGTAGAGGCTTGTGAGTTTGCAGTTGTCGTATAGTTGCTTTGCTTGGTATTGTCGTATAATATCTACATTGCAAAAGCAAATAAACCAGATCAGTACTCCTTCCCATTCTAGCAAAAAAAAAAAAAAAAAAAAAAAAAAAAAAAAAAGTTTGTCCTTACCATGAACCCTATTACCCTGGAAAGATTCTGGCGGACCTATTCAACAAACGTAGGTTTAGCAAAGAGGCCCATGATGCGGAAAGCCAAGACTAGATTAGATAGATAGATAGATGGATACCTTTCGGATACATGCACTTCCAGTATGCAGACTGGATCATCGCGACCCGTTTAACGGTGTGTACTGCCGCCCGCGAAGCTGATGGCGCATGGAGGCGGTCGGGCGGTTCACCCATCAGCGTCCTCGTCACAGCAAGGGCGGACTTGGATATTGATCGGAAATTATATCCTCCCTGAATTTTTAAAATTACGGTTAAGACTGGCCGTGATCGAGTAAATTCTTTTCTTTTTTTTTTTTTTTTTTTTTTTTTTTTTTTTTTTTTTTTTTTATTATACAAAAAAAAAAGAACTTACCTCCAGACAAACAGCGACCTTACCCCCTGCCACATTCATAAGCATGCGGGTCATATGGGCGTAGCAGGGAGGAGTCACGAAGCATCCGCCCAGCTCGTCACCGGCGGCCGCATCGAAACCAGCAGATACTAGTACAATATATTTAGCATATACAATATAACATGTACAATATATATATAAAAGGACGGGAGCTTACTGATAACCAAATCCGGATCAAATTCATACGCGATGGGCATCACAACTTCCTGGAAGGCATACATGTAGTCGCCATCGCCCATACCCTGCGTTGGCCAGGGGATGTTGATATTTCTAGGGGCGCAGTGAGCGTTGGCAACATATCACGAGGGAGAACGCGAAAGGCACTTACTTTCCCAGTCCATTTCCCTCTCCGCAGTGGTCCCAATTACCCTCTTCGCCACCGGGATAGAAAGAACCGTCTCTGTACACGTGGAGGGAGATATAAAGGATGTTTGGATCATCATAGAAGGCCTTTTGAACGCCGTTTCCTGCTTATATGTGAGATGGAGATGAAGGGGAACATCCACACAAGCAAGAGCTAGTTACCATGATGTACGTCCCTGATTCAACGTTAGCTCGTGTAAACCTACTTTTAGGGCGAAACAGTTGTTGCACGTGTGGGAGAGATTACAGTAAGAAACAACGACATACCAGTCCAAAATTAAAATCTTCCGACACTTCTCCCCAAACTCCCTCTGACACACCCTCGCCGCAACACAAACATTATTAAACAAACAGAACCCCATCGTCTTGTTCTGTTCCGCATGGTGGCCCGGGGGCCGGATGACTGCAATAGCATTCTTCACCTGCCCACTCACGACAGCCTTGCAGGTTTCGATGGCGCCACCGCATGACAGGATGGAAGATGTAAACGTGAGAGAATTGAAATAGATGGAATCCCGCGTGTGCTCGAGGGCAATTAACTCCTCCTCCGACATGTCTGTCCTTGGCTGTTAATATACATTTAAACCAAAAAAAAAAAAAAAAAAAAAAAAAAAAAAAAAAAAAAAAAAAAAAAAAAGAGAGAGAGAGAGAGAGAGAGAGAAGAAAAGAAAAAAAGAAAGAAAGAAAGAAAAGAGAAAAGTACCCTCCATAAGAATTAGAGGTAGAAACTCACACTTTGTACTCTTCACAAAATCATAATGCTCCGTATCATGCACGAGGGAGATCTCCTCCTCAGTCGCTTCTCTCGCCCCAATGCGCTGCAGCGGCAGCGAGACCAGCGGTCTCGATGACTCTGGATCATCCACAAGCCCGGCTTTACAAAGCTCCTTGTAGATATAATAAATGCGCCTAGGGTCTTCGGGGTGGACATCCAGGGTCGGCTTGACTTCACAGTGATACCGCATGCGGATGTCATAGCATAAGCCGGTCGCCAGCGACGCCAGGGGTAAGCCCCTCGTGTCCTCGGCGTTGTCGTTGGGCCAGTCCGAGTCCTCCTCGACAAGGCTGTCTGCGTCGGAACCGTACTTGAGAGTGTGCGGCGGCGACGACTTGGTTGGCGGGGTCGCGGCCGTGGCGTGGTCCGGTGGCGCAGCGAATCTCTCTCGGAAGGACTGCATTAATGACGGGGCGTGGCTTTGAGACGGAGCGGGCCGGGGAGCTGTAATCGATGCCGATTGCCCCGAGTGTGCTGGTGCTGATTCTGGCACTGGGGCTGATGTGCCGTTCAATTCCAGCGGGCTGGGGAGCTTCTCTGGACTAGCGCTCAAAGGACGGCCAGGTCCAATGGGGATAACGGTTGGAGGGGCCATGTCGGACATGACGACATCCTCGTCGTCTTCAATTTTTGACATGGTATGCAATGAGAAAGTTCTCTTGGGAACTACCTAGGTACGGTATTCCCGTTGTCTAATGATATGATTGGAGGGGCCGGCAACAGGTCTCAAGGGCGCATAATCGAGACACTCTCTTTGCGGTTCCTATATGTGGTGTACCAAAGAGAGAGAGAGAGAGAACAAAACAAAGAGCGCCGAAACGCTTAACAAAAAAAATAAAAAAATAAAAATAAAGGTAAAGGTAAAGAAAGGTAAGGTAAGGTAAGGTAATATAAAAAGGAAGCAAAAAAAATACAAATATGCAGCAAAAGTACACCTGTACTCAAAGGATCTAAAAACAAATCCACGCGCACGCACTGTAAGCGGAGAGCAGAAAGAATTGCAAAGTCAAAATCAAAGGACAAGAAAGAAAGAAAGAAAGAAAGAAAAGAAAGAAAAGAAAGAAACAAAACCACCAGGTAACCGCAAATAAAGAGAGTTTTGCGGGGAACAAGCAAGCAGACCAAGTGCGCCCTCCGCCTGTAGGTCGTATGTATGTCGTATGTCGTATTGTCGTGTGTCGTGTGTCGTGTGTGGGTTATGGTTATGGGTTATGGGTTATGGATGTTACAGAGGGTTAGAGAAAAAAGAGAGTAAAAAGATGGATGCAGGAGTTTATTATTATTATGCAATAAATAATGATCAAAGGAGGCTTGCAGAGCCGAGTTGGCGCGCAAAGCTAAGCAAAGCAAGCGCTCCCTTTTGGTCTTTTGTTCCCCCAATTGGATCAAAAAAACATAAAACACAGGCGGAAAATGGGTTTGGCGCTAGAAATGGGTCCCGCTGGCAAACCTTTCAAGTATTGCTGGGATATTATTATTATTATTATCTTATTGTGGTTGGATTTCGGGGTTTTGTTTCGTAGAAAATGCGACTTTGATGTGCAGATTTGATGGTTTTGATGGATTTTGAAGCTTTTTTGCGGAAGGATATACGGACCATTGTTGTTCCGCTCCGATCCAGGCACGTGATGAGGATGAGAACTTGTGAATAAGGTTTTTGTTGATGTATCATATCTATGTGTGTATATATATATATATATATATATATATATATAGTTAACTAGTGGGATATTGAGCATGTTTCATTTCGACCCTCTGTTGGCTGGCTTCCTCTTCTTCAGTCAAGTTCCTCTGAAGCGGCCAGGTGGAGGTGGTGGCCAGAGAAGACTAACTAGTTAACTACCTCAAGCAACAAACACCCAGGACAGTTTTACACAACACTTCAACTAACCTAAACTACTCATTCTGTTCCATACCTTAGGTAAATCAAACAAGCAGCTCAAGAAACAACCACCTCTCTCTTCGCTATAACAACACAGACTAAGTCCTACATTCAATGGAAGAAAAAGAAAGGAAAACAAATAAAAATAAAAATAAAAAAATAAGACTTTAATTTTAATTACGGATTTTAAAGCGTTACATTCCTTTTTCTTTTGTAAAGAGAGCCGGGCGCGGGGAACCGCAAACCGCCGTGAAAGTCCTTTTGAATGGCAGAAACCTGCAGGCAGGCAGCACATGTAGAGGCAAAGAAGAGTACAGACAAATTACTACAAAAAGAAGAAGATAGAAAAAGAATTTTGTCCTTTTTTGATTTTTCTTTTTTTTTTCCCTTCTTTCTCTAAGGTTTGCTCAAAAAGGGGGAGAGGGCTAGGAACGAGGAGAGTTCATTTGTGGATTAGAGGACGCTTCTTTCCCTGCTGCTCGCTGCTGATTGCTAATTGTCGTCGTCGACCTTGGAGATGTAGGCTGTTGTGCACGCAAAGAGTATTATTAGCCTATGCTTATTTTCCCTTTTTTTTTTCTTTTTTTTTCTCTTTTTCTTTTTTTTTTCTCTTTACACCCTACACAGAGCAAATTCGCGCCCTGGATGGAAGTAGTATGGCAGGAGAGAGAGGAACTTACAGATGAGGTCGAGGACACGGCGGGAGTAGCCCCACTCGTTGTCATACCAGGAGATGAGCTTGACAAAGTTGCTGTTGAGGGCAATGCCGGCGGAGGCGTCGAAGATGGAGGAGCGGGGGTCTCCGTTCAAGTCGGTGGACACGAGAGCGTCTTCGGAGTAGCCGAGGATGCCTACAGGGAAATTAATTATTTGTTAGGGATTATGCTCAATTTTTTGTTCAGGGGTGAGGGGGTGAAGGGGGTGAGGGGTTGAGGGTGTAGGGTTATATAATAAAAATAATAAATACCCTTGAGTTCGCCCTCAGAGGCAGCCTTGACGGCCCGCTTGATCTCCTCGTAGGTGACGGGCTTCTCAGTCTTGCAGGTCAGGTCGACGACGGAGACGTTGGCGGTGGGCACACGCATGGCCATGCCGGTGAGCTTGCCGTTGAGGGAAGGAATGACCTTGCCGACGGCCTTGGCGGCACCGGTGCTGCTGGGGATGATGTTCTGAGCAGCAGTGCGGCCACCACGCCAGTCCTTGGAGGAAGGGCCGTCGACGGTCTTCTGGGTGGCAGTGTATGCGTGGATGGTGGTCATGAGGCCCTCGGTCAGGCCGAAGTTGTCGTTGATGACCTTTGCGAGCGGGGCGAGGCAGTTGGTGGTGCAGGAGGCGTTGGAGAGGACGTTGATGTCCTTGGTGTACGTATGCTCGTTGACTCCCATGACGAACATGGGGGCGTCGGCGGAGGGGGCGGAGATGATGACCTTCTTGGCGCCACCCTTCAAGTGGGCGCTGGCCTTCTCGGTGGTGGTGAAGACACCGGTGGACTCGACAACGTAATTGACGCCGTGCTTGCCCCAGGGGATGTTGGCGGGGTCTCTCTCTTGGTAGAAGTGGACGGTCTTGCCATTGACGGTCAGGCCGTTGTCGCCGACGACGATGTCGCCCTTGAACTGGCCGTGTGTGGAATCATATTTGAGCATGTAGGCCTGTGATCCGGGGATAACATTGTCAGCTATTAAGTGTTTTTTCGGAATTTTCAAGCTAGATTTCCACACGTACAGCATAGTGAGTCTCAATGAAAGGATCGTTCACGGCAACGATCTCCACGTCATCGTGCTCAATACTGGGGGCCTAAGTCAGTACAGCAGCACAACACAACACGACAAACAGAGGCATGAATTGGCAGCAACTCACGCATTTCGCAAGACCTAGGATAGGAAATCAGCAATCAGAAAGGGAAAAAAAAAAAAAAAAAAAAAAAAAAAAAAAAAAAAAAAAAACCAGAGAAAAGTGAATATTTCGAGATTTCGAGCAGAGAGAGGGAGGGGAGAGAGACGTACAATGCGGCCAATGCGACCGAAGCCGTTGATTCCGACCTGGAAGGCAACAGTTAATATAGCGACAACATAGGTCATAGGTCTACACATCTATCTATGAGAGTACAACAGGTGAATAGCATACCTTGATAGCCATGGTTGCTGGTTATTATTGATGATGGATGGAAATTAAAATATAAAACTGTGTTTGTTGGTTGACACAAAAAAAAGAGAAAAAAAAAGCACTATGGCGGGGTAGTTACACTTGGTCAGACGAGAAAAAAAATAAAAATGTTGGGAAATTGGCGGGAATAGCGGGGTAAGTTAAGTTATATACGGCGCGGCGGGCATCACCAAGAATAATGGGGGAGGAAGAGAAGAAGAAAGAAGCACTCACCTAGAGCTAGAGATGGGATTGTGATATATAGAATACAGGAGGGGATGTTTTTGGTAGAAGAAGAAGAGGGAAGAGGAAGAGGAAGAGGAAGAGGAAGAAGGTTTCCAGCCAAGTAATATATATATAATATATATAGTTAACTAGGGTGTTTGACGCAATGATTCTGATTGAGTTAACTTACCCGGATCTTGCTTGGGCTTTGACTGTGGCTTTTCCATTAGTTAACTACTCTATCTATCTACTAGTTATTATTATTTATTACTTGCCTATACATACATATACTGCCGATAAAATGATATTATTATATCGAACAATCCCCCACCAGACCTCCCTCTGTCACCGAACATCTGAAAAGAGAGATAGCTCTCTATCTATTCCCAACCTTGCCCCATTGTGCTTCAAAACAACGCCCCGTCCTTCATCTGTAATTATGTAATTATTTGCATATAACTAAACTAAACTAAGTTATACACACATATATATACAAGGCAAAACAAACAAAGATCAAGATATGATATGGGGAAAAAAGGACCTTATGGACGGGCCGGCCGCATCTCGCCACCTCTTTCTTTGAAGTGGATAATAGTTCGATCATCGCTGAACATTTTTCCATCATCCATCTCAATCATGATAATAACTAAACTACTGTGTATATCTTCTATATATCTTCGCCCTCTGGAACATATGGTGGGAGGATGAAGTATAAACACCCCATCGCTATTTCTAATGTATATATATTCAAGAAGAACTAGACTAAAAAATATACATTTAAAACTAGGTGTAGAAGTAGTATATTGGTAGTAGTAAACCTCGCTCCCGCTTCTCCTGGTGGCGGTTGCACTTGGATCGAGAGGAACATTTGAATACTTTGTCTTAACTCCCTGGACCTTGGATGCAAAGAGTCGCCAGATGCAATAAAATAACATATCACGAACAAAATGTGTTACAAACAAATAAATATATCAACTGTTAACTGTTAAAACAAGGGAGAAACGCCATTCCTCATGCAACAATAATACATACATACCATCCGTAGACGGCGTTGATACCTATCTATTCGACAAATATATATATAAAAGGAACGAGAAAGATTAAAAAAAAAAAAAAAAAAAAAGAGCTCCAAGTAAGTTGTATTCCGCATTTCCATATTCTGCAAAAATTATAAAAACTTCCCGGCGCTTTCTTATATTTTGCCTAGATAAAAGACAACCCAGACACCAGGCAAAAAAGAAAAAAGAAAAAAAAGAGAGAAAGAGGGAGATAAACAGAACGAAGTGCAATCATTCGTCCTACTCCTCCTTCGCACCGCCCCTCCACGTCTTCTCCGCAGACTCCACGCTAGCGCGATCCTTCTTCACCTCGCCCTGGCCCATGCCGAACATGCCAGCCGCCGCCTTCCACGGCCGCTCCAGCTCGCCCTTGGCCGGCTTGCCGAACAGGTGGATCTTGACCAGGTTGCCCTCGAGCGCCGTCTTGAGCGGGATGATGGACTGGATGACGAGCGGGTTGGTGTACTTGAAGTACAGATGCATGACGCACATCATGCCGACGCCCATCAGCTGGCCCTTAAGGAGGGAGCGGAGCTGCTGCTTGTCGTAGTCCTGCACGGTCGTGATGACGGGCCGGGGTTCTTCCTGCGAGCCCATCGGGGCTGGCTCGACGTATTTGAGGGTTTTGAGGTCTGTATATATTATTTATATTCTATTGTTAGAAAATAGCGTGTCGGAGGAGAAGGGAATGAACAGGAAAAAAAGAAGGGGAAAAAAAATCCGGACGAACCTTTCTTCTTGTTTATTTGCGATCGCACATAGAGGTACAGTCCCAGGATCAGGATGTTGGAACAGATATACATAGCGCGCACGCCCAGGAGCACCGAAGGGTTATCGAAGGGTATTTTCTTCGAGACCTGCATCATCACGAGGATGATGGCCAGGTTTATTCTGTTTAAAAAAAAAAAAAAAAAAAGATGTTATTAGCCTCGACTATTTTTCTGCTTTCCTCTCAAGTAATAGGACATCATAAAACTAGTACTGGGCATCCTATGCCGCTACTACTTTTTTTCCCTTCTTTTTTCCCCTTCTTTTTTTTTTTTCAAGCTGGAGTCAAGCACCAGACGCGCACAGGGGTTTGAGGAGAATGGACTTAGCTTACATTTGCGGGCTCATAGACATGATGGCGGGTTACGGCACAAGGGGACTGGGGAGAGGAGAACAATATAGGTAGAGAGAACAGAGTAGAGAGGGGTGGATATGGATAGGATACCAAGAGGAAAGAGGACGATTGCAGGAGTAGAGTAGGGTTGGCGATTTTTTTCTTCCTCTTTGGGGAAGAAGAAGTCAAGCGCGGCGCAAAAACCCTGAAGCGACAGCTGGCCCCAAGCTGGAGGCGGCGGAGCGGTCACGTGCTGCTGCCGCCGTTTATTTTTATACAGAACAAGGTTTGATATCTTCAACTTCCCTACTAACAAATATCTAAATTCAAATTCCAACACAGCATGATTATCAAGAAGCCTGAATCATATCCCCATGTGGCAGGCCCTGAAATGCTAGGTGAGTCAAGAAGACCAAATCTGCTTTATCCTCGTTGCCATCATAATTCTCCTCTCCAAGACCTTCATCATCGGGTCCCGGACAAACCAACTATCCAATTTTGCGGATGAGCCATGATATCTGCCGGCAACCGACGGGAGGAGGACCTTTTAATTGAACAAACGAGCCCAAAGTCCAGTAATATCTCTGAGACCCTGGATGTTGCCCACTCTAATATTGATGACACTTTCTTCCTGGCCGCAGCTTCCGGCCGTAGGAAACATGTTCAAATTTCCTTTGAAATGCCAAGATGTCACAGAAAAGTGCCCATACTGGCGTTGCATCATTAAGGAATAATGTCTCAAGTCCGATACCATAACAATAACATGGAGAGCTGTCGCTTGATTGGTGGGTTCCTTTTGAGATCTCAGCTCACCCACTGAGCAGAATGATTGCTATTGGTACTGTATTGAAGGACGGGGGAGAGGAAGTGTCAATTCAGTTGGAGACTGGAAGGTAGGGATGTCATTAGACTGTGTTAGCAACCCTGGCGGTTGCAGTATTGCTGTTGCTGTTGCTGTTGCAGTTGCTTATCTCCGTCTTAACAAGACCTTGGAGGTGTCATTAAGATTATTATTAATATGGGATCTATCAAAATCAAAACTTGCATTGAGTATCGTATCTAGGGAAGTACATACATAAATATATATAAATGAACTCCTTCCCTAATCAGAATGCAGTTAACCTCATTATCGCCCGTCCATAGATTAGGTGTTTATACCCCAACCTCCCCCCTTCGTAGAGGAGTCGATAAAAAATACCAGGTTCGGCGGAAGACTGCGGAATAGTTATATTTCGATCTATCTCTAGTAAATCCCCCAATTATGGAACCCTACTCTATCAATCCAGAATGCCAGTCGGAGAACTCCCAGAAACTTCATCCACCAGTTCGACGTCTACAGCACGGCAGGCATACAAACACATTGCCTCCCAACCCATCCATGGCGTTTTCATCATCCCCAAGCAACTCCCATCCCATCCCGCGGTCACTGCTAATGAGGTTTCATGGCGGCGGCTTCTGCGAAGGCGAGGCTGAGGCTTCGATGAGACCATTGTCTGCAGTTCGTGCCCTGTTGCCGTTCCCGGCAACTAAATAACGGCTAACACAGCTCCAATGCCAGCTTTCTGGAACTGGCACTCAAGCACGGCGCTGCAATTCTCGCGCCTGACTATCGGCTGCGTCCTGAGCACGAGATCGTAGGTGGCCTTGAGGACACGCGCTCTTTCTGGAAATGGGTTGAGCTCCAAATGCCCACAGTTCGTCTCCAAATCTCTCCCGGGCCTCGAACCGTATCTGAACAGTCTACTCGTGTGTAGAGAGAGTGCTTGAGGATACCACGCCGCACAGACCGTACTTCTCGACATGACCAGCCAGCTTGCCCATCAAAGCTCTTTTTCTACAGTACCCGGCACTCGATCTGGGTGCTCTTTGTCTTATGCCTGAGACGCGGGTCGAGGAGGCTGCCAAGGCACGTGAGATGTTTCCATATTCCTTGGTTAAACCGGGGAATATCTGCACGCGAGCCAAGTTCGGTAGCAGGCAGGGGGAGCATTATTTGGCACATTGCTGATGACTAATCAGCTTTGCGGATCTGATGGTCAGTTTGGAAGTTGGTTGGAAAATTACCCCTGATTCTGCTATATCATTTGAAGGAGGATGAGCTGGTATGTACTTGATTATATTCCCCCCACCTCCCCTCCCCGCGAGAATATGTGGTGGAAACGGCCTAAAATATGATTAATCGCTGACCCAAAAATGTGTAGATTCCTTGGCAATAGATAGAAGCATGGACAGAGGAAGCTGAAGCCAGAAGTGCCTCTGCATTTGACATACCAGACTGGCGAGCATTCCTTCGACCATAACGACACCATGGCCACGCCATGGCTGTAAGAGCTGTTGGAATTTGTCCAAAAATTCTGGCCTGCTCGATACAATTAGTTTTTACATCCTTTAGAATATAGATGCGCACCCCTATATCCCCAAATACAATATACCTTGTGCCACCTTATGTTCCAAATGAGATTAGAGGCGACTCTTCTGCTGGACATTTTAACACACATCTGTCAGAGCCATATCCAAATGAAACCTGTTGTCAACGCAGAACTAACTGATGTTTCGGGCTGAGCAACTCACTCCCCGCCAAAATGCCTCTCACTGATTGTTACATCACGAGCTTCAAATCAGCCTGCCGCTCTCTCCACTACCGCATAAGGTTCATGTCTTAAATGGTCTGCCTCGCGATAGACGTCGTTGCCAACGTCGATGCAGGCACCACATCAAACCCCACCCTTGACCCCAACAGATTTCCATCTCCATTACCGCCCGTCTTGCACATATCACCCGCATTCAGCCCCATCTGGAAACAACCTGGACAAAATGACATGATGACTAGGTCGACCGAGACGAGCTCGTCGCACTCTGGACCGTTTAAACAAGGACAGACATAGGATCTGCCATGATGCCGACAGAATTCGTAGACTTCTGTTACTTCTTCGCACATTTTTTTGCTCCTTCTTCGCTTTCAATTTTAACGGGAGGATATGTGGTATGTAGTGTTTTAACAAGTGATTTGCGAGTAGCTGATGAAATCTGATGAAGTAGTTTTGTTGAAAAGGGGGGAGAAGGGGGGGGGAATAGGGTGCAAGTGTCCGCGGGTTATGTTTGGATGGATGGAGGCGTTCACCTGGTGATATAATATTTCTGACTGGATGTTGCGAAGTTATATAAATATAACTATTTAGTTACATGTAACTTAAAAGAATGTTCGATGTTTGAGTGAAAAGAAAGACAAAACATCTTTTCATTCAAGTTGATATTGCTGCTTTGTCGCCCCCTTCTTCATGGGAGCCAGAGTGTTGTTGTTACCTTAAGAGGGTATCCTTTGGTGGACATATGGAAGATACAGAAAGGAAAATACTACCTTCTTCTTCATTCTTCTGAGAGTATCCAAACAATGGATGAAGATCTGAAAATCTCAGTCATTATTTCAGGCCCTGAGAGTCTGCGGAGGAACAATCCGTCCACTTATTTACAACGATGAATATCGAATATCACGTGAAGCTACAATAACATAATCGAAGGACTGTGCGCTTTCCAGCCCATCTCCAAAAAGCTCGACTTGCTTCCTCACTGTCAGTTCTGGACGGCGATAGGATATTTAGCCAGGATCTGCCAATAAACTATGATTTATGTTGACTGCAGATACTATCCGGCTATAGCTTAAAGGCTGCATCTACTTGGCCGCTCTGTTTTGCCTTTTTACTAACTGGCAATTTAGGCCTTTCAAAGGCACAAACTGGCTGACTTGCAAACAGCGAATCCTCCCGGGTAATATGGCCGTACTACCCTACCAAAGGGAATGTCTGGAAACTTACCAACCGTGAAGATAAAGCTCTTCCTGTCATTTCTGCTGTCTCAGCTGTATTGACAACCCCCATTGCGCGAGCGTTGCTGCCATCTCAACATGGGCATCTTCTTCACTAATAACTTCGTGTGATATGTTGTTTTGGGGCAGCTCCCGGCAACTGCCGGATTAGGACTAGCGCGCCTTTTGTCCCTCAGCGCTATTTCTGCCTTTTTCTTAAGCGATCACAAAAGTTCGCTGCTGGGCTCTTGTGGTCTCCATCATCCATCAACAACCAACGCGAATTTTGCCACGCCGTTTCTCCATCCCTTGGTCCACACTCACCCGCAACGGATTCTGCACATCGCCCGACGCGACATACCTGTTCTTGCGACTCGATACCTGTTTATTGTTCGATATGCCTGGTGGTAAAGGAAAGTCTATTGGAGGCAAGGGCGCTCCAAAGGATGCTGCGGGGAAAACCCAGAAATCTCACAGCGCAAAGGCTGGATTACATGTTCGTCTTCCCTATCAGAAGCAGTTTGTATCTTTCTGCCCTTCCCGCTCTTTGCCGGTCCCCCGCTCGACCCTGTGCGCCTATCCCGCTGCTTAACAGGCGACTCCATCCATCAACGCGTCTGCAACGGCAAACTGTGATGGAACTCCTGATTTTCACCACATATGACACCCGGGCGTTTCGGCGATGACGGAGCCTTGACTTTTTGTCGCCATGTGTCTGCGGGATGGCCACGTTTCATCAACTTCGCTTCTGAGTTACACACTACATATAGTTACAAATTTGGGCTGACACAATATCTGTACTATAGTTCCCTTGCGGTCGTGTCAAGCGTTTTCTAAAGAATACCACGCAAAATAAGATGCGCGTTGGTGCTAAAGGTATGATGAGACTCGTTAATAGTCAAACCATTGTCTCCTATTTGCCTTTTATTTGCCTTTTGAAACTCCCTGCTCCTCCTCAACTAAACGCGCGCTGCTGAATCATTGTCCTTGATTTGATTAATTTACCTGACTCTGAATACCACAGCCGCCGTTTACGTCACCGCTGTTCTCGAATATCTTATTGCTGAAGTTCTCGAACTTGCGGGTAACGCCGCCAAAGATCTAAAAGTCAAGCGTATCACACCCCGCCATCTTCAACTTGCGATCCGTGGCGATGAAGAGTTAGACACCCTTATCCGCGCGACAATCGCGTTCGGCGGCGTTTTGCCTCGTATCAACCGAGCGCTGCTCCTCAAGGTGGAACAGAAGAAGAAGAGCAAGGGTGGCGATTAAAAAAAGCCTAAAAAATTTTCAAAAAAATTGAAGCGAAATCGAACAAGTTCTCACCACTCTTTCTTTATATGGACATGTTTTGAACCGACAAATAAGGCGTGCCATTCGAAATTGATCGCGTTTCTCCCCCCCATTATCCTTTGCTGCGACTTGTCTTCTATGATCTATCCGGTTTTCCTTTTTTTTCCCCCAGGACCTTAGCTCGCGGATTGCATCGTGTGCGCGCCGGGTTTGAGTGGAGTGGTTGGTATTCGGAAAGGACGGCGCATACACCACCTTAGCTTCGCCTTACGGACATATGCTTAGGTGTTCACGATACGATTGGAAATCTATTTGTTCTTCCCTTCCTCTCCGCTCTAATCCGGCAATGTGACGAGGATGTAGCTCCAGTGCCTTCGCGTGTTGGGTAACCGGGTCCAGATTTCCTCTTTCTCCTTTTTCTTTTCCAATCCTATTGATTATTTCCCCTGGATGTCCTTTTTCTCTTTTTCTTCTTTTTTTTTTTTTTTCTAGGGCGCTATAATGGGAAAGGTGGCTGGGTCGGCCGGATGAAAAATCGTGCAGGGTATGGTATGGGACTAAAGGAAAACAAAAACATCCCGCCTCGCCCTCGATTTGCTTGTCTTTTTCTTATATTATCTGCTTAATCCCCCTTCATTATCTCCTTTATGCTGAACTGGTCCATGTTTTCTATTCTGTGGCTTTCGCGTTTCTACTTCCTGTTTTGTTTCCAAGGTTTTCTGTTACATTGCCGCCGCCACTTGCTGTATAACTATAGGTAGCTCTTAGGTGCAATCTTTTTCCTCAACGAGTCAGGGAAACTGTGCTTTTATTCCAAGTGACCTTGGTGTATTCAATGGGTTGGATTTCTCCATGTAATGTACAGAGTAGATGCAACTCCACGTTCGCTCTTTCGTGCACATATTGTGGGATGAGACATGTCCCGTAGAATATCTTTCCTTCCAAACCCTTCTTCCAAGTTTCCTTTTCTTATCTGCGCATCACTCATCAACTATTACTATGAGACCATCTCTTAGTTTTTAGTTGATCAGTGTGTCATGTCATTCTCGTCGCTTTTCCCTAGTAGATATCTCGAGTGGTGTGAGAGATCCTTTCCCTCAGTATCTCTAGTCAAGCTTACGCTGTAGCGCATCTTGGAATGCTAACAAGTTCACAAGAACAGTTCTTCGTACCATCGACACCAACCATGTTTTCTCAGAAAGGCCTTGGGTTCCAAATCACCGCAGCTTGAACAGATGCTTCATTCAAGCCATGCATGATTAGATATGGTTTCGCCATAGAAACAGTCACACCCGGGGCGAGTGAACGAGGTGTTTGACGGGGAAAATGGAAAAATATCAAACCCTTCCTTCATCCACGAGAAGAAGAATCAATGGGCATTAATTATATTTTACAACCAGCTGCAACATCTCCAAAACCTGGAACAACTAATAGACCCTTCTTGATGAGACATGCATTGTAAATTCTAACGAAAAGGAACAGCAGAGAGGTAAGAGAAAAATGAAAAAAAATGAAAAATGAAAGAGACTAAGAAAATGGGCAAGCAACACATATTTAGTGACACGCTTTCTGGCTCACACCAACCCCCCTGATCAGTAACTACGCAGTAGGCATTGACCAGCCACGTTTACCACTTGGGAATGCGACTAGACAAAAAGAGGTTAAGCTACCGCTGCAGGCTGGGCTATTTATAGTATTGGTGTCTACGCAGCCTACTCTGTAGAAATTTGACAATCTCTAAATAGCATACGGAGTAGTTAGGTGCGACAATCTCGCGATCGCCTGGTTTAATTTTCTATATTACCTCGCAAAGCTGGCCCCTGGACCGCTGCACCAGCTCCCAGCTGACGAGATATCCGGCGCCCTGTATATGAGCCTCACCCAGATCCAAAGCACTACCAGGACAGCACAGCAAGTGATCGGAGCCACCACCCCCGGCCTATGGTACACGAGCTGCCGTGAAGATTTGGAAGCAGAACCGCGCCGGGACCTCACGTCTGACTTAGATATGATTCTTGCAACCTTTTTTAAGTGTTCTTAACAGTTCATAGGGGAATTTCATTGCATTGGGGGTATGATAGTGTGTACTTCCAAGGGGAGCGAAAACGTCTCCACGTGTATATACATGCATATAATATATCACCCACCTTACTCGTTCGTTTAGAAGCAGGTGTGTCCAATCCCCATGTCAGAACCTGACCTCGTTGGCTTACCAACGAATTATGGAGATGTGGGCAATATGTATAGACGCACTCAGTCGCAAAACATAGGAAGGAATCTTCGCAGGGGGGGAGGGGGGATGGTGTTTAAAAACGAACAAACTTCCAGAAGAATGCGGGAAAATAACGAATAAAACGGGTATAGGGGAAACGCAGTGGCTTATGTAGCTATAAGTATAGGTGTTCCGTTCACTTTCTTGTGTCTTTAATTTAAACGTTCTCCTTATCGGCGGTGACCTGAACTGCTTCCAAGGCAGCGTTCTTTTCCGTTAGGCCCATCTCGGCCGCGAAGGTAGTGCTCGGTTTCCATTTGGCAGAGGTACGTGGGTTAGTCTCTTCCATCATACGGTCGACTTGTTCGAGAGTAAGCCCCTTGCTTTCCGGCACGAGGAAGTAGGCGTAGACGAAGCAGCAGACGCAGAGGGAGCCCCATAGCCAGAAGACATTGGTGCCGAGGTTGCCCTTGTCGGTTCCGACCAGGTACGGAGTGATAACAGCGATGATCTATTTAGATTATTTCAACTCAAGTCAGTAAGGGGGTGCTACGGGGTTATATAACTCTTTAGAATGTATGGGGATATTAAAGGACTCACGCAGTTCCACAGCCAGTTGGAGGCCGTCGAAAGACCAACACCGCGGGAACGCATTGGCAGAGGGAAGATTTCGCCAATGACGACCCATGCGCCGGGGCCCCACGTGCTGGCGAAGAAGAAAATATAGATGCAGATAAACGCAATCATAGCTTTGACCACCCGGGGGTCGTCTCCATTCGACACTCCCATGATCGCAACGATGAACTCGCAAGTAAACATGCCAACTGCACCCCAAATTAGCAAAGGGCGGCGACCGAATCTCTCAATAGTCCAGAAAGAGATTGGAGTCGAGAGCACATTAACAAGAGTAGTAACGAGACCGATGAAGAATGGGTCGTCGATGGTGCCGAGATCCTGGAAGAATGTTGTTCCAAAGTAGAAGATAAAGTTGATACCAGTCCACTGTTGCATCATCTGCAAGGAGGTTCCCAGGATGGTTCGGCGCAGGTTACTAGAAGGTTTAGATAGACCGCCACGGAAGCAATTAAGCCAAGAATGGAAGTAGCTGCCTTGTGGAACTACCTGGAGTTCGTATTCGTGGTTCGCAATGATTTCAGCCAGCTCCTCTTGAATGTAATCTGAGTCAGCGGGATAACCTCGTAGCCGGGCAAGGACTTCGCTCGCTCTTTTGTTGTTCCCTTTCTTCACAAAGTAACGTGGCGACTCCGGTAACAACATGAGACCGATCCCTAGAATGAGGGCCCAGAGCATTTGGAGAGCAATCGGGATACGATATGAACCAGTATCTTGCCGATTCTGAGTCCCATAATTGACACAGGAAGCAAGCAGCAGGCCGACGGTGATACAGAACTGGTAGCCGGATACAATAGCACCTCGAACCTTCTTGGGCGCGATTTCTGACATGTAAAGAATAATAATAGCTGAGACGAAGCCGACACCGAATCCGGCGATCAAACGCCCAGCCACAAGCAACCCCAACGCAGTAGATGCTGTTTGAAGTATTACTCCGACAATGAACACACCGCAGCCCGCAACAACAGTGGTGCGGCGACCAATGAAATCCGCGAGGTCTCCAGCGATGATTGCACCAAAAAAGGTTCCGGCAGACAGAATGGAGGTGATGAGCGATTTCTGCCACGAAGGGAGGGTGAATTCAGAAGAGCCGTCAGGGAAGTCTGATTGTTTCAGCCCAGTGAACAGTTCGATAAAGTACGGCATGCCCATCACTCCGTTGATGTACCCGGAATCAAACCCGAAGAAGATGCCGCCAAAGGCAGCGAAAGCGCACATAAGATACGCCTTCATCGTAACAGGTGCCTCCACACGGGAGACATCGGTGGTGCCCACCATTGTTGGAGACGTTTACGCTGCTTCCGACCCTTAAGACCCTTGAAGGCTGTGGGGTGGGAATAGATCGGAAGATAAGGGGAATACGAAAACGAAAATACGGCCAAAGAGGATCAACACGATGTTTGAAGGCTAAATGCTTCTTCATTTAGGAAACGGACCAGACACGGGGGCCATAAGATCTTTCTTATATCTTCTGTAGAGGAGTAAAAACCCGGACAAGGCCTCAGGCCAAGGGGTGTTGTATGAGACGGGGTAACACAGGCTGAAGACTCAAGGGTCAGTGCCACTTCATTAGGGTGCTTTAGCGCCATGCGCATAAGAACCGTTGGATGGGTCAAGTTTGATCCATCTCGCCGAAAGAAAAGTGGTTGCTGTTTCTGTAAATTCTCTCATCTAGGTGAACTAAAACGGGACGGTAATGTTGACACCCATTAACACTTGACATTCTCCATCACGATGTATTTGCGATGGAAGAAAGAAAAATTGAACACGGAGTAGTAATAACGGGTTTCAGAGCGCATTCCTATGAGAGCGGGATGAGGTCCAGGGGACAGGCGGGGAAATGCCCTTGTCGAGAATTGCTGCTCGTAGGAGGCGGGGGAGGTCAGCACATTGCCCATGACAGAACGCACAGGGGTGTCAGCGCGAGCAGCACCCAAAAAAACAGCACAAGCAGCCTCGCTCATTTGACTTATTTTTGCCCGAGTCTTCTGTTCTTCCGATCCTGACTTTTGAGTGGGTGAACATGATGCAACCTTGACGTGCGACAATGGTCACGAATCGTGAAAAATCCAATGCCAGTGTCAAATTTTCATCGGGGTCTTGCCCGTCAAAATTCCAGTTAGTGGCAACTGAGCTCTCTGCGGCAAGCAGATCTAGAATCCTTCTCAAAGCGTCCCATTAAAGCAACCAAGAGAAGGTCAGCCGACAAACTGCAATTTGATTACAGATATGTGGGATATATGGACCTTGAACATAGCATTAGAGAAAAGAGGTCGGGTTCGATGAAAATTACCATTGGGGATGGCTCCACCGATGCCGTCTACAGGACAGCTTTGATCGAAGTCGGCATGAAAAATTGTCATCCCCAGATAAATTTGCTCCCCCGGTCTGGGTAGATAGCCTATTTACAGTTGAGTTGGCTACGATTCCAAGTAGCTCGATATTACCCCAATTCTGTGAGCTCGGGCCGAACAGACCGGGGAATGACCAACCATACATAGTTTTAAGTGACCAGCGCGCAGGGATCAAAGGGCACAACCACTGCGCAACGTAGATATTGGTGCTCCTCTTCTTGTAGAGCGAGGAAGGTATTGGAATTCTATTGTCACATGCCAAAGTTCTTTATTCCCTCGAAATGATAGGGCAGGGCTAAAAGCAGAGTGATTGTTGTATATGCTCAGAGGCGATGGATTGATGTTGACTCAGCCCTAAGCCGGCAATCATCTGGGTGCTTACTGCTTAGCGGGAGTGGGGGTTGCTCAAGAGCGCCACCAGCGGCCGAACGTACTGCGTATGTTCTGGTAAAACTGAACTTGGCGCATGCCTAGCCTGAATCATCGAACTAGACGGGCATAAAGATGGCAATTTCAGACGATCAATCGCGCTGTAACATCCTGACCATTTGTGAGCAGAGCATGTTGGCCGACGCTAAATTAAGAGGTGTCGGAGACAATACCGGGGTGCCCGAGTGAAACAGGACTGCTAACTGGCGGAATTAGCTTGGGGGGGTAAAATGGTCGCGGTTCTTGAGGTTGAGAAACTACACATGTCACTGCGGAGTAACGCCACCTGAGGATCCTTCATGTCGACGAGGTTGGCATGTGAGCGGACAGGGTTCGGCGGTGAGAGATGAGAGATGAGAGATGAGAGATTGAGAGGTGAGAGGTGAGAGGTGGAAGAAATTCGAGAGGTGATTCTTGTTGGAAATGGCTGAAAACGGAAAAAGTGAGGCTGAAGCTGCTGACTCGCTCACTCACGTCAACACTTAAACAACTCGACACAGACAGACAGACACAAGACAGACACAGACAAGACAGCTCGACATTTCCAACTCTCTGCTGGGATTCATATTGCAGGAGCTGGCCATTTTCCAGATTAAGACTTTCGAATGGGAACTACTAATCCATTGTCATCGCACTCTTGGAGCTTGAGAAGTGTTTCTACTAGGAATATCGCCCCTGTGAGCTCCTTGAATTCACTCATCCAGTTTTCCACTAACTAACTGCCTCTGTGTGCGCCTTCGCTGCCAGCTTAGTTCCCTTCATTTCCAACAAAATTGAAAGATTCCTCGGAAGTTGGCAACTCTCATTACATGTAATCTGTGCGGGCTAGCCATATTTTTGTGCAAACAGCGCACCTGTTCAGGGCCCATGCCTCGGATGCAACATACCAATTCTAGTGCTACGCTGCCGGTATGAGCTGGCTTTGTTCTGTCTGCAATTCTTTTCGCCGTATCGAGACCATGGAGCAAAGGGTCTCAGAAATTCCGAATCTCAGGGTCACTGTCCGGCCTTGAGCTAGCCGTGAATGATCAGCGTATAAACCCTGAAACCAAGGAGTTGTGCACAAACAAATCTCCTTTCCCTGCTCCTCATTCAGTATGGAAAGTTTGAGAAGTCCTTCAGGATGGTGGTGAGGAAGCAAATGCATCATAAACCGAGACACTCGGCCTGCATTCTGAAAGGCAAATGTAATTTGCATGGAGCTGCTTCCACTCGCGACTACAGCAAAACCCGATACATGCCAATTATACCGCTTCGGCGACCGAACATCCATTCACGCATATGTCGTTATTCAGACATATATCCCGGAAAAAATTTCTGGAGGTTGATCATACCCCCTCTTCTCTCTGCCAGCAACGGAGGTTATCACTCCTGAAGGGTCCCAGTTTCAATTTGCGCAATAAGTGTGTGCCTAGACAGCCAATAAATCGACCCAACAAGCCGGGGTCGAAAGCGCCCCATACGATGGTTAGTATTTAAGTTGATTGTTCGTCCGCTGGGTACCTGCATGGAGACCGTGCCGATCCGGGCCATTTGTAGAACCAGTTTCATATTTTACTGTCAACTCGGAGGTACCTTTATTTTGTTTATTTTATTTTTTTGGTCCTCATCGCTCTCTTTCGCAATCTCGCTGTTACATAAGACAGTAATATTTATAACGTTAATCCAACTCCGCTCAGCTTTTGTGAAACCCGTAATCCTGTGGCATGCGACACTTTCGTCAGCGCACGATACCTACACGACACCTACACGACAGTAAGGGAAACATTACTACTCAAAGCCGGAGCAAAGAGAATGATACTATGTCTATGTTCGATATCACCTCTAATTTCCTCACGGCGTATTAAGCGGATAGTTGGTCAGGGACCAGTTTCCACCTCCACTTGCCAACCGTCAATTGCAGTGCAGGGCTGTTGCAAGGGTCAGGGATTCGGAAATACTTTTCTTGTGAGCCAAGATCTACTACTGGAAAAGGGGCATCGCGATATTGGCCTGACCTAACTTAACTTAATATCTGCCGGATTTACATAGGCGCGGATCTGGGATCTACCTTCTGGCATTTCTGTTCCTGAACTTCTATCCTGCTTTACGCGTGATTGATTGTCGTCCGGATTTGCGGACCCTACCTACCCCAACAGCCAATCGTGCTGATTCCGATTCGCATCGCTGCTGTCGTTCCTCTGGCGCTGCTACCCCCCACCAAGATTTTTCATACGAGAAAAATATAATCAATCCAAAGGGTATTACGCTGGAGTAACAACATACTACTATGCCCCGGAACGTTAACGGAACCCCGACCTTCGGTTAAAGATGCGCCAAGGGAAGCCAAGGATACTCTAAGTTCCCATGTCTTGAAAAGATAAACATCGATTGAACACTGGGATATATGAAAACAATGCGACGACAGCCTTCCGCAATGTGGCTGTAATTCCACAAGAAGCCTAACATAACCGCGTTCTCGCACTTGTGTGTACAATAACCTGATGTGGAATAAAAGCGCATAGGAGATGCCTCCTCTACAGTTATTTGGCCCCAAAATTCAGAGGTCGCCGCTCAGGAAAATTCTCAATTTCCAAAACATGAAAAGAAGAATTATGTGGAAACAATTTCGCCAACCAGGCGCCAGTACTGGCTGACTATCATTGCCATGGCCTGCCATCTGAAGCTATCTATAGAGTATATCGGAAAGTAGGTGATCCCTCGATGACCAATTCTCCGCGGTCTGCTTTCTTGTTGCATCGCCAGAAGTAAAGGCTCAATGAGCCAACAATGAGAAGGAGCAGAAATTGACAACTACAGTTGCGGAAAGCAGTTCAAGTTAGCCGAATAATGTCCCCTGTTGAGAATCCATCTCTCCACCAATCACGGTTTCTACAGGACGATGAAAAACTTACGCAATAGCAGCATAAATGCCCGGGATATATTCGGGCGCATCCTGCGACCTGAAAACCAGACTACCGGCAACTCCTCCAACCCCACCCATCGCAACCAGCGTGGTACTGGCTAGCGCTCTCGTCCACTGACCACGGATGTTATTGGCCTGGTACGCGAGCGAGCACGGAATGTTTGCGTTGGCACCTGCGGTGGTCAGGAAAACTCCAAAGTAACGCACTGCATTGTTTTCTGCGAATCCCATGATTGGTAACCCAACGATGGTAACGAGACTGTTGAATACGAGGATAGGCGCCCGCATTTTATATTTGTCCGCCACCCAGGAGGAGGAGAACATGAGAATTCCCGCCACGACGTACGGGGGTGCGACGAGGCATTGGGATTCGCTAACGCTAAAGCCCATGTTGTCGTGGAGGATGATGGGGAGGAAATACGCGATGGCGTAGGTGACCGTGGTCAAGCAGCTGGAGTGAGATTTCAGTTAGCAACAAAGAGATCAAGCTGGAAAGAAAATATTATTCGTAGGTTGCATACAAAAATACCATGCCGAAGCCCCAGATCTTCAAGTCTAGCGCCGGACGGAGGAATCTTTTAATGGTGAATGGTTCAGCATCCGCGTCACCTCTGTCCTTGTTCAATCGTCGAATAATGAAGGCGCATTCATCCTGGTTTAGGAATGCCCAAGCTTTATAAGCTTTGTCGGGAAAGTCCACAAGGAAAATATAAGTGACTATTGCAACGACAATGGTTAACTATTGGAGGTTAGCTTTTCAGCGTTACAAGACAAAGAACCAGGGGAATTCAAAAAACAAAAAGAAAGAAAATAAGAAATGATAAGGAGAAGAGCGCCCAGTTACTTACGAGACCTTGCATAATAAAAATCCACCTCCAACCAAGCATTCCTTGAATGCCGGACATCTGGCTAAAGCCAAAGGCGAGGATACCCGAAAGTGCGGCCGCCACGCATCCTATCAGGTAAAAGATCGAATAACGCTTCTGAACCTCGTATCTTGAGTACCAGGTCGACAGGAGGTACACTGTCCCTGGGAAAAAGCCCGCCTCCAAGACTCCCAGAAGCGCTCTGAGGGCTGTAAGTTGTTCCCAGTTCTTACACAGACCAAAACCCTAGTGCAGACAGTTGTGTTAATATAACCAGGCTACAAGGGACAAACCGCTTCAGGATATTCCATTACATGGCGATGTGTTATTGATACTTACAATCAAACAGACTCCCCAAGTAAAAATAATAAAACTGATGAAGTTCTTTGGTCCGAGTTTGCGAATAGCCGCTGTCATTGGCGGTTGGCAGAGAATATATGTGATGAAGAAGACAAGGGCGACAATAGACTAGGTGGAGCAGAACGCATGGTTAGCTAAGGGAGGGACAATAATAATGAAGCTCGTTCAATAAACCCAGGGGCACGAACATATCGAAAGCCAATGTGCAGTTCGAGCTCCTTTGTCATGCCGGCGATGGCAGCAACTGACAAGTTCGTCCGGTCCATCAAGCTGATGCAGTATCCCAAGCCGCAAATGGACACGAGTCGGCGGTCGACGCGGTGGATGATTTTCCTCTGTTCTGCGTATGAATATACATCGTCCACGTCGATGTCCGAAGCCTCCTGAGTCGTCGTCTTGTTGACATGGTCAACGGAGACCCCGTCGGGGGCTTTCTCTAGGTCACCGGACATTGTATGATAGCCGAGTTGATGGGGAGAAGATGTGAGGATATTATGGCTGCTCAGCGAGAAAAGACAGCTTGTTGGGCGAAGATGAAGCCCTTTACTTGACGTGCCTTCTTTTGCATCTTGTCTGGGGTTCACATTGAATTATATAGTAGCAACAATATCCCCCGCATCGAATGGTTCTCCCAACTGGGGAGACCCACCGACGAAAGGTGCTTTCCTGGGGGAAATGACTCGGAGCCGCGGGTAAAGCAATGTTATCTTGACGAATAGCCAGATCCCGGCCGAGTCCTGGTGAGTCTGAGTAGGGAAAATATGGTATATTAATGTGGATACAAAGGTTAACATCCATTGGCATCCAGACAGGGAATGAGTATATGGGTTCGCCCCTTCGCCCCTTTCGCCCCTCCCGACGTCTAGCGGAATTGGGTTGGTACACAGCCGGTCTTAGCTGTTGATTCGTCCAAAGGAATGGTCAAGAGGCGTCCAGCGCTCGTCTCTCCAACTATGCCTGCCATGGGCCATGGTCCATGGGCGGCTCCTCGTTAGCTTGGCCACATGGCAGAGAAGTTCGGCAAGCTGCAAGGTAGTGGCCTCCTCCTGTCATTATTTGCTCTTCAATGTTTCTCAGCGAGAACAGAATTGTATCTAAGAATAATAGTTGGCCAAACGAAATACAATGCTCAGCTCAGAGCTATCCAATGGTGTGTGATTAATATTTTCCACTTGAAAGAGATAACTATTTGAGTATCTTCTGTCAAAAATATATCAATATTGAATAAATATTATATGTTTAGGTAGCTCTACAGCGTAGGTAGCTCTGAGCATCGTCATCTTGGCAGCTCGTGGGAAATTTTTGTTGAGGAAGAAAACTTCATATTTTGCTGAGAAGCACAAGTCCCCAATTCTGGGGTAGATGGTAGATACTATTGAGAATTGAGGGGTTTTGTGGGCAGTGGTACTCCGTAGACTGTAGACAAACATGTTTGGAGTAACTAGTGGAGAAGAGAGTTTATGGTTATTATTTCCCTATGGGCCATGGGCCATCATGGCCAATATGATGATGGATGATCACTGACAGCTGTTGGGTTCAAAAGAGAAGAAATAAAACCCACTACTATGTTTTGGGAAGTATGCTCCGAGAGACTTTGTGCTGTCCCTAATTCCAACCCCATATACAAGAATAGTGAGAGCTAGCCCGCCCGCATCAGAGCTATTTTATTATTGCATGCTGCGAAACATGATAGATAAAATAGCTTAGGTTGAGTAGACGCCTGGAGGTTGTTGACATTGCCCAGGGCCCCGGCTCTGCAGACGCACCGAGGATGAAATGCTGCACTAACACCCCGCAAAGCGCTTTTCGGATCGGAACCGGCTAAGTCCAAGATGCGGAGGCGTATTGTCGCCTCCTTGCCGCCTCCTTGCCGCCCTATGTCTTTTTTTTTTTTTTTTTTTCTATTCTTGCAACAAAGCCAAATTGTTCGGGGACCTGGATTATTATTAGCCAAAGCTACGGAGCCACGCTCGAATCGACGACGATAAGGCCAGTCACCAAGCCCGAAGTTAGGAAAAGCAATAGGAATGACATCCCCTTTCTTTCTCTGTCCCTCTTCCAAGTTCCAACTTCCAAGCTCACGAAAGGTATCCAGGCGACCCAGTAGACCCGCTTTGGATTCAGGATTCAGGCAAGACACTGTCTCAAGTCTCTTGCTGTCTAGTCTGCCTGCCCTGCTGCCCGGGCTTCATTCAACGTTTGGTCTCGTTCCTTGTGCCTGAGGAGGGGAGACCCTTCGAATTAACTTTCCATTCTCCAAGCTGCTTTGTTTTTCATCAGTTTGGCTTGCTCCTCGTCGGTAGCTAAACCTATTCCTCATAAGTTAAAAAAATAATAAAGCCCAAGAGGGAACGCAAGAAACGAGGCGATTAAGTTAGTAATCTGCCCTAGCCTTAAATGGGTTTGGTCACTTTTGTTGGTGAGCCTCACTCAGAACTCTTCAACAATAATGATTGTTGATGAACCCTGCCCGATATATTTTCCATATCATACTACAAACTACTTGAGATATTTGGTTTTAATATGTCTTCATTGGTACCTACTGCCCAACTAAAATATTTGAAATATTCAGCACATTACCTTGCTGCTCAAAGCCCATCCACCTCCTCTCACCTCTTGTCAGTTCACAACCAGCTCCTTCGCGATGAATCGAAGCGGTTGTCCGCTGCTCAACACCGTGAATTATGTGGTGCCTGTGGGAGCATCAGAAGTTCTGACTCCTCAAAGGCCATAGTTGTCAAACATAATGGTGTGCTGAAACGTCGCAAGAAGCGAGTCTCTCCGGCAGAGACCTCTCCACTCGTTCTATACAGATGTCTACGGTGCCAGCGCCAGAAATTCTTAACTTCACAGAGTAATACCAAACCTTCAACATCCAGGAAGCCTCATCTAACAGCCATTGCATCGACGACGCAAACATCCTCTCAAACAGCGAAAGTTGATCCCCAGACACGGGGGACTGAATCCACTGCCACTGCTACATTGCAGAAATCTACGGAGAATCTCAGCAGCAAGAAGAGAGCTAAAGCCCGCAAGCAGCAAGGGCTCATGGCTGCTCTAGCAGCAGGCAAGCAGCGCGCGCACTCTCAGACCTCGCCGTCAGGATCACTAGACCTATTGGACTTTTTGAAGCATTGATGCCCGGATTGCATGTTTATCCGACCCGAACCTTAAATAATTAGCGCGGGGTAATCGCTTTTCAAGTCTAGACCAAGCACGGACTAGTGTCATTACCGCCACTTTTTTAACAAGGGAATTTTATCTCAGCGTTCTGCGCCGGCCTGGCGGTCCAACTCAACGGAGAGAGATATCTTGATATTTACATATTCAGTCAGTGAACAACTGCCACAGCTAAGAGAGGTAGGCAGGGGAACACATAATTAGGCCCTCATCGACAGTCATTACATGAGTCAGAATTGAGCCACAGTGATACTCCATAGAAGTCTATCTCTTACTTACCCAAGTGCGAATTATTAAGTCCCCGCCAACCCTCTCACTCAACCTTTCTCCCTTTCGGTTTTACGAACATGGAAACAAATAGCGAGACCAAAGAAACCCAAACCACACAGTCCTCTTCTACGTCAAACGCACCAGATAAATCAACAGGACTAGGCAGCCAGTTGGAAACCATGGATCCCGAAACTGCGCAAAAGCAAGCCGATGAGAATGAGAACGATAGCCATAACAAAATTGAAAGGGATGATGATACTGGACTTATGCAACTGGAAAGCCTGTGTATGAACTGCGAGGAAAATGTATGTTTATCCGTTGCACTATCCGCCTGAAGCATGCCAGGCTAATGAACCTCGCAACCTAGGGAATGACGAGACTTCTTTTGATCAAAATTCCTTTTTTCCGGGACGTGCTTTTAGAGTCCTTCGAGTGCCCTCATTGTCATTTTAAGAATAACTCCGTTAAATCCGCCGGCGAGATCCAAGAGCAGGGCACAAAGTATACACTCGAGGTGACGACCCTAGAGGATTTCCAACGTCAGGTTGTCAAGGGCGATTCGGCAACATTTCGACTCGAAACCTTGGGGATTGAAATGCCAAAGGAATCAGGGCAGTTCACCAATATTGAAGGAATCTTGACCAAGATCCTCTCCCAGTTGGAAGCTGAGCAGCCTACTCGCAAAGAAGCTGACCCAGAATTATACAAAGCGCTTGATGGCATCATTCAGAAACTGAAGCTGATAATTGAAGGGTCTTCATTCCCGTTCACAATTTCTCTCGATGACCCGTCTGGAAATTCATGGATTGCACCGGCTCCGCACGACGAAGGAGGAAAATATACCCGCAAGGACTATCCGAGAACTCGGGCGCAAAACGAAGAGCTTGGCCTCTCTGTAGAAGGGGAAGGAAATGCCGACGCTGGTGCAAACATGGTCATGTCAGCAGGTGATCCCAGCGACCTCGATATCATCGATGGCCAAGTTTATACCCTACCATCGGAATGTCCCGGTTGCACTAAGGCCTGCGTCGTTAACATGCAGAAAGTTAACATTCCACACTTCAAGGAGGTATTCATCTGGAGCACTGTTTGCGATCACTGCGGATATCGCACCAACGAAGTGAAGACAGGCGGCGCTACTCCAGAGAAGGGGCGAAGAATCATTCTTGAAGTAGCGGAGCTTTCGGACCTCTCCCGCGACGTTTTGAAGTCAGACACATGTGCCATGACGAGCAGTGAGCTCGATCTCTCCGTGCAGCCAGGCACGCTTGGAGGGAGATTCACTACTGTAGAGGGTCTGCTCACTCAAGTCCGCGACCAGCTTCACGGGCAAATTTTCGAAACGGGGGACGAGGACCTTGCTCCTGGTGACTCCATGCAGACGGGAGACAAGGCGATCTGGGATCGGTTCTTTACACGCCTCAATTCCGCCATCAAGGGAGAACTGAAGTTTACTGTTACGCTAGAGGACCCGCTTGCCAACAGCTATGTGCAAGATCTGTATTCGCCGGAGCCCGATCCGCGGATTAAGATCGAGGACTACACACGTACGGATGAAGAGGAGGATGAGCTAGGCTTGAAGGATATGAGGACTGAGGGTTATGAAGAGGATAACACAACCGAAGCCGCTCCATCTGTTGAAGCGGAGCAAAAATCATAACGATTTTTGCATTCACGTTTGTGTGTTATTCTAGCATGGCTTTGGGAATCACTTTTACCCCTTCCTTAAACCAAGGCGGTGGGACATGAGAACAGCGAGAAATGTCATCGCTCTGTTTCTGTACAACCCTCACTATCTTCCTGACCCCAGCGAGAAATGCCATCGCTCTGTTTCTGTACAACCCTCACTATCTTCCTGACCCCTCACCTTTTTATTCCGCATGCAACCTTCTGTACCCACAGCAGACTTCCATTGTTACGAGACAGCCCGATGTCCTTTATACATACCACTAGCGCCTTGCTGTTGTGTCATAAATTCCTTCTAGATGTTAGACAGAAAAAAAATACATAGAATGATTCCCGCGATGCAATATTTCGCATCTCATCTAAGAGACCGTATTTTATTGTACATGTATTTCCCTTCCATGTAAACTGTTTCATCCATCATTTATCTCCCTTCGTCATCTAGGAAATCAGTTCATCGTAAATTTGGTTATATCTATGCAAATGATTTAACCAATTCCACCGGTTAAGCATTCCTCCCTCTTCGTCCTGTATTCTCCTCTCATACACCGGGACAATTAAGGTTGTCGACGGAAAATATTCCCGCGAACTGAGGGCAGCACCAGGTAGCCCTGATCGTGTGGGCTACATGTGAGCGTGTGAACACGACGACTGGGTAGTTTGGCAGGCTCCATCACAAAACATGGGAAGCCAGCACCTCGACAGCCAACCGCACACACACATCGAATCGTATCAAATCTGGCCCGAAAACCGGTATCATACCCACCTGCGCACCACCACCACCACCACCACCACCACCCTCCCCCCAGAGATGCCAGGAGACACATCATACCGCAAATGGATTCGCATGAATAGTCACCCTCTCGATCCCCACAGCCTCCCACCCATTCTCCTTCACCTCCGCCTCCCCCATCGACGACGGCTGTACAACCCTCCCCTTCTTGTCAATCTTCACCTTCGCCTTCTCCAGCCGCTCCAGCACGACCCCACCAGGCTCCCCCTCACCCGCCGCCAACACTTTACCAAAAACCGTACTCTTCCCATCCAAATGCGGCGCCGGCGCAAACGTGATGAAGAACTGACTCCCATTGACCTCCGTGGTCTCCATGACGCCAGAGGCAGATTGTGATTTTAACGATTTGCTCGCCATGCTGAGGATGCCACGGGCATTGTGGCGGATGGTGGGGAGGTGGATTTCGTGGGTTAGCGGGGTCGGGTGGTAGATGGATGTGCCGCCTTTGGGGATTTCGAAGGGGAGGGAGGCGGGGGTTTCGCTTTTAGAGAGGGAGATGTCGCCGCCTTGGATCATGAAGGAGGGGATGAGGCGGTGGAAGGGGGTGCTGTTGTACGCGCCCGAGGCGCAGAGGGCGAGGAAGTTCTACCGTGTGTAGCTGTTGGTCAGCCAAAAGTGAGGAAGGGGAAGGGGGGGGGGGGGGGGGGGGGCTAAGGATGCGCTTGATCTTTGTAGTGCTTACGTACCTCTGCAGTCTTTGGTGTTGCTTCATGGAACACTTCTACTTTAAGGTCGCCATGGGTGGTATGGAGCTGGTCCCGGCAGAATATACAGGTCAGCTCGGGCGAGAAACTAATTCGGGTTTTGGTAAGTTAGCTGATAGCTTACCGTTACGGACATCCTGGAAAACACCCCTATTCAGCCGAATCCCCCCTGTAAAAACAATAGATAACACTGAATCGAGCTGATAGGGTTTCAAGGATTGCCTGAGCATGATGGGATTGGATTGGGGTCTGGTTGTTTGCGCGGGTTTAATTCGATATCACATGATAAGTAAGTAAGATCTTATCTGATGGATAACTAGCGGGGTGTGGCGCAGTAACTCCGGAGTATAAAAAATGTTCATTGAAACAACCACCAAGCCTATAGCAGAGGAATGCAAGCGAAATGAAATGGAGACAAGCCATACTACGTAGATAGGAAGTCTCTTAAATACCGTGTATCTTACAGCTCACAAATGCCTTTATCGTAGCAGCTTCAAGGTCGGAAATATATCATATCATGTACGGAGTATTGTGCCCTCCAACAACGCTCTGGCTGCAGATAAGTTACATGGACATACGGGCATAAAAATACTTATGTCTTTCATTGGAAAGGACGGTATGGAGTACAGGTCAGAGTGTTTATCGGCGTCAGATTACATTGAACCTGGAAAATGTGTGCAGTAAAAATGTATATATATCGACTGACTTCTGGTACATTCCCTATGCCCAACTTATATCGTAGGGTTCATCAATGCATACTCTCTTTAGCATCTGAGCGGGCAAGTCAAATCGGTAAATCTCGTGCATCCACTTGTTCGCATCCTCATTCACCACCATTACGACCAAGAAGGGCGCCGGCTGTCTACCTAGACAGGGCCCCTCAGCCGCTAACTCGCTCGAGAAGGGCGTAGAGATGACTATTGGCCACTGAATAGTTGAGCCGCAACCTCGTGTTGACGCAAGGAGTCAGGAGAAAAACATCAGCAACGCTAATTCCTAGAATCGGAGAGATAAATGTGAAGTTTCGCGTCCGCGCACAGCCTTTCCCCCCTTCGCCATCCTGTACGGATGTAATGTATGGTGTCACTTCCAAGGTTGATTGAATATCTCTGTTGTGGAATTCCCTTTTCACCGGTCCCAGCAGCCAACCTAACTTCTGCAAATCATCCGAAATGGGACCTTTCCAAGGTTTTCTTCACCTTCTTCCCGAAAAATGGAATGGCTAAAAGATGCATTTATTTATAAAGGAAGAGAAAAGCCGATCTGGAAATACAAATAGTTACGGATTATATTGGCAATACAGGGTTACTGATAGATAGATATGCCGATCCCGGTGTTCGGTACGGAGTACATGGAATCAGCCAGGGCCAGGCCGCTTGTACCAAGTACCTACTGCGTTGTTTCAATCCCCTCCGCCAGGGGTAAGTTACCGTACAATACGGAGTACAGAGAGAGCACACCGTAAACAATACGCGGCATGTCTCCTTTTTGGCCACACAACGAGAAACATCACCGAAGCAACGTCACCTCAACATCAACAACATCGCGAAAAAAGAGGGAACAGGAATTTTGAATTTTGAATTTTGTGTTGTTGCCATTTTCCCGGTGGTTATGTGGAAAATGACAAGCCGACCGTCAAAGCCGCCTCCTGCAAGCGTTATCTCCTTCTAAACAAAGCGCCAGCCGTTGAAGCCACCCACCGGTCGCCCCGGGGCCTCGACTTCATACCAACCGACTAACTATACTATAGGACTGCAGACTCTACAGACTACTAATAAATATCCCATTGTTCAACCTCGTGTTTCTGTTCTCCTTCTGCTGGCTCCCCTTTCGATCCCTATCCGTATCCCAAATTCCTCGAACCCAGTTTCATCCAACCAACAAACAAAACCACTTCCACAGAGAGGGGAGAAATCGAAATCATTGAACAACTAGATCACTCTCAACTTCTCTAAACCTCCTGTCCATCCGACTGCAGACCATCAGCTCGGCCAATCCCTGGCAAGCTTTTCCGCCCAGCCACCAATAGGCGTGTAGGCGTGTTTACCAGTCCTCCAAGGCTGCGCTTCTCAGCCCAACACGCACTGCACACACACTCTTCCGGGTACAGCCTAGAGGTCAGACTTCATTCGCACGTAAAAAGGATTCCACGATCAACTTCGCTTGAGCCCTTTGGAGTGCTGGCAACCGCAACTTTTTTTTTTTTGTGTCTCTTCCATCTTCCATCTTTCCTTTCGGCTGAGGGCTGGCCTTCGTTCCATTCCATCCCTCTCCTCGCCTAAGCGCCCGCACCGCGATTCGTCATCTATACTACCCGTCCTCCTCCCCCGCCCCCCTGCGATCAGGCGCCTGAACACCCACTCCAGGCCAGCGAGTGCGGGAAGCTAGGAAACCAAAGGCTTACATGTTATACTAGACCCTTCATGTGCCAACTCCAAGCTTTTCGCAATCACCGCTATCGACAACTCTCACCGCAGAATACTCCTGAAACACACGGACTCCTCTCCCTACATCTGATGGTGAATTAGGAGGAAGCTCTGGAGCAAGATGGCCGCATTCGTGCGTGTATCAGGACCTCCCAACGGTCATTTCATCGTTGGATATCCTGGCATAGCTGGGACGCTGGTAGGTCCCCTCGCCTCCCACTCTGAAGGAGCCACCACTGTATTCTAGACCCCTATTGTTCCGCCTGTCGGATTTGAAGTTGTCGCGCTGGCTGGTGACGATCTACCCTTGGGTTTTTGTCCCTGTTGCTAACTTTTGGAAATAATTAAACAGCCGCGCATTGAAGGCAAGGTTGAGATCCGCCCCAGTGCCGGTATATCAGCACCAGTCAACATCGCAATGGTCACAATATGCCTCCAACGACGAGAAACTATACATCCTTCCGCAGATTCGGTAACGAAGAGGCATTTGGCTGCGCCCCGGAAAGAATTAACAGAAATCGTGGGAAGGGAGATGCTGCTTTTTAGATGTGCAGTGGGCCGCGACCATGAAGAGATCATCGCCATGGACCTCCCTTTTGTTTTATTTTTCCCCTATGTTAGACAAGGGCAAAATGCATCACGGCAGGTGCCAGCAAGTCTCCAGTTACCTAGTAGAACGGCGGAGACGTACTATGAATTAGTGGTAATGGTGCAGCAAGGTCCATCAGAGCAAAGGAAATATGCATTTCCCGTCCCAATCTCGAGATACGATACCCTTTCGAGTTTTGGCCAGTATAAGCAACCCAGAGCACTAGAAAAGGTCTCAGATCATTTGGTAACAATGGGAATATCGGTTCCGCGCACGTCGTTTGGACCCCTGGATCCAATCAGTGTGGTTATCAAACTTTCTCCCAACCCGGATTGGTTGAACAAGGCTCGACGAGTAACAATACACAAAATCTCCATCTCCATCGATGAGGAGATCATCTATAACCATGAAGGCGACGAGCCGCAACGTAAAACCAAGTCCATCACCAAACGAATAGAGAGCGTTAATATGAAACTACCCGAAGCTGGATATATCACAAACCTAGGTCTCATATTTCCCTCAAGGGATCTAAGGGATGCGGAAGGAATCTTACCACGAGGGAAACCGGCGTTCCCGATGTACGCTGTCAACGGTTTTAGTACCGTTGCGACACTATATAGGATCGACTACTACCTAACAGTAAAGGTCCGGTGTGGCACATATAACCTGATTAACCATCAAACCTTTTTAATTAGCATGTCCCGCTAACATTTTCCTATCTAGGCACACCTAACGTCAGCTCGGGATATCGTCCTGCGACAGCCCATAATGGTTTGCCCGTTTGACCACACTGCATGCGTGCAAGAAACCGACGCCATCAACGCGGCAACTGCTGCCGCAGCCAACATTAACCCGGACAACCCGATGCTACCGCTTCCTACGATAATCCGGGTCCGCGACCCTCAAGCTCTGAAATACCTGGGTGTAGCGATAGTCGGCAATGTGAAGAAGCCAGTAATCGAATGATGATGTCTAGACTTGTCTCCACCCGCCGACCCGAAATTTTACCTATTTATATATAACCACCCACCCCAGCGATTGGCAGCATCTGATATTTAGGTCCACGCTAGACCAATCGTCCGTCTCATTTTTATAACTTTTACCACATTACTAGGCGGACTGTTCGTCTAGCCATTGCGCACAACGCATATCTCCTCAACATACAAAAATTTAAGGATTCTGAAGGGATAAAAAAAAAGTATGAAAAAATTACCTCCCGATAGCGAATAGCGGTGGTTTGATATTAGATGATGTGTCGGGGGAATTGAAAACGCAAAACAGCTGCCGGCTTCCATCTATTTGAAAGAAGCGGGAGGGATATTTTCTACAGTTTGATTCTAATCCATCAATCTATTCGTCTACAATCACGAACTTCTCCGTGGATTCCCTTCGCTTGCTTGATTAAATTGTACTCTTCTACCTTACCCCCCCTTTTGTCGCTCTACATACACACTTTGATCTTGGCAAATACCCTCACCATGGACTATCATTGAACAAATACATACCATATCAACCTGCATTACGGCAAGCTGGGATTCTGCATAACCAAGGTTTCCATCAGCGTGTCCTCGATTCTTTACCTCTTACCCTCATTCACGCACTCGCCATTTTAATTTCTGTTTCGTTTCTTTTCTTGGTCGCTTCTCCTATGGATTTCTCATTCAAAGCTGCTAGATCAAGCCAGGTCTGGCAGGATATCATGATATATGAGCCCCCGAAACCCGGGCAGGAAACTGGGAGGGAAACTTTATTTGGATATACCTCTCACTGTTTTGTTTTGTTTTGTTTCGTTTTTGCTTGATTCGGCACAAGCATTGGAGTATATTGGAGCCTTTTTTATGGACTTGATCTATTTGGAACTGTGCAGTTTTGGCATCTGTTAGCTTCTGGGTTTACATCTTTTTCTTTTCTTTCCTTTATTTCTCTTCTTTCACCTATTTTATTGTGCGATGGGATGAGATATGAAATGGAAGCTGGTCCAGGCGCATTTGATTGTTTTCTGTTTTTCTGTCTTCTTCTTTTCTCCTGGTTTCTGCCTTGTTTTGTTCTACTCTCGCATATCCACCCCCCATTCTAAACCCAGTTTTCTATCATTTTTCTACATTGATGACTTGTCATTTCATTTCTTCTTCTTTTCCCTCAATAACTACACTATACTCATTATTTTTTCCCCCCATTTTCCATGTTATCCCTCTCGCCGTTTTCATTTTGCTTCTGTTACCTACTTCATACCCTTCTGGGGACCTTCCCCTCCCCCCTGTTTTAAGTATTCTTATTTCGGATTATAAGGGAGTGGATCCGGATATGCGCCACTATGCCTATATCTATATCTATGAAAACAGCACGATCTTTTTCAGAGGAGTCAGCCTAAAGAATTCGGGCGGAACAGGGGAAAAAGAGGGGAGGGAAATTCAGTGAAGAATTTTTTGTTTTTATTCTTCATTCTTCTTGTTTTATACTTTTATGTTACTCTTACGCTTTTTTTTTTTTTCCCTTGTCCTTCTTGATTTACAGGGTTGATGTTTCATTTTAGACTTGAGCGAGTGGGTAATTTTCTTCGCCTTCCCTGTATGATTCCTACCTACTGCTTGTCTCACTGGACATCGCATAGAAGCCATTGAGAAGATGACGTACGTACATGTATGTATGTACATGTACATACATTGAGCAGTCAATCATGTATACAATCATGGCATGAGTATATATTCTACATCTAAATACACGTGTAAATATCAGCGTTTAACAAGAGTCGTTGAATCCTCCTATAAATGTTTGTTATTAGAGGAGAAAGCCAGAAAACACCGAAGTAATGCCATTCATAATTCATCATTCATCATAGCCCGTTTTCATAGAAGTTAGATACCCCTCCATCACTTCTATTATACACTTAATCCCTTTTCCAACAACATTCTCAACTCCTCGATAGCATCCGCTGTTGTCGTCTTTTCACCACCACCACTATTTGTAGCGGTAATACCCTGCGTCTCTAGCTCCAGCTCACGAATACTCTCTCTCAACATATCCAACACGGCAGCGTACTGAGCAGACTTAGGCCCGAAAGTCGAGAGGGTGTTGGATAGGTTTGCGGATATCTAAACGGGGGGGCGGGGGGGGCGGGGGACGAGCATTGTAAGGTGAGGGCTGGCAGAACGGGGATTTGTAGGATCTAATTATGAGTATATTGAGGGCTTACTTGGGAGATTATTAGGTTGGATTTCGCACTGGCAGCTGTCTTTGGAGGAGGTGGCATCTGGGAGATGAATGGGATGATAATATATTGTGTATATCAAGGTCGTGGGTGTAGATGTAGCAAGCTCTAGGGATGGAGTCCGATATCAGATGCGAAATAATATATCAAAGAGATAGCTCTATCCTATCCTTTCTAATATATCCATGTATTTTCTATGAGCATCGGTGCCACTTGTCAATGTTGTCACTATCGCCATGAGAGATGTATTGGACGCTTAGGTAAATAGTTGCGTATTAAATATACATGTATGAAGAAGCTCCAAACAAACCTCCGACTAAATTTAAATAATCCGACTACATATTTACTCCGTACACAGGATCTTCAAACTCCGCTGCCATCGCCGACGCTTCCACTAAGCCAAAAAACTACCTCCGCTCAGTAAATTACACAGGATATCTCCCCCGCAATACATCCACACACAATGGCGGACGCCGACGAAGACGCCCTCATCCAACCCCCCTCCTCCTACGACCAATCCACCCACATAGACCAAGACCTATCCGACGAAACACAAGACTTCCGCTTCCTAAACTCTCTCTCCTTGTCTGTAGCACGACACTACGCTACCCCCTCCCCCAAACAGACTCAAAAAGATACCACTCCGCTAACCCATGAATTAATTCCCTCTAGCCTCCCCGACCCAAACCAACCAGCCTCCCTCCCGCGCCGGGGTGAAAAGGACTTCGAGCCCAACCCAACACTACGCCAGGCTGATGTCCTCGCCGCGTCGCGCGATGCCATGCACAATGCGCTCGCGTATCCAAGACTACATAACCCGAAAACGCGCGTTGTCGGCATTTACTGTCCGACAGGCCTGTTGAAGCCGGCGCATGCTGGCGGGTCCAGCAGTGCGCAGCAAGTAGTAGCAAAGGAGCAAAAGGAGGAAAAGGAGCAGGTAGAGGAGCGTGAGCCGGAACATCAAGATGAGGAGCAGATAGCGGCTCCAAAAAAGAAACCCGCTCCACCTCATGGAATTGGAAGGGGTACCTGTGTCTGTGTCCCTAGTCCGCGGGGCCAGCACTTTAGAACGGTCGGCCGATCCGACCACTGGAATCGCGTGTGGCTGTTGCCTGAAGAAGCGCTGTATTTGCTGGAGAGAGGGAGTTTGGATATCAGGTGGCCTGCGTCAGCGGGAGGATATGCAGCCGGAAGCGCGGAGATAGAAGGGAGGCAAGAAGAGAATGTTGAGGACGTGGACGGGGGAGTCCCGATGAGTTTACAAGCGGCGTATGCATGCTTTCTCGGACGTGGAGGGTTAACATTGGAGCGGTATATTGTCTATGCGGGCCTGAGGAGGGGTGGGTATACTGTGATTCGTGCACCAAGTTGGGATGACGGGAAAGGGGATGGGGATGGGGATGGGGATGGGGATGGGGATGGGGACGGGGACGGGGACAACGACCGAGGGACAGCCGGGCAGGTTCCCATCGCCGCTGCTGCTTCTACGACGAATGAAGCTGGGATACATGCACATACGGAGCAGCGGCGTGGGAGGTTAATTAGCGTGCTAACCCGATTTTTTAACTCGATATTTGAACCTGGACCTACACGCCGCTTAACACACGGCCCAGTCATCGGTCTAGGGATACACCGTAACTATCGTACGTTCTAATACAACTCCTCCCCCAAGTCAAATACTTGAGAATCCACCCCAAAAATCATGAAACCTAACTGCAGCTTTAGACGACATCTACCGCGCCCTCTCCATAATCCCTACCCACAACCCAACACACCCGGAACCCACTCCGCCCAAACACACAAACCTCCCTTACCGCCTCGCCTTCAACGTCTACAAACCCTCCACCCCCTTCCGCAAATCCTCCCCAGGCAACCCCGACTTCCGCCTCGCCGTCATCGACTCCCGCCGCCACCCCACCCTTCCCACGCTCCACGAGTTATCAGCGCTGTTGGAAAGCACGCCGCTGGATCCGCCGCGCGGGGAGAAAATGGAGCGCCTGATGTATATGCGGCTGCGCCATGGGTGGCGGAATGTGATTTTGGCGGTGGTCGATCAGGGGGTTGTGAGTTTTCTGAGGGTGGCGGATGCTGGGTTTATTGGGGTGAGGGTTTACGAGGGGAAGAGTGGGACCAGTGGGAATAAAGGGGGGAGAAGGGGAGGGGGAAACGGTCGTGGTGGCGGCAATGGACGTGGGCGTGGGAGATAGGATGGTTGTTTTCTTTTCTTTTTCTTTTTTTTTTTTTTTTTTTTTCTTTTTTCCCAAAATTATGATACAGGTCAGTGAGAAGCCAGAAACTCTGTAAGATATGTTGAAATTTCTTTGTTGATATAGCAAGTTTGTAACATAGATAAAAGTTATGTACGGACCTGAGAACAAAACAGCTCATGGAAATGAAAATGATAATGTATGATCAACAAATATCACCCAGCAACTTGTCAGTCTCTTGCTGAGCAATATTCAGTGCAAGGGCCTGGGTGAGGCAAAAGTTTTCATGCTTCCGCCCCTGGCAGATAAAGACACGAAATCGACTGGAGATCAACCACCTCAATCTTCCCATTTGCAATATTAGACGTTTCAATCTATGGGCGCACAAACAACGCTGACGTAGAGCCAGAGGAGAGACGTCAGTAGTTGTATGTGCAGTTTTTGCCAGAGGGAACGTGATGCGTTGATGGGGTGCATTGTCAACTTCTTGTTGTTATTGCCTTTGCGTGCAGTGCAGCGCTGCTCTCATTGTCAAGCATGACGCGATTGATAGTTCCAATTCTCATTGAGATCTTTGTCTTGACTTAATAACGCCTCACGTATGCACCGTACCGTACATGAGCTATATTCGATATTTCCCATGTTAAAAAAAACGTCCGATAACGCCCGCTTCCCGTTTTTCTAATAAAAAGACGAATATTGCAGGTATACGATATTTCCGGTTTAAGCTATAGATAATTATTAGCGCTCCGCCATGCATCCGTATGGATAGGCAGAGAAGAAGAACATACTATCCAAATAATCCGCCGCGATCAATAGCTCTAGACACATCTCGAGCGGAAACTCCATGTCAGGCACGTTAGTCTGGCCTTTATTCCGTTCGTTGTAAAGAAAGTATTCGCAGACTTTCTCGAGCACGACTCCACTATAATAGCACACGAGAGGAAGCAAGGGGGGTCAGCAATGGCATTCGTCTGTTGGCGTCCTGCATGCTGGAAATTGGATATGGGGGAGGAAGGAGGGGCGCAAAAACGAACTTCATGTTCTCAAAAACACAGCGGCCTGTAACGGCTTCGGAGAAGTTGCCTGGTTAAAGAAGCATGCTTAGTATGGGGTCGCGTGCGCAAAAAGAAAAAAAAAAAAGTTGATGAGTTTAGAGGATAGTTACTCACTTGCCGGATCCAACATGCGTCGTATAGTGCCAGATACACAGGCAGCACTGCGGGATATTATGAATTCGAATCCATCGTTGGAGGCCAGCGTGACGTACTCCGGCGGGGAGGGTCTGGCAGACATAACTCTGGGGATAGCGCGAAGGATGAGAGATGGTGTTGGAAATTACTGGGATAAAAGGTTTAAAAAGCCGGTTGATATTGGACTGATGGGTGGTAGAATCGGGCGTACATAGCTTCCTATGAGAGCTTGACACCAGTGCGGAGTCGGGTTAACTATCTCATAAGACAACAAAGATACATGTACTTGTAGTTAAAATTAATAATATAATTTTTGAAGTCGCGAAATTCGAGTCGCGAAGTCAGGTGGTCTGGATGCGGCTCTGCTGCCTGGTTAACTTATATACCTCGGCTGAGTGTCCGCTGACATCTTTCCATGGGCAATTGGTTTAGTGGTATAATACCCCCTTAGCACCGGAGATCAGCTGACCCGACGACGTGGGGGTGGTCCAGGGTTCGATTCCCTGATTGTCCATTCTTTTTTGTCTTGTTTTTTTAAAAATTTTCTTTATCGAAACCATTGTGATCGCTATTTAGAACTTGGATTAATTTTAGCTATATGGACGATTGAGGATGTTGATGTTTTGTTTTTTGGTGCGACTAATTCTAATTTTTATCATATCATATCATGAACGAGCTTGTATTGAGCTCCTTGAAGAAACGTCACACTTTGATTACCCATCTATTGCTCCCATCAGGTAGAGTGAAATACTTTTATCAATAAGGCATTTCGTAACATATATATATATCTATAAATCATAAATCTATGTATATTCAGATGGATGGGTGAGTGACGGGCCGTCCACTACTTTTTCACTTTACTAACTTGAAAACGCAGGAACCATCGTCTACCGCTTCAATAATCATTGTTGAGTGTTGTTACTACATAAAAACTCACTATGCCTCCCGGCCTATCTTCATTTCCTTCACGCTTCCAGTCTCAGGGACTGGTAGGCTGCGGTTGTTGGATCTCCGCAGCCCTAAGTCCTCAGGTACGGGGTGCGACATGTTCACTCTCGAGACGAGACCGACGTGCGATCACTTCCCAGTTATCAGTAGGGCTAGAATTTCGCCATTTACAACAGCTGCAGCTTTCCAGGAGCTACTCAACAAACCATGACCGGACCAAGACGTCAAGCATGTTTAGCCTGACCTCAAAGTGGCCTCCAAACCAGCCACCGCTCAAAGGGCTAACGTGTATGGTTACGGGGGCCTCGTCTGGTATTGGCCTTGCAATTGCACGCAGATTTCTACGCGAAGGTGTAGAAAAGGTGATTCTTGTCGGGAGGAGTAAACACAGGCTAGAGGAAGCTGTTAGGGATCTAGAAGGAGACAATGAGTTATCATCACTCGACAACCTCCCGCAAAATGATGGAGTGGATATTCGTGACGAAGCAAAAAGAGCAATCTCGCCCATCCAAAGTATAGAATACGATAACGTGATACATGATCAACCGCACGACGTCAGCATTGCGGCTGCGAAGGCCTGCGAAATATCTTATTTGGGAACACGCTTCACACTCGCCGTCGGGGATGTCGGAAACCCAGCTTTCTGGGGTGATGAGATTAAGAAATTAATGGTATATATATCTATATCTATATGTCATACACCTTTAGACAAACTGAACCTCTGTTTTCTGTATAGGCCTAATACAAACACAAAAATCACGCACAGGACACCGTCGACATCCTCACCAACGCCGCTGGAATCTCCTACACCTCCCTCTTCCCGCTAACTAAAGACGAACACATCACCACCATGCTCCACACAAACCTCCAAGGCACAATCTTCGCCTGCCGAACCATGGCACGGCGCGCAATGCGGTCCCCATCCCGCCAAAAATTCACAGACGAAAACGCCACCAATAAAACCCCTTTCACGAAATGCATTATTAACATATCCTCGCTCCACGCCATGAAGGGGGGTGCCGTGGGCGCCGCGACGTATGCATCCACGAAGGCAGGCGTAGTAGCGCTGACGCGCGCGATCGCAGCGGAGAGCGCAGGCGCAAGGGAATGGGCGAGGTTGCGAGCCAATGTCATTGTGCCGGGGTATATTGAGACGAAGATGGTTGAGGGTATGATATCCAGTCTTCTTGTTCAATTTGGTTTGGTTACGTTAGTGGCGGGGAAGATAGTTAACGTTTGCCCATTTCTTTTTTTTCAAAAATCTCAAGACCTAAACGCCAAAGTGCGCGAGCAGGCGCTACAATCAATTCCGTTGCATCGTTTCGGCACACCGGAAGAAGTTGCCGATGCCGCAGTTTTCCTCGCGACGAACCAGTATGCTAATAACTGCGTGCTGAATTTGGATGGGGGATTGAGTGCGGTGTAGATGTGCGCTAATATGGTGAGGAGGAAACTTATATAAATAAATAAAGGAAAGAAAGGAAATGGAGCTTGCGTTATTCTCACGTTTCAGAGCGGCTTTATTTTGGTTCAAAGGCATGTACCATATACTTTTTTATCGTATGTAAGGGTATCGGGTGGAATTATGTCTAGAAGCAGAGCAGAGACATCAATGAGAATATAATACTTTCTAAACCTGTGTATATTCCTATTTCAGGGCTTTTAGCACAATAAAACGACCTAAGATTTTATGTTCGTCTTCTTATCCTCTGAGAAAAAACACAATATGCAGCCGCTGGACACAAATGCAACTTTCCATCCCCCGCTTAACCTGAAATCAGCCGACCTGCTCCACAGATATGCAAAATCTCTGTAGAAATGCAGACAATGTGGAAAACAAAAATGAGAAGAAAAATAAATAAATGAATAAAATATATCCATCCATACCAAGAGTTTACTTACCTAACCAGCCAACCATATATCCCGAAAGAAAAAGAAAAGGAAACAAAGGTAATATCACAAGCAAAATAGGCATAAAAAAGAGGGGAAGGGGAAGAAGCGAAATTTTCTGTTCAAAGCATGCTTTTTATTTCCCTTTCTTATTTTTTCTTTCCACCGTAGAAAAGAAATTGCGCTGTGAATGGCGGGCACATGAATGTATGCAATTACACAATATTTGAAGGGGTACAACATAAGGAGAGAGGGGGAAGAGAACGGGGTGGTAAGGGCTGGAGCTTCCCATCGAGGAAGCTGGAATCTCGAGTACAGCTAAGTAATGAAGGCTGTACTTCTCATGCATGCGATCGAATGCAATTCAAGAAACTAGAGCTTAGCGAGTGCCAAATTTTTATCGTGCTTGTTTTATTTTTTTATTTCCTTTGCGTGTTGAAATCGAGGCTCAATTTTCAGTCATCATCGATCAGAATAGTTCCGGAATCGTCTTCTAGGATGATAGGCTTTTCAAGGAGATCACCGTCACCAGCCGCTACGGACATTTTCGCAAGGCGCTTCGCCGATTTATCGTCCTTGTCTTCCAGATTTTCGTCTGCTTCCCGTTTCCGCTTTCCTGTGACGGTTCCGTTGGCTGGCAAGATGGCCCCATTGACGTTTACCCCGCCATTAGCATTGTCAAGGGCTGGTTTTCTGGGTATGACCAGCTCTGTTGAGAGGGAGATGGGTTTTGCTGTTGTGTCGGTTGATGATCTATATTTTTATTGTTAGTGAATAGACTTCCGGTAGACGCTCGACCAAGAACATAAACAGTGATAAATGTCCTTACCGTTCAAACACAAGCAAGTCCAAGTTCACTCGAGTATTCTCATCTTCCTCATCAACAACCGTGAGAAAACTGTCATTTGAAACTCCCAAATCTTTAAGTTTCTTCGGTAGGTTGTCATCGAGATCCGGGTCGTAGATGGTCCCCATCTGGTTACTGATGGAGAGTTCTTCACCGTACCCAAGCTGTCCACGAAGAACATCGTAAACCAAATCTTTCAGTGTTGCTTTTTGGAGGTCGATTGAAATCCTTCCTTGCGCCACGCTGCAGACTGGGCATTGAGGATTAGGGGGGCTCGTATTTGCAGTATTTATAGCGCGGGCGCCTGACCGCTCGAGGAAGACCTGCTGCTGCGTGAGAAATAGTAATTTGAGACCTATAAAGAGGGGTCTCTGACCATCTTCGCTTTAGAATATTCGTCCTTTAGCACTTTAAACGCCTGTAAAACACACATTGCTGCTGTCATGGCATTGGTCGTGGCAATTGCTGGTATGATATTCCCAGCCATCTCTGTTCGCAGAGTTGATTCGATTAGTCGACGGATTTACAAGGGGGTTTGCTTCAGTGCTCACGTTTTATCTCAAATTTCGATTTCATTTCGATTTCGAAGATATAAGATCGGAGATTCGCGCTTGCGGTGACAAAATCGAGGGCGTCCTCGTCATCCTTATCGAAAGTTATAATAGGTTTATGTCCATCCGCAGCTGTAGATTCGAGTCCCTGCAGCCTCCGTGATAGACGGCCAAGACTATATAATGTCAGTTTATCGCTTCAAAAACAGCAGCTGCACGCACTGAAATGAGATAGTAGTACCTGTCTTTAAAAACTGCGAAATTCTCTACCAGACTCCAGACTTTCTGGTCATCCGAAGATATAGTTGAGTCCACCGCGGTCGCTTCTTGCTGTAAGGGATCGAATGATAGGGGTTGCGGAGGCTTTCTTGCCTTCCACATATCCTCCATTTTTCGTAGTCGGTCCACATCTTCATTGAAAACCTTGGTGAAAACTTTTTCCGCAAAATTATCAGACCCCATTGATTGCCGAATAGAAAGTAAAGCTTGAGCCTCTTTTTGTAAATTTGCAATCTCCTCCGCTAAAATAGATGGTGTTAGTGGTCTTATGGAGGAAGAAATTCATAGGGCTTCCAACCATATGCATACCATTTTCGGCGTCTTCAGAATGGTCGAACTCCTCCGGATCGCTTTCGCTTTCCCCAAAAAGCTCTCTGAGAGTCTTGTCAGCGGGCTCAAAAGATTGTCATAAGGATAGGAAGAGTCTCACGGTAATAGGTAGCTCTTTGCCCATACGATGCAGTGTATGGACTGACTTGGAGTGCTCCGTATTGTGCATACCGGGAATGACTTTGGCACTTGCTTCGGATTGCAGTCATAACATTCGGTACGTCCCTAGCTCGTGTAAGCCTCTATGCCTACAATTGGAAAAGGCCCCAGTATCCCCACCTTTTTTATGACCTGCACTTGACCGTTGAAACCTGTCGTGCCGCTTTCAATCAGAGGAACGTTTGCCGCTAGACACATGCGATTCACGTGCCTGCGTGCATCTAGATTGTCCAATGCATTGAACACGATATCAAATGACTCAAAAAATTCAATATTGAATTGCGGGTCTTTAATATTGGCATGATACGCGTGGAGGGAGGCATCTCGACGAAACTTGCTGGCGACTTCCTTTGCGACCTAATTGACGAAAAATCATAAAATTAGTGATGATAAATGTAGTATAAATGTTGAATAGGACATACTAATGCCTTGGACTTTTTTATATGCTCCTGTCTGAAGAGGAATTGTCTGTTCAGATTGCTGAGATCTATTGTGTCGAGGTCTATGATATGGATTTCCCCAAACCCGGTGAGCACAAGGTTCTTCAGCAGCTCACAACCAATGCCACCTGCGCCAACTAAAAACACGCGGGACTAGATAGAATTGATAAAAGTCAGCCGGGATCAATATATTTCTGGGTTATTGCCTGTTGAAAAACCTTCTTTATCTTGGTTAAAAGAGAGCCCAGTGGCTGGTGTTGGAACTTATCCATGCTTGAGTTAGAGAGCTTCCATACGCGCTGCGCGCAGAGGATGCGGTGAGGGATGACGGTACAGGATGCTCTGGAAAGTGAACGTCCAAATGAAGCAGACGAGGATGCTGTAGTAGGTAGGGAGCGGTTGACAGGTCCAGTCCAAAGTGGTTTGTTCACAGCTTAATTAAAAAGGAGCTTCAAGAACTGGCGAGGAGGCACTTGGTCTTGGCAAAGATGGATGCGACGCGACAGGAGTGACATCAGAACAGAAAAAATGAAGATCACAGCAGAAAGAAAACCAATATTGGCAACACAACAGAGACCTATATACCAATTCACTTCAAACTCACTTCTTTGCTGCCTCTCCCTGCCTTGGTATTGCTTCTCATTGTTCCTTTTTTTATCTCTGTCCTGAAAACACCTTCAATTACATAGTCACCATGTAATTAACAGCCAAATGCTAGCGTTAATGGCCAAAAAAACAATTCTGATTTTTCTTCTTCTTTCTTCTTCCTTGAAGCAATTGCATACACTCTAATTTGTTACTATGATAGCTGGAATAAAGAATCAAAATCTGGTGGAATCTTACAGATATCCTGACAGCTAGCAATTAAAAGATTTTTGTGCCTAAAAGGAGTTATAATTCATGATCATACTATTTTCTAAAATCACTACATGAACTATATATTATTCAAGTATTGCTTATTCATTATGGTTTTCACTGGATAACCTCATCTTGTGCTGAGACATAACAGCTTGCATGTCATGTATCATTTATGAACAATCACCTCAATATTGCTTCATCATCTCAATGCAACAATCTCATCAATTGCCCAGAATTCTCTAAACACAATATTGTTTTTCATGAGTGAAAGATAAATAGTAGATTTAGCATCAATGTCAATCTTAGTCAAGATAATCTCACATTCCTGAAGCATCACTGGAAATATCTGCTGGCAATTTAAGTCCTAAACTTCAGCATCCCAGCTTTGATAGAGCATTTTGTCATATGCCTAATCCTTTTCCACTGGCAAAATAAGCATTCCACCAGCCTCATCAGCTTCTTAAGACGAGGCACCGACCTTTCAAGGGCGGGAATCGTGAGCGTCTCTAATAAGAATGTATGCTGCGAACATGTTTGCAGGAAACTCTACCGGTGCACGGCACGGCCCTCACACAAGGCCAGGCTGTAGTAAGTTAGTAACACACCCGGGCATAAGGAGGCATTTTAGTACCGACAGTGTTGTAGAGCATAGAAGCAGGTAATCAGCCACGGGGTTTCTGATTCGCGCACTTCAACAATATCCATAATTCCTGTAGCTCTTCATAGAATAATATGGAATGCGAGGATTCTCTGGATGATTCGCGGCTCAAAAACAGAAAATTAAAGTTCGTACGGGATCCACAGAAAGCGAACTTTATTTTGACCCACATTCGCGAGAGTCTAAACCAATTACGACATGGCGGGTGTATTTTACCCTCATTACGTAAGTTTCGACATCAAGCACCCTTTTTTCTTTTTCGGCCAGTTGTTAATCAGGTTCATGATATTTCTAAATTCTCAATTTGATATTGAATTGACAGAAGGGTTTCACTATCAAATTCACTTGTCTGTATTTGTTCTAATATATTTTTTCTTGGTAAACCTCCAATTTTCCTCTTCCGTGCAAGCAGTAATTCAGTCAAGAACTGGCCTGCCCCTCTTTTGAAACAGCGGTCTATCCCTGCCTCTTCCCGACAGATTTAAGACCACTACATACAAAAAGCACTGTGGTTATCATACAACATCCGCGATGATATGATATCAAAAGCGTATATAGGCTGAATTTTCTATTTTCGCTTTTTTTGTTTTCGGTTTCCGACTTCTTTCTTGTTACCTGAGTCCACTAGAAGAGCTGGCGTAATAGGCATAAAACAAACCGCCTGGATCTCAATATCCAAGAAGGAAAACATGTCAGACGATGAAGCAGACCCCGAGCTGCTGGAATTGCTCCGCCAGTCCCTTGGAATCGGCCGCGCAGCCAAATCAGGGCCTGCCTTAGACACAAAAGTGCTTGCCAGCGCCCAACATGTCTTCGACAACTCTATCGACGTGGCACTGGACCCCTTCAGGACTAAAGCCGCAGCGGAGACCATCTGGCAGCTGATGCAGAAGAAGCGGTATTCGACGAAGAAGTGGGCAGAGCATGAACTGCACCCGCAGACCAAGGATGAAAGCACAGTCGATTTCATATTCACGATGGATTTGCTGAATTTTAGCTTCTGGTCGGATGAGACGGATGAGTCGAAGCAGTTTGCTATAGAGTATCGAGGGAAGAGGTGGAAGGGGTATTGGAGCCTAGTGGCTGCGTTGCAGAGGGCGCTTGATGAAGGTATGACAATTTCTTTTCTTTTCTTTTTTCTTTTCTTTTTTTTCTGCTGTAGGAAATGAAGGTAGTAATATATTTCTTCGAGACATGAAGCTGAGATTATCAGAGATCCCAATCACGAGCTCTGATTTCTGGCAGAACGAAGACGAATGCACAGACGAAGTTTTGCGCCATGTCTTCCGATCCGCGACGGATGAGGAAATCCCCATGTTCAAAGAACGTGTCGATTGTCTCCGTGATGCTGGGAAGATTCTTTATGATGTGAGTATTCATCTGTATATATATATATATATATGTATATATAAGCGAATACTGACGTTGGAATAATAAACTAATTTCGTGTTCTAGAAATACCGCTGCAGCTTCACAACCTGCATTGAAGAAGCTAACGGCTCTGCTGCAGTCCTCGTGAACCTGCTCGCAGATAACTTCCCATGTTTCAGCGACAAGATGCGGTTCGAGGGGAGGGAAGTACGCTTCTACAAGCGCGCACAGATCCTCGTCGCAGACCTCTGGGCCTGCTTCCGCGGCAAATCCTACGGCAAATTCCACGACATAGATAAACTCACCATGTTCGCAGGTACGTTTGTTTTATATCTTCTTCTTGATATATTTTCCTTTCTTCATTCTAGACGGTTTCTAACGGTATTGCTATAGACTACCGCATCCCCCAAATGCTACATACCCTCGGCTGTCTACTCTACTCCCCTCCACTAGAAACGCACATCCGCCAACGCAAAGTGTTACCGAGCGGACACAAGTGGGAAACCGAGCTGCGCGGTACAAGCATCTGGTGCATAGAGCTGATCCGCCGAGAGATCGAGAAGCAGCATGCCAAAATGGCACGGCCGGGTACATACGCGGAACTGACGCCGCAAGCAATCACGGCGTCCGGGTCGGCGGTGGCGTCTGGATCTGTTTCTGTGAGAGGTGCTGGAGGGGAGGAGGATGTGGGGGATGATGAGAAGAAGCAGCTGTTGGAGAAGGGCGATGGCGAGGATGACGAGGAAGAAGAGGATGAGGCGTATCCATTGGGTGTGAATGCGGTCTTGATTGATTTTCTCCTGTATGATACAATTAAGGAGATGGAAGGGGAAGGGAAGGAGACTATCCCGCATCATCGGACGAGGAGTATCTGGTACTGATTTCCTTGTTGCTGTCGCGCGGAAACAAGCCTTGTTATCTTCTTCTGCGTGGAAATCGTTTCAGTTTTACTTTTTATTTTAATTTCCGAGTCTATTAGCGTTTCTTATGATGTCGGGGTTTAGATGGCCGGATTTGTCTTGACGCAATCATGTAGATAAATCCTTTTATCTAGACATGGCAATTGGATCAGATGGCGTTATATGGTTGGTTACCAACTCTTGTTCAATGTAGTACAGATTCTCGATGCCTTTCCCTGCTTCTACGTATGTAATTTTTGTTCTGAACATTCTACACGTCTAAGAAAGTCAAGAAGGGGTATCAATTCCATCTATCATACATCATATTTATAAAAGCACACTATCTCCCACAAACTAACGAAGATCGCTTCTTCTTATGCAGAAATCATCCCATTTTCAATAGCACGTATCTTCTCCATAACCCCCTCCTTCCACTCTAAATACTCCTCCTTCTTATCCTCGCTCAACCAATTGAGACGATCCTGCATCATGGTGCCCAGGCCAGGCTGCAAACCGCCATTTGCCTTCGCACCACCATTTTCGCTTCGCCGCTGATTTTCTCGCCGGATCACTCTCCTCTTTTGCGGGCTAACAATGTCATCGTCGTCATCGTCATCGTCTTGGTCGCCTGCTCCTTCTGCCAATTCCGCTTCCAGATCTCCATTTACATCGTCACTAACCCTCTTCGCAGGTCCAGGTATATTGTCAAACCACTCCGTTCCCACAGTCCATTTCTGCGTCATGATGATGGAGAGCCAGACATCCACGTCCTTTACGTATGTTTGCCCTTCCAAGCCAACGCTCGCTAGCGCTGCAGTAGCCATTTCCACATACGTATCCACGTCCAAGCTCTCAGCTGGAGGTGAAGTTGAGGAGGACGGCGAGGATGCGGATGACGACTTTGCCGCAACGGGCCGCCGACGAGCAAGCACAACGAAATACACAGCCACGATCAACATGGTGATTCTATCTATGTAAGTCTTCTCATCCTGAGCCTCAGGCCCATGCCCCTTCGTAGTCGTTTTCGTCCCCGCTGTGATAAGAGGGGAGAGGAATTGTGTATGTTTCCGATCCCCCGGCTTCGCCATTTCAGAGATGTAAGAGAGAATCGACGAGAGCCCAGCAAAGATATGTGGCGGTAAGGAGGTCGAGACTGCAGGGCGCGAGAGGGGCGTTGAGGTAGCTGTAGGCGTAGCCAATGCTTTACATACCCGTCGAATAAGCGGCATTGTCCACGACGGAGCATCTTTCATTGCACTCTTGCTAGAAATCCCATTGGTCCCCCGTCCGTGCAGCGATACCTTCGACCGACTATTATTCGTTACCTTCCGCGATGGTGTTGTAGGAAGAGGGCGCTTAAGTGGGGAGCCATTTGCCGTCGTCGAAATGGCTGGGGAATTATTCTTTGACGGTGTTCGCAGAGACATGGATGCGCCTGTGGGTTTTCTTGGTGTATTTGGTGCGGAGGTATTAGGGCTTGCGGCCGCGGTGCGGGAGTCTCCTCGACTCGAACCCGTCGTGGATGATTTCAGTAGGGCCTGCTCGAGATATGTATATATCTTCTTGTATACGCGGGGTGGACATGGCGGCCTGCCCAAGAGAGGCGGCAGTTTGAGAGGTTTCCTTAATCTACACATAGATATTCACATGTACATGGATGTACATAATCGCGCTTGATTAGCTAGTGATGGATGGGATTTTGTTTCGGGGCTTTCTCGTCTGGATAGGAAGGGGGAGGAATCCAACCCACCGCTTGCAAGCAATTTCTGCGCAGACGTAGGACCTAGCGATTTCTTCTTCTGGTTTCAAGCTACTGCCATAGGTGCGCGACTGAGCGAGGAGACTTGAGGCATGTTTGACGAGCTCTGGCGGGAGAGCTTCGGCATGGGTGGGGAGGAGGCTTGCTAGAGCTTGCTCAAGGGATTTGTTGCTCATGGCTGCGGGCGAGCGGGACTGTGAATAAGCATGTATGGGATTTAAGATTTCATGCTTTCATGAGCGTTATCCCGGTGTCCAGAGGGCTTGTTTGGTGTTTTGGGTGATGATGATTGTTTGAAGCTGTAGTTACGGAGTAACTTACTCTGTAAAGTTACATTACATTACATTACATACATAGATTGATAGATAAGATAAAGAAAATACGGAGTATATTATTATTGTCTGAATTCCTCAAGCATTCCTCTTATATATTATTCATTCAATCAGAAAATAGTCCGTGAATATATATGGATTTCTAATCTTGGCCAATTGAAAGGCTAACACCATCTATATACACCCTTTTTTCTTCGTAGTCTATTTATGTATTAATTACAGAGTACTTCTTGACTTGTTCGACAGAAATATGAAATGCCGTTTGATAACTAACTAGCAGATAGCCAGTAACATTCGACATGATGTTAGACGAGTTAAAAGGACCATATTTCCCAGAGCGCAGTGGCTATCCGTACATCGGTGATGTACTGTACATACACGGCATCAAGTTAACCTTTTGCTCTCCCGCGTTTCTGATCCGGCTCGGGATAAGCTTCCCTACTGCACTGGCGCTACGTCAGGCTCAGCTCAGGGTCGAATGAATCAAAATAAAAGAAACAAAGATCGGACCCTGTCATGGGGCCGAGTCGGAACTTTGATGCGGCACTGGGAGACTGGAACTGATCCCCAGATTGTCCTTTTCCCCCGCAAATGTTGCTTGTATACTGCGGTTAACCCGGCTTCGGCTTTTTTGGGTTTTGGATACACGCTTGGAATTCCTGCTCATACCCCATTCCTACAATGCTCATCTGGACTCCCAAGAGTGGTGCTGCTGAAGCTACGCTCTGCCGTTGGTCATCCGCGCATGCCTTGCGATTATATACGCTATTATCATTTAATATTACATACGCTCTGCTCTCCGCGCCCTGTCCCACCAGCTAATCCAATCACCACTCCATGCCCCTCCTCGCCAGTGTTTACATATAAAGGCCCTAGTTTTCCCGCTTGATAGGCCAACTTTTATAGATCCCAAAGTTAACTACATAGTTACTACCAAAGTATTGAACCCTGTTTGAAAAAAATAAAGAAATGGCCCAAACATACAAAGAAATCTCCGTGATCGCGCGGAAGCGGCGAGATGACCTGCTCGCTGCTTTCTTCCCGATCCCTGATATTGTGGAGGAGACCCTTCCCCAGGACCTGAGATCGTACCCAAAGACCTCGGGGCTCCTATCGCCAGAGGAATTAGATATCATCGATACCGACTCCGAGACGCTGCTTCAAAAAATAAGGGATAGAAAGCTGACCTCAGTCGACGTAACAAAGGCTTTCTGCAAGGCGACTGTGATTGCCCAAAAGCTTGTATGCATGCTAAATCATTCCAGCTACAGGCTTTACCTTTGTGTGTCTTGCAAAAAACAAATACACTAATAGCCTAACCATTAGACAAACTGCGTTACTGAAGTCCTGTTCAATGAAGGCCTTGAGAGGGCCAGGTATCTCGATGAATACATAGAACGGACTGGATCCGTCATCGGCCCACTGCACGGATTACCGGTGTCTCTAAAGGACAGTTTTATAACCCCCCCTCATCCTTCATCAATCGGAATGGCGGTGCATGCCAACGCTCCCACCGAGAAGGACGCCGTCCTCGTATCCATGCTCAGAAACCTAGGTGCAGTCCTTTATGTGAAAACCAACATCCCTACCGCAATGATGATGGCAGAAACTAAAAATCGGATCTGGGGCGAGACCAGAAACCCAGTCCACAAGGAGCTTACTCCGGGGGGATCCAGTGGCGGTGAGGGAGCTCTTGTTGCCATGAAAGCATCACCTCTGGGTATTGGAACGGATATTGCGGGTAGCATCCGCATCCCAAGCGCCTTCTGCCAGCTGTACGGCCTGAAGCCATCATTTGGGCGCTTCTCAACTGCAGGAGGGAAGCCCAGTATAGCTGGCCAGGACTTCATATATGCCATTTGTGGGCCGATGTGCCCTTCTATCGGCGCTGTCAAGCTGTTTTGTGAATCCGTTCTATCTAAGACCGCTGCGCCCTGGAACTTGGACCCCAAGATCATACCCATGCCATGGAGAAGGGACGTTATTCAGCCAAAAGGGCGCAAACTGCGATTTGGCATTCTGGGACCTAGCGACGGGACAATCACCTGCCATCCGCCAGTAGAGCGCGCTTTGAAGACCGTTGCCAATGCCTTAAAGGCTGCTGGACATGATGTGATTACCTGGTGAGTTACTTGACAAAATACAAATACATACCTAGGATACTACTGGAGAGAAAGAGAGACAGAGGGACAGAGAGGCTAACCACTCGGCCTTAGGGAACCAATTGACCACAAGGAGATCGTCGATCTGCTCAACGAATCCTTTGACGAATTGGGGTCTGACGCTATCATCCCGGTATTGGAGGAATACAAGGAACCCTTATTTGGTTCCATGGAGAGAGCTTTCAGCGCGTGCAAGAACAGGACCAGCAAGTTCGATCCGGCGAAACTGCGGCAAATGATCGTGAAACGAAACCAGCTCCAAGCTGCTTACCTCGAGCGGTGGATGGCAACGAAGACAGATACTGACGGGCCCATGGACGCCATTATCGCCCCTGTTGCGCCCACGGGTGCGCCCCGCCTAGGCCAGGGAGAGACAGTGGATTATGTCGGATTTACTGCGTTCGCGAATTTGCTGGGTAAGTTAAGGAGCATGGGGCTTTTGCTCCTTAAAAAAAAAAAAAAAGAAAAAAAAAAAAAAAAAAAAAAAAAAGAAAAAGAAAAAGAAAAGAAAAAAAAGGGATACTGTTATTAGGAGAGCTGCTAATATAGCATGCGAGTAGATTATTCCGCTTGCACGTTCCCGGTGACTTATGCAGACAAGTCGATCGATATCCCCCGCGGTGACGGGTGGGTGCCGCTGAATCCAAAGGATGAAATGATACAGAAGGATTACGTTCCTGAATTCTACCATGGAGGACCTGTTTCGCTGCAACTGGTCGGGAAGAGACTGGAGGAGGAAAAAGTGGTTGAGATGGTTGAAGTTGTGGCGGATGTCCTGAAGTATGAAGTGGCACAATATAATTAAGCTGCACATTTCCTATAGTTAGAGCAAAGATGCATGATCAGATTATCTACAAAGTAATAAGAACATGATTTTCGGGATTTTCACTCAACAACATGTCGTCATCGTGCTACTTTTGTCAATTATTATTATCCATTCCCATCGCAGCCACTTCACGCGCTCTCTCCCCAAAGCGAAAGTTTAGCTGCTGGTTGCGCGGGCAACCAAACGTCATGAATAATACGAGCCCGCTAGGCTGAAGCCAGCATCAACCGCCAAATCTGACACCCAAGTGACCCAACACAATTCAACGATCTTTATTTTCCATAGTGCCTCAATTTCACCTATTACTATCGAAGCACTCCATCCGTATATATATATATAGAGAGAGAGAGAGAGAGAGAGACTACATATAAAAGATACAATGGCACCAACTACCCGCCGCCGCTCCGGCAACTCACACCAGTCCACCCTCTCCTTCGGCACCCAACACAAAGTCTCCAAACCCACAACGACAACACTCGCCGGCACAAAGGGCAAGCAAACCTCAGATGTCAGCTCCCCAGTTTCAGTTCCATCTCCAGCCCCGGCCCCAGTCACAGAGCTCCGCCAGCGGAGCGCCTCGGGCTCAGCGTCACCTGCATCCATACCCTCACCTGAATCCGCACTTAAACCCACATCACCAACTGCAACAGAAACGGTTCAACATCCCGCTGAGATCGAGCCGGAGCAGAAGCCTGTCGCGTCATCGTTGCGGAGCGAGAATATCATCAGCGAGCAGACGAGGGTTGAATTGCGGTTGCCCAAGTCTGAGGAGGATAGCAGGGCGGAGGCGTTGACGGAGGGCGATATAAAAAGGTATTGGGAGAACGAGGAGGCGGGGAGGCTTGCGCCTAGGGGTGAGTTTGCCCTTTTATATATATATATATACACCTGACATGGAACTTCTTTGGGCTTTACTCCCTCTTTTTTGCGTGCTAGATCTACCTAGCTGGGATACCTTCTCGAAGGATGCATGTTGGAACTAATTTGCTTTGCTGTGCTACCATAGTCCACCAAGAGCACCTGACGATGCACGAGAAGATCCTACGACACTTCGACCTGTCGAATCAATACGGGGTACGTGATATAATAATCATACACAAAACCACCCCGAAATAGATTGTCAAACGTTTGGACTTGATTGAAACTCGACTAACGATGAATTAAACTAGCCATGTATCGGCATCGCACGACTAAAGCGCTGGAGGCGGGCGCATATGCTCAACCTGAATCCACCGATTGAGGTTCTTGCCGTGCTGCTAAAGGATGAAGCGAAGGGAATTGCGAATGAGAAGGCATATATTGACGAATTGATGTCGTGATAATGATATCGCTGTGGCTGGATGATTGCTGCTAGATCTTACAGCGGGGAGGGTTTTCTCTTGCTCTTTTTTTTTTTTTTTTTTTTTTTTTTTTTTTTTTTTTTTATTTATTTTTTGATAAATTCTGCTCCGTTCCGGCGTTTCCCTTCGGTTTTGTTTGATGCTTCCTGCGCTTTTTTCTTCTTTGAAGCCTACTGTTTTCTTTAGGGGTCTGATGTGAAACGGGATTTTGGCTGGTCGGAAATATGGCGTCTTTTTCTCACATGCTACATATGTATGTGTGTTGTATCTATTTATAACAAACCCTGAGTTTTTCACATTCTAATGCCCGCAGCTCTCTAGCTTGATATGCACTTCTTTTTTTTTAGAAGCTGGACTGAAAGGTGCTTACGCAGGCCGTGATCAAGCGACGATAGGATGAAGAACGCAGGAGCATGTGTTCTGAAAATACAACCTCGCCATAATAGATAGCATCAAGGCATCTGGTTACGTTTGTATAGCCCCCAGGAGCAGCGGATTCTCCGGCGGGATGCTTGCGAGTCGTAGGATTGATATTCATGTACATTTCAAATGAGAACACCCCCGAACATCTGCTTCTTGCTGATTTAAAAATACATACACTCCTCCACATATGTATTGCATCCCCACAGTGAAAACCAACGGAATTGAAGCCGGCGCGGAAAGGGGTTATCCCTGTTTCCCCAGATCCACATCCACATGTTGTCGAGAAACAGAGTTGATCTCAATTTTCCAGGGGCAAGAGATGATGTTTCAGATATCGATTGATAGTTATGAGCACCCCGGGAGGTCTTAGCCATGTACACAGAGTACATACAACCTTTGTCAGGAAGTTGTCCAGTTTCCTGTGAGATCACAAGATAATTAAAATCTGACGCGGATAGGGCGGAGGTCTTAGCTTATCAGGGGTAACTAGCTGAGCGCAATCTGATTTCTGGAGCTCATATTATCGAAGACGACATGATGGTTGTGATTGGGAAGAAGAACACTTGCCCGCGTGCTCTGCCTCGGTGGAATTTCAAGGACTTTGAGCCAATTTCTGGCTGACGGTTCACTCACTACCGTTGATGGCCCTTCTTCTAAGTTTTTGTTTGCCTTTCTCTTTTTTCTCTTCTCGCTCAGAAATGTAAAACAGAGTTTGTATGTACAGTACATACATGTACGTATACAGCAGCAATAGAGCTGTAAAATAATTGAAATATCTTCAATCTAGAAGATCTGCTATAACTCATATTTCACGGAGGAGCAATGAAATATCTCAAGAGTGGAGGAAAATAATGATCAATATGATCCAAGCTGATATTCCAATCTAGCCCTCCAAAGTTTAGAAGATGTAGAGGTTAGATCGAATTTTCAACTTCGGGATCAAAATCGCGCTTATGTCGACGAGGTGCCTTCTCCCGATTGATTACCCGTGGAAACTCCCCAGTCCAAGGAGGTAACGTAAAGCTGGACCTGGGTTTTCGAACTGTTTGACCGTGCGGTTCTGCAACGCACTTTAGCCTAGCGTGGAATGGAAGCAGGCTTTCTGTGACATTTAATATTGAAGATCCTTGTGCCTGACGCGTTTGGCGGCGTTTCTCGGGAATATTTAATGATGATGGTGATTATTGATGACATCAAGCAGGACGAGAACAAGTATCTGCCGGGTTACGCTGGTCCCAACTCGGGCCGGAAAAACAGCCCAATTCACACCCCCATTAAAACTACATCCACTAGACACCTGCCACACATTCACCCTTACATCTGTTCAAGGAGACTTCATATGTTGAATTTTCTTTTATTTCTTAGAGACTCTAGCTCATTCTAGCTCATTCTAATACTAATTCCAGTTTTTGACCCTCTAATATACATCTCTACACTAAGAAACTGAGTGTTGGAATTTGGAAAGGGGATGGGGACAGTCAGACTGGATTAGTAATATGAGTGTGTAGTGTAGTGTGGGTGTATTTTAGAGGGAGTGCTAAAGTTGGCAACCCAACCCATATTCAATGTTCGTGGATCCCGCTGCGAACAAACAACAGGGCGGGGGCGGAGTTCTCTGTTCAACAATGACACTTGAGAACAGGTTTAAGACATGCTGCACGTCATCGCAAAAACGAAAACGAGGGTGACACATGCCAGACAGACCCTCGCGATCCCTGATGTCACTCCAGAGAAAAAGAATCCGCCAAGGCGCCAAATATGTTCGTTCAAGCCGCCGCCGTGTGCTTGCGTGGATGGCTTCAAACGATGGCCTTGTCGATCACAAACGGATCTTGGATTTTGCTGATCTTGGCTTGTTGTAATGATGTATGTACCTTTTTTTTCTCGATGTTTTCCCGAATCATGGTCAAAAGTGCCTAAATACAGAATATGATAATCATCTCTTCATGTGAAAATTGTCCGGCAGTTCTAAACCCAGCAGCAGCAGTGAGTGATATGGCAACTTGATCAGCCCAGAGCAACACATATACACTTATACCGAGCCCGCCAAATTCACGCGCCCAAAATGCAGAATACCCGGACGTTTGATGACTGGGCAGACAGAAGCAATTCTCGTGGCGCTTTCCAGAACACGGAGATTATTTGGATGGCTGGAAGTCGGCTTAAAAAAAAAAGAACAGAAAAGACTTTCCCACTCGCACCGTTTCCTCCCCGCACCTCTTGAGGACCAAGAAAAGATGAAGATTCTTTTTATGGAGAGCTCATTCTTCTTTCATAACAAGGGGGGAGAAATAAAGATAAATAAATAGGGGAGGCTCGAAGCGTTTTCAGCGCCATATCACCAGGGGTTTGGGTTCCAATTTCTTCCGCAGGCGCAAGGTGGTATCCGCTAACAATCACTGATTGGCTTTTGAACGATGGGGCACAGCAGTCTGATTCGCCAAGTTCTTCAAGATCCCTCCCCCAATTCACAAAGGACTATTCCGTGCATAAGACAGGCTACACTACGTCCCGTTGATCGTTTGGCCGAAGCGTGCTAGCTTCGGAGGCGACTGCTCACTTTATGCAACCTCCGGGCAACAGCGCCTCGAGGAATAATAATGGATGGCCGCCAGAGGCAGGAGGGCCGTCGCAGCTTGGACATTGTACCTTCAGTTGCAGGAGAGCGACCAAGCGAGATGGCACATGAAGCTGTATTATTCCCGTTCTTTTCACGGGATGGCTGAGCGACATTGCCACGTTTTCAGCTTGAAAACCTGGCTCATTTTTGCCCTGCATGAATTCTTCTCGAAGATTCGACCCAGGAAGAAGAGCCTTGTGAAAATAATAAATGTGAGCAGATGCGACCGTCAAAACAAAAGGGTTGGGAGTGGCCTCATCAAGGGAAATGACTTTGGGTGAAAAGTCGCCAATATTGTTCTCTGTTTTGTTCTGTGTCCTGGCACTTGTGCTTATTTTTATTTTTTTTATTTTTTTTATTTTTGTTTTTTGTTTTTCCCAGTACATGCGACGGGTGGCTGGACCGACCTTGACAACTGAATGGAATGGGGGGCTTCGTACACTGAGCTAACGGGTCTCCTTTCTTATTGGCCCAGTTCGCCACTGGTCAGATTCCTATCTCAGGCTATCTTGCTGTCAAACCCCGCAACTGGGAAAGCATTACGACAGCAGATGCAAGAATACGGGTCCGGGCTATTGTAGTGGCAGCTGGCCCTGGACCGATAAAGCTTTGCCATACATAACATGTTACAACTTACCACAAGAATGCATTATTTATCTCTCGCAGAGCTGTTTGAAGAGGAACAAACGGAATTGTTTCTGTTCAGCCCTGAAAATATAGGACCTTCCTATATCCAAAAATTGGGGGATACGCATGTTAAATCAGTTGCGTATGGATATACTCCGTACGGAATACAAGTTTTAAGGAAATATCGCCCCGGCATTTGGCATTTGGGCACACCTTTTCATATGTTCCCTCAACCTCTGGCTGGCGTCAAATGATTCGCCACTGCTAGCTCCCTCTCCAGTCAAGCTCTCTCTGACGATGCGTCGAGAATCCTACCATGCCGCTTTCCCAGTTTTTATTATAATTAGCTGTGGGTCTTCTACCCCCTCAGCCGTCCACCCTTGTGGGCTAATAGTGCCTAGCATGACCGTCGCTGTTTGGTATTTTGGCCGTGTTGGCAACATAACCGAGCTCCCGTTGCATGTGAACTAGCCCATCTGGAGACATTTGGGGCGGAATGAACCTGGGGGTTGTGGAGACGGTTTTCCTGATTGGGCAAAACCCACAGGCAAATCATGCCCCCAGTGTCTTGGGGACAAGTTGAGGTTCCCCTGGATACTCGCCTTCGTGGCTCTGGACCCCGTTTTGCTTATAAGAAGCGGCAGGCCCGGATTCACCTGCCGCGTCGTCTCCCTCCTTCCTCCCCATCGTCGAACACTCGTTTTCTGCTTCAAAATCAATCCGGTCGTTTTATAGCATATCCCAACAATACAAAAGTTCTTCGCTTTTGTCTATATAGACCTTTAATACATTTTCAAGATGCAATTCTCCCACGCTCTCATCGCCCTTGTTGCGGCCAGCCTTGCCAATGCGCAGCTCCCTGATATCCCTCCCTGCGCGGTATGTTTTGAAATCCTATCCTGAATGAACAAGCATAACGTTCTCAACTCAGATCATGAGAAACTGACTGGATGAATAGCTGAACTGCTTCGTCGAAGCCCTCGCTGGCGATGGTTGCTCCAGCTTGACCGACTTCGAATGCCACTGCAAGGTCCCCACTCTCCCAGGCAAAATCACCCCTTGCGTTGAGGCTGCCTGTGAGCCTGACGCGCAAAGCTGTAAGTTACTCTCTTTTTTCTTGATCCAGTAGCCTAGTTTTGCGTTGTCCTGCCTGTAATAAAAAAATTAAAAAAAATATCTAACCTCTTCGTTTTAGCCGTCTCCAACATCGTTGTCTCCCAGTGCTCCGCTGCTGGTGTCCCCATCGAGCTTCCCCCAGTTGGTGGTTCTCCCACCGGTAGCTCTGCTGAGCCCACTGATGCTCCCACCGATGCTCCTACCGACTCCCCCACCCCCACCCCAACTGATGGAGAGCAGACTCCCTCCGGCGTTCCCTCCGGAACTGGTTCTTACACCATTCCCGCCCCCACTGGCAGCGTCCCACCTGGTGAAGGTGCTGGCTCCAACCTGAACACCAACATTGGAGGCGTTGCTGCCGCCATCCTTGCCGTTGCTGCTTACCTGTAAATTATTCCACCTGTGATACCGGGGCACATTATCGATGACTAAAAGGGATGGACGTTCATTTGGATTTCTGTCCTATTTGCCGGATTTTGCTAGCATCGTTGTATGGAGCCGCAGTTAATTTTAACTATTTGTTTCCTTTTTTTATATGTAACATTTTGAACTATAATATCCTCCCCCTCCGCCAGTTTTCAAGTATGTATAAAGATTTCGTTGTATATCGCCCTACGCAATCAAACGTTTTTTTTTCTGGGAACATAACTCCTTTTTCTGCTTAATATGCCATCAGTGTTATCCAGGTAAAATGCATACTGGATTTCATACGCCGTTCGCTCTCTTCTCTCTTTTCGTCTGCTCAGGGGGATGAAGTTCGTCATGGCGCAAAGCAACTTAAGATGAAGTTTCCTATGCCCTTTTCGCTTCCCAACGGTCCGGTGGACAAATCTCAGATATCCAGTTGCGGCTTTGTCGTAATTTCTCTACACTCCTTCATGTCTACTTTTTTTATATCTTATTATTACCACTGCCCTCTCGGAGCCAATCCTGTGTCAATAGCGTAGGTGTACGAGGGGAGTAAGAAACAAAGATATAATAACTATTTTGAAATAGACATGGCGTAACTTATACATATTATTCACACAAAAGTACGGTTGAAGTCACGTAGGTATTTACTTCTCATGATCATGATCATGATCATCATACTATGTAACAGTTCTGTAGAATAGGGATTGGAGGTTTTGTACCCACCCATATGTAGCAGTTGATATGAGCAGATCCAATCCTTCTTCATCACTATAGTTTGGAAAAGATTTCAACTTGCTCAGAGTTGATACTTTCGGTGTCAGGAGCCTTTTTTGCTTTTTTCCTTTTTTGAATTTGAATTTGAATTTGATACACTCACAACCTTTAGAGTGGCGGATGTCTTAAAGTAACTACCCCACGCGACCAAGAGAAATATTTAGGAAATATTTTATTAAGAGATTGCTAATAATAGCTTTATCATCATCAGCCAGTCTGTACATGTACAGACTGTAGTTGAGTTTTGAATTTTCTAACACACTGAAACAATCATGCATGACTATTAAGTGCGTAACAACAATGAACTAACTTGGTAGATTGATTTCATCCAAGCTTCGTTGCGGCCCGATGGCCAAAGTTAAGGTTCAACGTCCGAGCCGGTGCCTGATCCAAAAAGGTTGGCTTTCAAAGTTGTATGTTGCTGCGATGACAAGTATACATCTTTTACCGAGCATAACGCCCCGGTGACATTTCCAAGGCGAGCTTTTGTATTCACTAGTTGGTCGTCCATATTTCCGTTTCTGGTTTTATCAAACATACCTCCTTTCCATATCCACTCAACCCGAAATGACACTAAATTATAGGTAGCTGCTTGCCAGGCCACTGTCGCATCCGATATGTTTTCTACATGTACCTTCTGGCATAGTCGAGATTAACTCAAGGGATAACTCTACCCTGGGTAATTGTTGGAGCCACGCCCTTTGAACTATACGATGGGATGGCTGCATATTGTGGATATAGGCGAACAGACGGAACAGATGCTCATCCATATGGCATTGATAGACAACAACAAATAAGACATGTATAATGGTACTTATGTCCCATTCGATAGTGCCCGATGTGTACAACGTTGTTGTTGTTAAGAAAAGGAGAAAACTGATATAAAGAAAAAGCTAAAGTCGACGGGTTAGAGAACAAGGAGAAATTTAAAAATGGTCTTGTCTCACAAAGAAAGTGACGTTCAACAAGGAAAAAAAAAGGCTATAACAAGGGCCGTTGCCCACAAACAAACAAACAAACAAACAAACAAACAACATCCAAGGCGCAATTCTATTGTGGAGGAGGAGTATCACGCATCAAGTAAATCAGGCTATGACCCTCAGGAAAAGAATCTCCCGGAACCCAATGAATCGAGTATCCACTCTTGCCATTGGTGCCGTCGTCGAGAGGGCATGCAAACCAATTCCCCTGGACACCTGTGCTAATACCAGGTGTGACCTGTGGCCCCCCACAATGTGGGCCGCAACCGGCATTTGTAGCAGAGAAGTCACGGGAGACGCTGCTCTGCGCCGTGGACGAACGGCCAAATTTGAGGGTCTGATAACCTGATATGGGATGATTGCTGACCGGGTCCAGGAAGAATCGCTCGTCATCGTCACCCTTGATCCTCATCTCGCCGTTCGGGAGTGGCTGGATGTACTATTTGTTTGCTCCTCTCTTGTTAGAATATCACCTGCTTTGCGCACATGTAGTAATAGAAGGAACCATGGTGGGCGAGGAGGGGGCATCTTACGGCTATAAAATCCTTGCCATCCTTTGCTGGCCCAACGACAACAGCATCACCCGCAATCTGAAGCGTGCCGCGGACTTCAGGTGTAAAGCCTCGAGGGCTAATAGCCCAGAGGTTGAAGGGGAAGAGGTCGAGGTTCGAATTTTGATCAGGGCCCGCGGATGAGAAGGACGGAAAGAGAGCAAGAACGAAACTTGGGAAGGCGAAGAAGGGTTTCATGGTGATGAATCGGTAGAGCTAAGGAGGCGATAGCGAGACAGACCCTGAGGAGATGATCTCTGGAGAGATGAATGTACTGCAAACTGTGTGGAATGATTTGAAAACTGTCGAGGGATGATAGTCTGATTATCCAGGGAGTACCGGGCCTTTATATATAAGATTTATTTTGATAGTCTCAAAAAAGCACACGGACCTCTCGTCACACAACCGCCTCATATAGGGCGATGTTAAGATGTGCCGCGGTTTTGCTTGAAGCCCAGCTCATAGGGTCCAAAAAATCTGTGTGTTTTGGCCTTAGCTCTGCTTTTTTAATGTCCTTAGGCTGTTTGCAGCTGTTCAACGCATGTGTTCCGGTCACACTAACAGACACAAAGAATCGCACATTGATGGCGTGATTGACAGGACCTATAGTTAAAGTCTTAATAGCAAGACTTTCTTCTATGCGCCAAATCTAAAGACTAAGTTAGATAGACGGACAGAGGAGGCACCACGCAGCAATGAGGGCACGTCAAAGCTCAGATGAATGAAAACATCCATGAATACTTCCGGCGTGGCAGCCAGTCATGGGGAACTCTGACAGAGAATGTCATCCCAAGTAGGAATCTGTAGAAAGGTAGTCAGTATTTAGTTATTGTAATGATGAACTGTTAGAACCGAAGGGAATGTCAAGATGCCCAATTGCACAGTCGGAATGCGGAGCCGCGACAACTTACTGAAGCTGGGAGACAAGGTTCCTGTTGAGGATAGACAATCTCAAACGACGACTGAGGATTTGAGATTACACCAGGAAACCCTCCGCGCATCTGTCCACCGTCTGCCTCAGCACTGGAGAGATGCGTGTGATATTCAAACAAAAAGCGCTCGGCATGAAGGCTTGGAAAATGCGAATGAGCAAGCCTCAGTTGCAGATTCCAGGTCCAGGGCTCGCCGCGATTGTTATATTTTGTTGGAAGCATTGAAGTGCGAAGACAAGCGGTTAGACAGTGTGTGCGCGCTCCTCTGTATGGCGTGGAAGAGTGGTCGACATCAACCACCCAATAGTGGACGAGGATCACGATAGACGAGAAGCTTGTTCTGCCAATGGTAGAATCATGTGTTCATGGGATTGACATTTATGCAGACGTGTATATATGACCAGTGGTATCATGCTCTCAGTGAATTCTGGCGTATACTTGCATAACAAGGACGGCAAAGATGAAGAATTGACCATTATTATTCCCCCATGCAGCCGCTAATATGTGTTGTTTTGTGTGTATAAATTTTATTTTGTACGTATTAATTTTTTGTATCTCGTCTCATGTTCAGTGAAGTCAATCCTACATCCTTTCCATCCATCCATCCATGCATCTATCAATCAAGCTCGCACACACGAAAAGTATTAAATTCCTAGACACAAAAGTAAAAAAAAAGGGGGGGGAAAGAAAAATTGGAGGGGACCAAAGTCAGAGAAAAAGAAAGAAACACACAACGTTACACCGTCCCAAACTCCTTAACGTCCGTCTTCTTCCCCAACAACGCCAAAGGCACGATGCCACTAACATGCATCTCCGGTCCGTAAACATGCATATCAAGTCCCAACTCCTCGCCCACCGCTTTAATATTCTTCAGTCCCTCTTGATAATTCGGCCCGGCCCGCCTCACCCAAATCTGCACCTTGTGCTCCAGAAGGATAGATGCCACCTCCCTCAGTGCGCGAATAACCCCCTTAAACGTCGACGCGACGTTGGTGAAGTTCGCAATACCGCCGCCAATAAACAGCACTTTGCCCTGTGGATGCATGGGGGCGCGCAGCATCAGGTCCAGGACCGTGCGGGCGTAGTTGAAAGTCTGGGTCTCGGTGGGGGCGCCGGAGTATTCGCCGTAGTTGGCCAAGTCGGCCACGAAGCCAGCGGAGGCGATGGCGTCGGCGTAGACGACGGAGGCACCACCACCCGCGACGAGGGTCCAGATGCGGCCATTGGCGTTAAGGACGGTGAGCTTGAGCGAGGCACCTGTCTTGGCGTCCATGTCTGCGATGAATTTCTCTTCCTTGCTAAGTTCGCGGCCGAAGGGGGCAGGGAATTCCATGGGCGGACCGGCGTCGATGGTTACTTTTCCGTCTGTCTTGGGTGCATTTGGGGTGCCGAGAGCGGCGGGGGAGCGGGCGACGGCCCATTTGGTGCCGCATTCGAATTCAGCAGTTTGGTCTAGTTTTGCAGCCAGGTCCAGGAAATGGACTTGTGCAGATGTTTTTGTGTCGTTGGGGATGACGACGAGGGGGTTTATCTCTAGGTAGGTGAATTGGCAGTCGACGTATACGGCGTAGAGACGTGTGATGAAGTCGACCAGCACGTTGTGGAGACCCTGGGGGATTTTGCTGAGGAGGGTTGCGGCGATTTCGTCATTGGAGGGATAGTTCTTGAGGTTGACGGGGACGAGTAGTTTCTCAGCTTTTGCGTCAACGTCGCCTACGTCTACACCGCCTTCGTGCGTGAACAGTATCCAGTCACCCTATAGTTCGTTAGCCATTGATTTTTTTAAATTTTTTTTTTGTATTTATTTATTCTGAGCCAGGGTATATTTGCTTACCTCTCGTACCGAGTTGATGTTGATATAATATTCCGTTTCTTGGGGGTGGGGCACAAATGGTTCTACGAGGAACTGCCTGAGAACACCAGTGACAGTCTCTACCTTCTGCTCTTTACCTGCACGCTCAGCAATCCAAGCTCTTGCCTCAGGCCAGGTTTTATTGAGAGCCAAAAGGCCACTCTTTCCCCGTCGTTTGATCAATTGGTCTGGTTTTGCGACAAGGCGGGCATCCTTTGCGAGCAGCCAGGGATAGGTGCTCTCAGCCTGGTCGAGGACAGCATCGACGGAAGAGTCTTCGGGGAAGTAGAGAGAGGCGAGCTTTGGAGGGGGATTGTGAGTTTTAGGAGGTGGGAGAGGAGAGGGTTTGATGACTTTGCTTCTGGTGAGGTGGTAGTTGAGAATGGCCTTGCCATCAGCCTCGAGGATTGACTTGGCCGACATCGCAGCTGATTATGAAGATTCCCAGGGAAATTATGGGGAGGTGACGCAACTGGAGCTGTAGCTCTAGAGGATTAGGTATAGAGAAACAATTGGGGGGAGCAGGAGGAGGAGGAGGTAAAAACGGAGATATGAAGAATATTGGATGGAGGTCGAAGGTTGACGTTTGATGGTTGAGTGTTGAAAGGTTGCCTGACTAAGGCTGGTCCAGTGACGCTCACCACCAAAGCACCAACCACGAACCACCGGGATGTTGTTGGGAACAAGGAACAACAGAAAACAGCCAGAAACAGCCAGACCAGACAACGGAACCTCCGATTACGGGTACGGGACGCCGAATAATAGCGGTAATATTCGATTCCACGTGTTCGGGCCTGGTGCTTCTTTTTGGCTTCACCGCAACAGAGGGATTACGGAGCTGTAGACAAAGACGTTGGGAATTTACTTCCAGTTGCTTTACATCTAGAAGAATAGCAAAAGCTAGATAGATAGCTAGCTACCTAGTTACTACAATTATTAATGGAAAAGACAACAGCTGAATAATGGCATATAAATAATAACTAATAGTGACAATACCCGTAATAATTTATCCTCCTGATAGCTCTCCCCAGGCTGCGGGTATCTTGACACCGAACCTGGGTTGGCGAGGTACATACTTACAATGTCTGTAATATTAATGTATGTATGTACTGTACTCCGTACATGTACTTGTACCTGGCTTCGGCTTCCCATGGCCCCGGCCCAATATCCCCATCCATTGGGGCAGCGCTAACCAGGCTCGGCTAGTGTGTCACCCAGCTCCCCCGAAGCGGAAATCCATTGAGCATGAAGAACAAAAGCCTCAACAACTTGAGATACTTACAGCACCGCACCACCGACGACAACGACAACAACATTTGCTTCTGCAACACACCTCATCGCCAGATATTCTCCAGCTTTCTTTCCTCCATATCCTCCTCCCAGTCCACTGTGTGCTGTTGCTGTCCCTCTCTCTCGTGTGTCGGATTGCTTACAAGTGTCCTGTGTTTGCTGCCTATATACTCCCCTCCCTCCACACTCCCTCCAAGGCGTTGGCCTGTCCACCGTTGCTAATTCACAGGTAAATAAATATTATTTACAAGGAGCTGCCTCTGCGCGCAAGACCTCCTCCACCTACCTCCACAAATCCCACTCGACCTAAATAATAGCTATACTGACTGTGCTCCAACATTAGCCATGCCTTCTGCTGCCCCCCTCGCTAGCACTGCCACTGGCAACCTCTCTGCCAACGACAATATCCGTCGCTTCGCAGCTCCCAGCAGACCCTTCACACCCCTGGAACATACCCTTTTCCACAACAAGACACGATGCTTCGTATAGTATGTCCTATAAACCCTCTGCTGCATCTGTTAATTTGGGGTGCTAATGCCTGCGCAGTGGCATGCAACCCCGTGCTGTGCAGGGAATGCTCGACTTCGACTTCATCTGCAAGCGTTCTACCCCCTCTGTAGCTGGTATTATTTACACTTTTGGCGGCCAATTCGTCAGTAAGATGTATGTACTAGTTTGGCCTACTGATGGCAGTTGATAAAAAAACACAATTACTGATTATTATATCAGGTACTGGGGAACGAGCGAGACGCTGTTGCCCGTCTACCAAGCAGTGGAGAAGGCTATGACCAAACACCCAGATGTCGATACCGTTGTCAACTTCGCCTCGTCCCGGAGTGTATACAGCTCAACTATGGAATTGATGCAGTATCCTCAGATCAAGTCTATTGCCATCATCGCTGAGGGTGTTCCCGAGAGAGTATGCGCCAGTTCTTCTCCCCCCATTTTATATATGTCGAAATATCCTGTGTATATCAGGCTAATTTGCTGGTAGCGCGCCCGAGAAATCATGGTCGCCGCGAAAGAAAAAGGAATAACCATCATTGGCCCTGCGACTGTTGGAGGCATCAAGCCCGGTGCCTTCAAAATTGGTAACACAGGTGGCATGATGGACAACATTGTTGCTTCTAAACTCTACCGCAAGGGTTCCGTCGGCTACGTCTCCAAGTCCGGAGGCATGTCTAATGAGCTCAACAACATCATTTCCCAAAACACTGATGGAGTCTACGAGGGTGTCGCCATTGGAGGTGACAGATATCCAGGAACCACTTTTATCGACCATCTCCTGCGATACCAGGCAGACCCAGAATGTAAAATCCTCGTTCTCCTTGGTGAAGTCGGTGGTGTGGAAGAGTACCGCGTCATTGAGGCCGTACGGGACGGTACCATCACCAAGCCAGTCGTCGCATGGGCCATTGGCACATGCGCAAGCCTGTTCAAGACAGAAGTCCAATTCGGCCACGCGGGTGCCTCCGCCAACTCCGAGCTCGAAACCGCAGTCATGAAGAACAAGTGCATGCGGGAAGCCGGCATCCACGTCCCGGACACGTTCGAGGACCTACCTCAGGTCCTAGCGGAAGTTTACAAGAAACTTGTCAAGCAAGGCACTATCAAACCCCAGCCAGAGCCCATCCCACCCAAGATCCCTATCGACTACGCCTGGGCCCAAGAACTTGGTCTCATCCGTAAACCCGCTGCTTTCATCTCCACAATCTCCGACGACCGTGGCCAGGAGCTCCTGTACGCCGGCATGCCAATCTCAGATGTTTTCCGAGAAGACATCGGCATTGGTGGCGTCATGTCGTTGCTCTGGTTCCGTCGCCGCCTGCCCACTTACGCCAGCAAGTTCTTGGAGATGGTTCTCATGCTGACAGCCGATCATGGCCCTGCCGTGTCTGGCGCCATGAACACGATCATCACTACGAGAGCGGGCAAGGATCTTATCAGCGCTTTGGTGTCTGGCTTACTGACAATCGGCTCGCGGTTCGGTGGTGCGCTCGACGGTGCAGCGGAGGAGTTCACGAAGGCATTCGATAAGGGTCTCAGCCCCCGTGACTTCGTTGATACCATGCGCAGGGAGAATAAGCTGAGTGCGTATCCATTCCTTCCCCCGCTTATCCGCATTTTCTAATAACCTCTCCTCATCACTAACATTACAAAAAACGTCTAGTCCCTGGAATCGGCCACAAAGTAAAATCCCGCGCCAACCCTGACCTCCGCGTCGAACTCGTCAAAGAATTCGTCCACAAAAACTTCCCCAGCCACAAACTCCTCGATTACGCCATCGCCGTCGAGACCGTGACCACATCCAAGAAGGATAATCTAATCCTCAACGTCGACGGCTGCGTTGCTGTCTGCTTCGTCGACCTGCTGCGAAACTGCGGCGCTTTCTCCCCGGAGGAAGCTGAAGACTACCTGTCGATGGGCGTTCTGAATGGTCTATTCGTTTTGGGGAGAAGTATTGGATTAATTGCGCATTTCCTGGACCAGAAGAGACTGCGCACAGGTCTGTACAGGCATCCATGGGATGATATCACGTACCTGCTGCCCACTCTGCAGAAGGGGGCTCCGGGGGCTGAGGGGCGAGTTGAGGTTAGCTTGTAAATGGGGGACTTCACTTTTTTTCTTTTTTCTTATGCTCCTTTTTCTTTAGTTTTTAATACAGTTGGTTTTAATGGAAGCGCGTTATGGAGGGGTTTGAAGGGGGTTTCGTGGGTGGAAGGACGGGTAAAGCAATAATTACATACATACATACATACTACTACATCCCAGCTTTTTAATTAGAAAGGGAAGGAAGAAAAAATTGGATCTGACTGTTTTATTTTTTCTTCTTTCCACCACAGATGTGTGAATCTAGACTATCTCACATCTCATGCTCTGGATTCATTTGTGTTCACTAATAATCAGTCACATATTTCTTATACATATCTATTTCATCATCATCATTCTCATCAGTCAGTCATTTGCTATAAAAGGACTCTAGAAATCTTGTTAAAAGAGGCACTATGAATGTGCTGTGTAGTAGTTTTATTCAGCAGATCTATTATTACTTCTTGTGTGAACTGTCTATCTCTCTATATTGAAATTGCAAGTTCAGATCTCATATGAACACATAACTTCTATTATCTACTCTACTTTGTGCTTAATCTCATATTCAATATCACTGATAACTCATAGAAATCTTATCATCTCTCTGAATACTCTCTTACACACTCTTTAATCATCTGAATCAAAGTAGACTATTTAGGAATCTTGAATGCTCCAGTAGTGCAAATAGTTCAAGTAATTTTTCTTCTTTTTTTGATGCTCTGACAATTTAGTTGTCATGTCACTTGTCATCCAACCGGATCTCGGGGATGCTATATTAACTAGTTATATATAAAATGACGGTGACAATACCGAGTATACATATAAGTGATACTACAAGTCCATGAAGCTTGTACAGTACATGGAGGAGCAATTGTGATCAGAATCAGCATTCTTAAACCCACAAGTAAGAAGAGAACATTCTGTGACAGCTGTGACCAAACAATTTTTTAGCAATGGTATAATTAAATAGCCAAATTGCAGTATAATTCATGTTTCAATCTTTTCTTGTTGCTTGTTTTGGGGCCAGAAGCAGCAGCCACAGTTTGGCGACACGATGAGCTTTAAAAAAATGCTGGTTGGCCGCGCATGGCTTCCATTCCCCCCTTAGTTTTTTAACCACTGCCAACAAGAAAAGAATAAGAAAAGGAAAAAATACCTTATCAAAAAAGATATGGTTCGCTTTAAACACCGCTATCTCCTGATAGACATCTTGTACCCTCCAACCTCGCACCCGGACTCAATTGTCGATGCCGCTTCAACAACAGCCAAATCGAAACATACACAGGCCATTCCCAACAATGCAAAGACTATTCATCTCCTCATCCACCGCCCGACCCCCGATACGCTAACACCGCAGTCGCTGGCACGTGCCGTGCGCGAGCATGTTGCGGAGATATTTGGTGATTGGGGAATGGGCAGGTTGGGCGGCAGCGGCGCGGGGGGTGTTAGCGGTAAGTATATTTCTTTTCATGTCTCCTAGTTCTGGCTCGGGCCGTTGCTTGTGAGAACAAAAAGGAGAAGAAGAAGAAGAAGGAGAAGGAGAAGAAGAAGAGGGTAGTACAAGAAATGATAAATCCAATCGCAGCATTTGCTAATGAACAAACAATCACCCATGCGTGTGTGTGCATATATTCAGTGAAATATCTGTCTCCCGCAACATCCACGGCCATAATCCGCTGTCCCCGCGCGAGTTATAGACTTGTCTGGTCCGCGCTGACATATATGTCCCGTATACCACCTGCGTCATCCAAGAGCGGCAAGCCTGGAGTGATGCAGAACGATTGTGTGTTTCGTGTCGTGAGGGTTTCGGGGACGATGCGGAGGGCGGAGGAAGAGGCCATTGCGAGGGCGAGGAGGGAGGTTGTGCGGATGCGGATGAGGGGGGAGGAGGCGGTTGGTGGTGGAGTGCTCGAGGGGAGGTTTGGAGGGGAGACTGGGGAAGTGGACGCGGATGTGGATGTAGAAATGGGGTTGGATGACGAGGAAGACGAAGAAGGGGATGGGAGTGAGGAGGATTGAATACGTGGGGAGGGTGTGCTTCGTGCCTCGACATTCTCTATGGGATGAGAGAGTTATCTATCCTCGAACAGTTCACACGAGTGAGTACGCCTTTTTACTTCTATTAATTTCTTTATTTCTCGATATTGAAGATACCCCTGCCTTGTTATTTTGTTGTTTTATACATTCATGTCATGAGGCTCGTTATACATTCGTTACTTTCTTACAACCTTTATACCGCTATTTGGAAGGATGGACATGTCGAAATCGTCCATATGGTCCATGTCAACATCGCTATCACCACCTCCAGCACGGGGCGCATTCTTCCCCGCTTCTTCCCGCGCCTTGGCTTCCTCTTCCCACCCCCTCCTCTCCTTCTCATCCCACTCATCCTTCGCATCCAGCCATCTCTCCTGTACATCTTTTATATCCATTGTCCCCAATCCTTCTCTAACCGCCACTTGCCAGACCGTATCATTCGCCCCCTCCGCGGAGCCAAACGCATACCCTCCTGCCCGATCAATAACATGTAACAAGCTCATCATGCTCTTCTTATCCTCGACCGCGAGTGTTTCAAACCCCACAAGTCCGAAATCCTGCACAAGCTCGACGATCGCCTGATTCAGTGCGTCGAATTTCGAGTTTGCTAGGCGAGGGGATTCCTCCTTTAAATGCGGCATGAGATAGGATAGGTCTTGGACCTCTGTGTAAAAGTCTAGATTGAAGGGGAGTGGGGGGTAGTTGGAGAGGTTGTCTATTTTGGTGAGGACGTTGATGTGAGGTAGATCCATTTGGAGCATGGCGCGGAGGGAGAGGAGGAGGGCGGAGATGTACATTGAAGGGAGGGTAAGATTATAGGAATCGATAAGATGGATTACGACGAGCTGTTGAGGATGGGGGGTTAGTTATGAATGGACAAGAGACTTTGCAGTTGGGAGGAGGAGGTTTTGATGAGGACTGGGTGAGTGCAGACTCTGTACCCAAGTTTTTGGATTTGGAAGAAAATATTTCGCAATGACGAGTGGTGTGTAAAGAGTTCGACTTGGCCCGGGCAATCGAATAGAACATAGTCATCTGCGATGCATCCAAAATACTTAAAGTTAGCTGCATTCTCCATCCATAAAAAAAGCTTACAAGAAACACACCTCCTAGCCCCTCCAAGCCCTCCTTTAGCCAGTCAAAGTTCGCCTCTACCTCCTCAAGTGCATATAGTATCCCCCCGTTGGGCCCCAGAGTATCTTCGGCCATGATCTCCTCTAGCGTCACTAGCTCGCGCACGTCGAGCGCAGGGGTGTAGGAAGTCCTGTCGTTGGCGGGGTCGAGGTTGACAACGGAGCATTTGCGGCCGATTGCCGACATGAATTGGTGCATGCCATCGCAGTATGTAGATTTTCCGGACCCGGGGGGGCCTATTACTAGTTGTGCAAAGGGCATGATTCGTTCGTAGCAGAACTATCTTTTGTTTCTAAGGCGTTTGACGGTGGGTGTGGGGTGTGGTGTATTGTAGGCATGTCGATGGATGCAGGGAGCGATGATGTAAATTAGATAAGGCGGTGTGAAATGGCAGAAACTGACTGAAAACTTTCAGAACGAGGATAAGAATGGGAATAAAATGCAGCAAACAAAACAACAAGACGATATCACAGAACAGCAGATTGAGATTCTCATTTTCAGTTCTGATATATTTGATCACTCGGGTCCATGGCTTCTTGTAAGTCCGATGCTATGTGGAATTAAACACTGCGCATTTTGCTGACATCGTCCATAGCACAGTTCGCCCTGGCTTCCCCGCCGACGGACGCCATCTCCGCCGTGAAATTCTCTCCGGACCCAAGCTCCACGCGCCTGGTAGTGTCATCATGGGATAAGAATGTATATTTATATGATCTGCGCGATGAGAACGGAGCCGTGGGCGAAGGCAAACTCATACAGAAGTTCGAGCATCGAGCCCCCGTACTAGATGTCAGTTTTGGAGAGAATGAGAATGAGATATATACAGGAGGACTCGATTGGGACGTTCGGAGGTGAGTCGCGATGACTATAAACTACACTTTTATCCTCAAGGATAATGTCACAGAGATACCAGCTAAAATACCATGACTATATAGAATCGACATACCCACCTCCACCCAAACAGTTCTCAGTTCACATACCGCCGGCGTGAAATCCGTCGTTTACAGCAAAGAACACAACCTCCTCATCTCCGCCTCCTGGGATTCTACTCTACATGTCCACCGCACCACTAACCCCTCCAAACCATCAGACCACCCCGAATCCCCTCCGACAAAAACACCAGCCAAAATCCCTCTCCCCGCCAAGCCCTTCTCCCTCTCCCTCTCCCCGACAAAGCTCGTCGTCGCCATGGCCTCGCGCACCCTGCACATCTACGACCTGCACGCCCTCTCCACCTTCATCGACCAATCCACCAACACCAGCCCGGAAACCCACACCCTCTCAATCGACCCCTGGCAGCGCCGCGAATCGAGCCTGAAATTCATGACGCGCGCCGTAGCCTGCATGCCCAATGACGCCGGCTACGCCTGCTCCAGCATTGAAGGCCGCGTCGCGGTCGAATGGTTCGATCCCTCCGACTCCTCACAGGACCGCAAGTATGCTTTCAAATGCCACAGACAGCAGTCGCCCGACGAGCCGGGTGTCGATATCGTGTACCCCGTTAACGCGCTGGCGTTTCACCCGGTCCATGGCACCTTTGCGTCTGGTGGTGGGGATGGGGTTGTGGCGCTATGGGATGGTGTGGCGAAGAGACGGATTCGACAGTATCAGCGGTATCCGGCCAGTGTTGCGGCGTTGGCTTTTAGTGGGGATGGGAAGTATTTAGCCATTGGGGTTAGTCCTGGGTTTGAAGAAGGGAAGGAGAAGGAGAACGAGGATGGCGTGGAGGGGGTGGTGAAGGTGTTTATTAGGGAGTTGGGGGAGACCGAGGCGAAGGGGAAGGGGCAGAAATGATATTAAAGAAAAAAGAGGTAATTCAGTAGATGATTTTATTATGATTAAAAGATTTTCAAATGTCCTAGGAGAAGAGTTGGTGTAAGGTTTGATCAACTCGATAGCGGGATGAGGAAGATATGGCTCTATTTATTTTCAGATTATTTTTTTCTTCACAGACTGCCCTGCCATACTCTCAAAGCGTAGCGGCTTCTGTATCATAAACTACACCATAGTTGTATCCATAAAGAATTACAAACGATATCTTATCGGTTATAAACAAACACCCAAATGAAAAAAACCCTGGGGAGTATGCACATCAATTAAAACCACCCGGACACTTCAGCCCTTAATCTAACTCGCCTTGCGCACAGAAACTGACCCATCAGGCATACCGAAATACACGGCAACAGGTTTCTGACCACCAATGCCACCAGTCGCCTGTGCCTGGGGGCCCGTCAGCCCACAGAAGAGACCAACCTCTAGCACACCAGGGATCAATTTGATCCTCTCCGCCAGCGCCGTGACTTCCCAGACGCCATTCTTACCCGAACCATCCTGGCCCTGCACGACGTCGGAGGACAGGAGGAGTTTGGGGAAAGGTGCGTCGATAAGGAAGAAGTCCTGGTCGGTTTTTACGGGTTGGGTCTGTTCCCCCGCGTTAACTGGTGCGGTGCGGAGTTTTGGGAGGGGGCTACCCAGTTTTTTGAGCTCTGAGGTAACGCGGCCGACGGCCATGGGGGCTACCTCGATGGGGATTGATGGCCAGTTTGTTAGGAGGCGGGGTTGGAGTTTTCGGGAGTCTGTCGGGGGAGAGGATTAGTGGTGAAATATTTTACCGTTGGAATTTCTTTAATTTTGCTCAGGGGAATGGAGGGGATGAGGGATTTGAACGCGGGGTTAAAAAAAAAAAAAAGAAGCAGAAGCAAAAGGAGTGATTCAATTTTACAAATATTCCACTTACCAGCTACGCAAATAAATTCTTTCGCCTGCAGCGCAACCAGTTTCTCCTGGAACAAACATGCCCCGCCACCCTTTATGCAATTGAGGTCATCGTCTACCTCATCCGCTCCATCGAACGCAACATCTAAAACGGTACCCTCAGGGAGCGCATCGAATGCGACAGGCGTCAAGCCAGCGTTGGCAACGAGCTGATTCGACTGGTATCCGGTTGGTACAAAGCCAGTGGACGAGGTATCTACGCCCAGCGCCTTGATGGCCTCGACCACGTAGACAATGGTGGTCCCGCTGCCAATTCCGACGAATTTAGGGTTTGGCGGGTAGTGTTTTGCTACAGCTTCTTTAGCGGCGTTCCGCTTTGCGTCTTCGATTGTGGACATATTGGAGGAGTGTGAGGTATAGAGAGCGTGTTGGTGTGGTCTATGCGGCAATTGAGGAGTATGCAGAAAGAGGCGGGGTAGCGGGAATGTGGCAGTCTGGAGGTGGGACGGAAGTAAATGGCGGGAGAGAGGGTTTGGAGTAGATATAAGGTATTTTAGAGGGGAAACTCGGGCACAAGTTTGAAGATTGTCTGCTATTCCATATAACTGCGCTGAATGGATAGAATTGTGGAGAACAGTGGAGGCGGATGGAGAATGCCTGTTAAGACGATGTCAGAGAGAATGTACTGTATGTAGTAGCTTTTACTTTTGATCTTACCCGTGGCCATAGTATTTGGACGGGGATGCTTACAGGGCACGGAAGATGTTGCGTATTGGTATGGGTTTCATAGAGCTGGCTGGAGGGGTGAGTTGGTGGTCATTGCGGGGAAGGTTAGGAGTATTTTGAGCCAGAGCAGCGTGACAAAGCCTGCCGCATCTCCGAGGATGCTGTTAGCGGTCGAATGTTCCTGTGGTCAATGGCATTACTAATTCTTCAGGGTGTGAACATCATCAAAGAATCACCGTAGAATACTATTATAGGCATCAACTGGTTGTTGTATTGCCTCCTCAGTCATTGATATAGATACATATAGATGTAGTTACTGTAACTCCGTACATTGGCGGCGGTTGGGCATTGCGGTTCCGGGCCGACTTTGTTCCCCCCGGCGCTTGCTGAAGCCGATAAGATAGTTAACGGTAACTAACCAGCAACGGGGCGGCTACAAAGCTGCAACGGTGAAAGACGTCCAGTGTCCAAACCCATATAACTATATAAATATATATCCAGGTAACTTGTTTTGCCTTCAACGACATAGCTCTCTGACACTAGTAGCAACTGGTGGATATAGCTAGCACCTATACCATTTCTGCCCTTGCTAGACATAGACCATTTCCGCTCCCTGATGACTGAATCTTTCCCTTCAAGCCTTGCGGGGCTCACATCAAAGGAGCGTAAATACGACCGCCAGCTGCGATTATGGGCCGCCAGTGGTCAGAAAGCTCTTGAAAACTCCAAAATTCTCTTGATTAACTCAGACGGCCCTCTGGATAACGAATATCCTGCTGTTCCTGGAGCCGTGGGCGTCGAGACGCTCAAGAACCTCGTGCTGCCTGGAGTTGGGGGCTTCACCATCGTTGATCCAGCCATAGTTACTGAGTCGGACCTGGGGGTAAACTTTTTCCTAGATGAGGGGAGTCTAGGGAAATCGAGGGCAAAGGAGACATGCAAATTTCTCCTGGAGCTGAACCCAGATGTCGAGGGAGACTCCTTGGATAAGGTGCGATTATCATAGTGGTAGTACATTAACGATGATCCAACTAAAAAACGAGAACTGACATTTGAGACAGTCGATTGAAGAGCTTCTAAAGGAAGAAAACTTTCTAAAACAATATTCACTCATAGTAATCACAGCGCCAATGAGACGTTCTATGCTCAAAACCATTTCTGCTGCCGCCAGACAACGCGTGATTCCCCTAATCTATACCCACTCGGTTGGCTTCTACTCTGGCTTTTCACTCCAACTTCCAACCGTATATCCCATCGTCGAAACACACCCAGATCCAAACTCCGTCCAGGATCTACGTTTAACCAACCCTTTCCCCGAATTAGTAGCAGCCACGGCAAAGATAGCTGATTTAGATAGCCTCGATGATCACGACCACGGCCATGTACCGTATTTACTCTTATTACTGCACTTCCTCGAGAAATGGAAGGCGACCCACGATGGAAACCTACCGCTGAGTTATAAAGACAAGTCAGCGTTCCGAGAGATGGTTCGCGATGGGGCGCGGACGAATAACTCCACGGGAGGGGAAGAGAACTTCGACGAAGCAGTAGCTGCGGTTTTAAAAAGCATAAATCCGTGGTCGCTGAAAAGCAACGTCAGGGAAATGTTTGACATGGAGCAGTGTAACAACCTCAACCCAAAGTCCGACAATTTCTGGATCATCGCATCCGCCATCAAGTCCTTCTACACTACCCATGGCGTACTCCCACTCCCCGGCTCACTTCCAGATATGAAAGCCCAATCGGCTGATTACATATCTCTACAGAACATCTACAAGTCAAAAGCACTCAAGGACCTTGAGGAAGTTGTCGGTAGCGTTCGAGCTCTTGAAGCCCAACTCAGGGGCGAATCACCACAACCTCCGATCCCAGAGAAGGAAATAGAAACATTCTGCAAGCATGCTTCTAGTGTCAAGGTCATCCGTGGCCGTGATATCCCCATCCTCGACTCGAATACGGACCCAACCACCCTCAAAGCCTTCCGCCAAGCCTTCCAGCTCCCGGACTCTCTCATGCCGATTTTCCTCACCCTGCAAATTCTCGACACCCTCGTCAGCGAGTACAGAGAAAAAGCCTCAGAACCGCAACCAGAACCCCCGTCATCTTCATCACCACCTTTCCTTGACCAGGCTGATAACTGGGCTGCGGCACAATCCAAACTCTTCGCACTCTTGGAGACGGATGGTTACACGCTTGATGACGATGTCAAGCTTCGTATCGCGAAGGCTGTGCAAGAGACGCAGCGCGCGGGTGTGGGAGAGCTGCATAACATTTCCTCGCTGACGGGTGGTATGGTGGCGCAGGAGGCGCTGAAGGTGTTGACGAGACAGTACGTGCCACTGGATAATACATGTATCTTCGATGGGATTGGGAGTCGGGCGGAGATGTTTAGGCTGTAAGAAGCAATGGATTGGTTACTGAGATCCTGTTTTGTAGGAGGAGGAGTGTGAATGTGTGTGTGCGTGGTTGGGGTCGGGATTGAATTCTAGTTTTGAAGATGGATTTGCTTGACGTTGACATATCGTTGTACTACGACGAAGCAGCGATATGATGATATGACGTATAACCATTCAATGAAAGATATTTTCAAACAAGAAAAGCATCCAGAATCTACTCAAATAATATACTCAACATACTCCACCACGATATCACTAAATACAAACTTCTTGCGGGTACTGCCATCCCATTAATCTTGAAGAAGCTAGCTAGATTACAACAGCCAGCATCCAGCAGTTACACGTGACCCATCTCCAGTGACTGCAAACATGGCAAACACCGACGCATCCATTCCCAGAGCCGCCAGGGACACCGCGGTAACTTCCAGACATCGTTGCAACCTGGAAATATCCATATACTCAACAGCTCACTCTTGTTTGAGATCTTCGTGGTCATGGCTGACTTGTGATGCTTGGCTCTTCGTTGAAGTGACCTGCGCGTCGAAATCAAAAATGAAATCTTTACATTTCTGATAGATTCGCATTCAATCATTTACAGCTTATCTTGGCCCCCCTTTCGGCATTGATGGAGCTGTGGCAATTCCATTTTCGACCATAGCAGTATTGCTGAATCAAACACGGTCGTTTTCCCCGCATAGACGTTCACATTGTGTATACAGCAGGAAGGAGGGATAAAGGGAAACACACCCACAAAAAAAAAAGAAAATAATTGACAGACAGTGCAGTGGACAGAGCAGCAATCAAGGGCCTCACCTCTCTCGTCTTCTTAGATTACCATGGCGCTTGCAACGGACATAAACTCAATGGCGGACGTTACTGCAGCCGTGATCACAACTGCAGCAGAGGCAGCCATACCGTCAACCTCTCTGGCTCCTTCCTCTGCGCTTTTCGTGAACCTCAGCGCTGTTAATTCCACGCTGTCCAAACTACCGTTCCTTTCCTCTACATCACAAGATCTTTTACTATATCCGCTTCGCGTCATTTACCAAGCTGAGGTCTTCATATTCATCACTGCTCCCCGCAGTGTTCTGCATTTCCTGGGACTGGAAGCAGCCGTGGCGAGCATGATAGAGAGCGCTGCTGGAGCTCTCGGTGGTGGAGCTAGTGTTGGGAGGGACGCGGCGGGCGCTACAGGGGCGGCAGTGGTAGCAGCTGCCGGAGCAGATGGGACAGGAGCAGCTGCTGATGCCGTGGTTGCATCGGGGTTCAGTCTTGGCGATTTGCTCCACAACACGAGGAAATTTGGTGGATTCTTTAGCTACATGACCAGCCGATGGTCCCTCGCATGCTTTGCGGTGGTGAGTCCTACATTGACTACTATACCCGGATGGGACTCTGTTTCTGGAAGGGCACATTGAATTCGGCGGTATCAAATTTAGTGAGGTGGATTAACTGACGAGCGTGTTGCATTGAACAGGCACTTGCTTTGAACCGCGTTACTGTATACGGCTCCACGAGGCGCCATCTTTCTTTAAAGTGGCAAGTTCGATTGGCTCTGAGAATAATTCCCATCGTCCTGCTCACTGGCCAAATCATTACATTACTACAAGCCATCCGCTGTCAAACGTCTCCAGAATACCCACAAATACGATATGGAAAATCAGGAAAACGTTCTAGCTTGGACTACGGAGGCGAAGGTGGTCTCTTGTATTCTCTTTCATCGTTACTTTTACCCTGGCAGAATGATGAAGGCTCTTGCAATGCCGTCCATATGAACCGATTGCCCGGAACTAAAGAAATACCTCACGGCTCATTCTCGCTCCTGTGGCCCGTTTTCCTTCGTTTATGTCTCAACCAGTTTGTTGAAACACTATCGTGTGCATTGCAAGGACGTGGGGTTGCCACGGAGGCGGGGATGTCTATATTTGAACACTCTCTAGCATTTGCAGAAGCAGAAACGATGATAAGCCAGTCTGTCGGCCTCGGTCTCTTTGGCCTGTCCAAAGCTACTGGCCAGACATCCGCAAGCAACAGCACGAATTCCTCGTCCGCATCGCAGCTTCTTTCTAAAAGCCAAGTCATAGACAGGCTTAATGTTACCCCGGAGCTTCTGCTAATTGCACTGATTTCCTGTTGCAACAGTCTATCCTCGAATATCCTCGACGTTTTCGGCCGTCAGAACCAAGGCCGCCTCATTAACACAACATTCTGGGGTCTTTGTTTCATGGCCTCCATACTTCTAGGCTTTTTTGATGGTATGCCCTTGAGTAATGATATCATTCTCAAGTTCCCCACGGTATGTATTGTGGGATTCGTGCCCCATTTGATCATATTCGCTGGCATCTTGACCTGCCTTGCGATTTATGGACTGGCCTTAATTATAACTGCATTTTCGCTACCGTCTACTATGCCGGCTCCTACCTCGCTGCGTGAAAGATTCTCACTTGCGCATGCCAATATGCAAGGTGCGTCACAAATTCGAAATGTGCGCCTCAATCCAAGGGAAGACTTTTACACTGCCCTGGTTAGGATAGGTTATGCCTCCCTAGCAGCGGCAAGTGACGCCGTTTTTCTAAACGAAGGAAAGAGCGTAATGGTTAGAACAATGACTTGGCTGGAGGAGGATAGGCTTTCAGAAATTGAGACCTCAAGGAGCAACCGTGACGCTCGTAGACGTACCGCCCAACCGGTGGAGTTCCCTACTGGCGCCAATGATGCCTTTAACTTTGATATCCCCGAGCGTAAAGCTGAATGGGAAAGTGGATATTCGCGGGAAAAGAAAATTGAAAAACAAAAGGGAGCTCGTTCGATGGGGAGTCAAAATGCTCTTGGTGGGGTTGGGGCGTTCCAGGGAGCAAGCAGATGCTATCATGGCTTTACTTTTTTCCGAGGAATTTTCTTTCTTTTAGTAGGTTGGGCAGCGTTTTGGTTCGTAAGATCCCTGGATCTCATGGGTATTACTAGACGACCCAGGTGGTTGACAAAGCTGGGAGGCACTGCCCGCAAACGAGCTGTTCGAGGAACAACCGACAATCACAACTCACTTGACTTTTGGATTTTGACCGACCAAGGGGAGCTGAAACTCCCAGAAGACTACGAATACGACGTTGAAAAAGAAATGAGGAAGCGGGAGCTGGCAAACATTTCTCAATGGGGTGAAGCGGAGGAAAGCCGATTTGACAGGAAACTGTATAATTGGTGGAAGATCGGGGGATCGTGGGGCGATCGAGATGAAAGTGGAGACTATACACCCTCTCAGGATGATTGGGATGATACGACAAGCGTTGTTTCAATGTCGACGAATGCCGAATCGGAGTGGGAGGCATATGAGTCGGATGGTCGTCGGACACCAACGCAAAGCAGCCCGTACACGCTGGGGAACAATCAAGGCCACCTGTCTAATTCCAGCTCAACATCAAACACACCGCCCGACGAATCCCTTTTAGACATGGCTTCTCTTGCCCGCCTCCTCGACCCAAGGGATCAAGAGGCGAGGCACGAAGCTCGAGTGCTAGCCTCGCATCTGATGGCAGCTGATGAAGGCAAAATAATGACCCGCAGCCGATTTAAAAGCCAAACGGAACGCGACCGCGCGCGTGTTCTCACATCATCACGATATAACAGGACTCACGTACAAGGCCTCACATCAGCATCTCCTGGTTCGAATGAGAAGAAACGACCCACGCCGGAGGAAGAGGCGGAAATTCTCGAAAATCTCATACTATCGCGCCGACTAGGCCACGACTATTCGTCTGGCACCTATGTGCAACAACAATATCAACGACAACGAGAGCCGGAGTCTTGGAAAACCGGAGCGTCAGGTCTTGGTGCGGATGGACCGCAATGCGTTATCTGCCAGGCTGCGCCTAGGTCGATCATCATCTGGCCGTGCCGTTGTCTTTGCGTGTGTGAAGATTGCAGGGTTAGTCTTGCGATGAATAACTTTGGAAACTGCGTTACATGTAGGCGGGAGGTTTTTGGTTTTGTTAGATTATGGGTTCCTTAAAGGACAGTTCTTTTGCTTTACTCCCCTATTTCCAGCTCCATACGATGAGCCTTTAGAGGTTTAAAGAGTTTTACTTGTTCACTTCTTTGCACATATTCCATATTTCATCATTAGATTGTTGTTTTTAGTGAACAATACTACGTATTACCCGGCATCGCGTTGCAGTGCTTTCGAATCCCAATATATTGCTTGTTCCTCCTTGTACCACTACCTTCCGCTGCATCTACCGACCAGTAAACCTTCAGTTTCGACGTTTTATTCTGCGTATAGTACAGTATATTCTGGCTCTGTTAATCGCTCTTAGTTAAATACAGAGAGTGCGTTGATTCTCACCCTTATCTTGGTATTTACTTTGCATATTGTGGCATCGGTGCATCTCTGTTGATTCATTTAGTATTTACTTGGGCGAAGAGAATTGCTTTGGGAGTTAATTCAATTGCCATGTGCCAAACCCTCGGCGAAATAGTCATAGAAGAAAGTCATGGATAGATAGATGGCTAGATGTTTTGTCCTTTTTAGTGCTCCCAAACCATCATCAACATTTTTTCAAACCACCACAAATGCGTCCATGTCAGATATATCACAGTGAGAAAACATGTCAGTTCCCGACTTTGGGATAGCCCAAGTAATCACTCCAGGAGCTGACTTGCTTTGACAGCCTATTTATTACCGTTCTTCTCAGTCTTCTGTGGAGGTAACTTTTTGCAAGAATATCTCCTTCAGGATATATGAATCCTCTCATCCTTGCCTGACTTTGCCCCTCTTGTTCTGAGCAAATTATGTGATTCTCATATGCAATGATGCCATGCAGTCCCCTCTGTGTTGACTCTTGCCGCAATGCCTCGAGGGGCAATTGTCCGTTTTCAATCAGGCTACTTACTATTGGCTGATTGGAATCCTGCTTCCGCCTATATCTTCGTGAAATGGCTGGGTGGTATATCAGATGGTCGTCTCGTTCTCTCTCCCCAGCATCGATCTATAAATTTTGTCGTCTTTAAGATTTCTTCTTGTGTGTTGGGCGATTTGCTGGTTTACTACCGTCAATTATTAATCTCCTCTTTTGCTACCATGACACCATCTCTTGAAGAGCCCGTACACCCGCAATCACAGGGAGGCCCCCTTATTGTAAAGGAACTAACTCTGCTCTACGAGCCAGGCTGGACGGTTGTCGAAGACCATGAGAAGTACCCTTACGATGATCTTCTCCCTTCGTTTCCAAATATAAGCTGGGACCCTATCGGAAAGGTCCCGTATCATGATAAGGGAATTCTAGGGGATGAGAAGTTTAGCGGCCTTCTAGACGCTGCCACGGACATCTTCGACTATAATCCGAAAATCGGAACAGAGGTTCATGGTGTTAATCTCGCAAAACTCACGGACAATCAGCGAAATGCTCTTGCACGTCTAATAGCCATTCGTGGGGTGGTGTTTTTCCGGGCCCAGGATGATTTCGATATTGAGGCCCAAAGGGATCTAGGTCGATATTTTGGGACTCTTCATAGGGTGAATACTGCGTTTCAACTCAAGCTATGTAGTCATTAACTGACAACTATATGGCGATACAGCATGCTACAACAGCTGTACCTAAAAAGGCAGGGCTGGAGGACGTCCATGTGGTTTACACGGGAGACTACTCCGTCGATCAAAGAGCACTGTTCAGCCCAAGCTTTTTGTGGCATTCCGATGTAAGCCAAGCAATGAAAACCCAATATGATAATTAGCAAAGTAATTATTAATTTCCTTTTATAGGTGACCTATGAGGTTCAACCACCTTCATACACCTCCCTTAAGGTTCTCACGGGCCCTCCTCGTGGTGGTGGTGGGGATACGCTCTGGTCCTCTCAATATGCCGCATATGACGCTCTGTCACCACACATGCAAACATACCTGAAGGGCCTGACTGCTCTTCATTCAGCGGATATGCAGGCAGATGGATCGAGGGCTGCTGGCCGTCCCGTCCGCCGCGAGCCAATTACAACTAAACACCCACTCATACGCACTAATCCAGTAACGGGCTGGAACTCACTCTTCTTCAATCCCGGGTTTATTACCAAAATTGTTGGGGTGCCCAAGCTAGAAAGTGATGCAATCATTAATTACCTCAGCAGCGTTGTTGTTACGACGCAAGAACTACATGCCCGTTTCCAGTGGGGGAAGAATGATGTTGCGTTCTGGGATAATCGTTCAACGGTACGCTTCTCTGTGTCACTATATATCTATGACCTGCTCGAACTACTTTCTGACTTGAAACCAAAGAATCACACGGCGTCGTATGGTTTCACCCCCCATCGTCGTCATGCTGTTCGTGTTGCATGCCATGCAGAACGCCCAAGTTTTGTTCCATCAGGCAAGTCTCAAGAGGAAGAATTGGCTGTTAAATATAACATTCCTCTTGTCAACAAGGATGGATCCTGCCAATCGAACTACAATGACTGAGGTGTCTAGTTGGCTCGATTAACTGAAATTTTTCTACTTTGCATTTTGATTCTCTGTGGGATTTATTCCCCCATGTTATTGCTTGGTCTATTCGATTATACTCAGTAGAGGTGCTCCTTGCTTTTCACTCAGTGTCTTTTATACATTTGGTATAATTGATGACATATAATTTCATTGAATCTGGCGAGTGTTATTTCTGGTCTATCACACGTCTACGGTACATACTGGCTGCCTTTATATTACCCAGTAATTTGCTTGTTCCTGGGCTACACCAGCCCTTGAATATATTCTGATTAGCATAGGGGTAGAGAAAGGGAGGAAACATTGTTTCATTCAATACTCCGCAAGGGACCAGAGCTTATCTCAGCATGCTCAGCCTCTCTTCTCGATATTTTCGGATTAGCGCGACCAACTAAACTCCTTTAGACTTCTGCCAAGTCCTGCTAACTTCTGGACCAATAAGAGACTTCACACGTGCTCACAACCTAATATCTTGTAGAGAGTCTGAGAAGAAACAGTTCCATCATGTGTGGAAAATCAACTTCACTCATACAAAATATTCAATTGACTTTGGAATCATATATCTATTCTAAATATCTGCCTGATCATCACCAAACTGATATTTTTTGAATCCTCAGTTATTCTGCTATTATCTCTGCTATTTTACAACTCACTATCTCTTCTCATCATATCACAATCATTGACAAAAGACAGCATGTCTTTTGAATCTCAAGACACTCAATGTCAGACATGCTTCAGTCAATATTCTTCATCACTTGAAGATGAATTCTCTCTACAATCACTACAGTCTCTCAACAATGTAGATGATGAATATGACATATCAGACAGTGACTTAACAGAGCTTGAATCTATTGATACTTCTTCAGAATTTGAGATCACTGATACTGATATTAATACTCTGTAAGCTTGTTCATGATTGAATCACTGTGGCTCACAGTACCTGTCTACAATGCCTTATAACTGACAGAAAAGATGATTGAAATTATCTTACATTGTCAGAACATTACAGCAAAACAGTTGAGAAATGAAGGCCTTTATAGAGACTTGAATTCAGAGTTCTGATATCTTGACTCATTGATAATACAGTACTTCTATGAAGTGATGAAATACACTATATTCAGCACTTTTCAAAGCAGGAATATTCAATGATAATCAACATTATACTGTCTTGCTTAAATAGAAGCTGAAATGTCTTATTAATACTCTCTTCTTTGTAAAATTCAATCATGATTCTGATCTGAATATCATCAACTTTCAGACTGCTTTTGAGATCATTCAGACTGATGTGTCAACCTGGTTTGACCTACTTACTTCTGTTCTAAAAAATAAATGCATTAATTGAAAGAGCTATGAATGAGACTCAGATGAAACAACAGCTATTAAACAGCTGTTTGTTATTATGAGTATTATATATCACTCTTATTTCTTAAAAAACTTGAACTTCTTCAGCTCTATTCTCTCTGCATATTTTCATAACTCAGGAGTAAAATGATAAGTGATAGAAATCATTTCTGGCTTTGAACTCTGTTACAGCTATGTGATGGGAAATAGATTGATGATGAAAATTGCTAAATAAGAGAAGGTATGACTTAATATTCTTAACTTATTAATATTTCTATCTAACATCTCAAACTTCTAGTAATCTCTGATAATATCTGTCATTTTCTGACATGTTCTTTGAACTTCTATCAACTTCTGAGTCAATCACTTGACTAATTCTTACTGTTAGATTAAACTTCAGCAGCTTGTCAAAGATTCTTGAGCCATTATAGTCTATGATAATATGAACTTTAAGAAGACTGTATGAGATGAGATAATCAGACACAATGATTTCATGACTGCTATGACTACTGCTGCTGTGATTATTTCTTCTGATATTTCAGAAACTGATCTAACTCAGATCATGCATGATTTCACAAGACTGCTAACACTGTAAGAAATCATTGATACATCTGGTATGACAGACAATGATAATGAGCTTCAGAAGCAAATAACATCATGTCTTATTTCAGATGCTGTTCAAAAGATTCATGATAATGAGATTAAAAGTGTTTTCAGTACTGCAAATAATTTATTATCTCAAATGCCTGTTATTAATACACTTTCTGTGCATAGAACATGTTTTCAGCAGTTGAGTGCTATTTTTGAAAATGAGAACACTATTGTGAGAACTATGAGAGTTTATGAGAAGATATTTAATGATTTTCTTGATTTATCAAGAGATTATACAGCATTTTCAACTCATCTCTTTCCAGTGTATGAAGATGCTTTGATCACAAAACTCATTCAGTTGATCAAGATGAAGTAGTTAAAATCTACAGATATCTTTGAACAGTGCAACTGACTTCATTCTATTTCTGAATGATTTCATATTTAAATGAATCTACTCTTCATTATTATCTGTACTCATTTTGAAGCTGAAGTCTCTGAGAAGGCTCATCACTGTATTCAGTCTGATCTCACTTGTTAGAACTGAAATTCTATGACTGCTGTCAATTCAAAATATCATCTTCTTGAGTCAGTGATTTCTCAGAGCTTTGCATCTCAAAGTCTTGCTCTATTTTATACTGTTATACAATATTAAGGTTATTCAGTTAGT